TGACAGTCATCGCATTGTCCTACCGTCCGGCCTACTGTCTGTCTTCCTTTCAATTTCTGGGTTCGCGTTTCGTGTATTTTACCGAGAAAGTTTTTACGATTAAACAGATTCACAAATTGATAAAAGAAAGGCCAACTAAAACGAGCTACCTGCTTAATTCAGGATGTCAAGCAGAATAGAAACACATCAAACAAGTTATTGGAACTTATACCCCCCAGATAGCACCATGTCCAAAATGCACGCATAAGACATCTTTCAGATGTTTTTGAGTTATCTTTGGGATATCATATCATAAGATTAATTAAAGATTTCTTAATAATATCTTATGCGTGCATTTTAGATATGGCGCTATCTGAAACGTTTCGATTGTACAACAGTTTTTCTCGATACATTAAATTTTACAATTGATGCATAATAAATCAAATAAAGAATAAACATTTGAAAACGACAGATTCAAAAACCACAGATTAAAGCATCTATGTCTTAAAGTATTTGTTAACTCGCATATTGATAATTAGTCTATGAGGTCTCCGATTTCTTTAGGAATCAATCTTTTAAAATTGTTAGCTCGGTCCGTGATTGAAATATTTTACTATTGATGTGGTGTGTCGAATCTTTTTTCAGATTTATTGTTACATTTAAACCATTCTTAGTCTTATACAATTAGTTATGTTGATATATTTAAGAGACAGACGAAACTAATGTAAAAAGATTAATTTAGAGAAGAAGATTTTACATCAGTGCTCATACCGATTTCCTTCTCTTTCATCGGGTGACTGTCATCGGATTGCCCTATATTGTCTCTCTTTCCTTAAGGGAATATTAATTGTGAGTCTGTTTATTGACAAATATTATTTTCATTTGACTCTTTATTGGCTGCACAGAATGAAAAATCCTTTACTAGAATTAAAGCATTCATAATAATAAATCTGAGCTATTATATGTGCGTATAAAAAGAAACCCAGAAAGTTAAATAATTACAGTGTTCTTAATACAAAAGAAAGCATCCCCTTTTCGTGCAGTTTTACCGACAAAGTTTACGATTAAAGAGCATTTGGAGAAAAAATTGTACATCAGTGTCCATTTAGCGTGATCGATTCGAAAGTATTCCCTAAATAATCTCACGCTACAGGGACAGATTGGTGAAGGAAATTGGTTGTCGGATGTTGAGACCGAAAAAGAGAGGACAGAATAACGCACCGTCGCGTCGCGTGCATCCGGAGCGCCGTGATTCGAATAATCTCGTCCCGAGGGAAATTTATGACCGCGCGAGTCGATCTATTCTGTGACAGGGATCCGTACTTTTTCCGGTTATATTATACCTGCTGTAATTACCGCGCGATCGCCCCGCGCAGCATCGACACATTAGACGCGCGCACGCGATGCACCGCGCTATAATCGACCGCGTGTATCATTAGTACCGTTTCCTCTCTGCCGTAGGTTCTTTCCCTCTCGCTTCTTCTGGGAAGCACGCAGAGGCGAGAACGGGAGAGAAGAATTTTTGGGAAAAGGAGGCGCCTGTCGTCCTCTCTCGCGGAGACGCACGCAAAGGTGATTTTGGACAGGAGGCTCTCCGTCGGGGTCCCTCTTTCGAAGAAACGCTAACTTCTCTTCTACCGATAGGTAAACAAACGACCGGCCGCTCTCTGTCTTTCTGATGCTGGTTGCGAGAGCGGAAAACGAAGGATGATGATTATCGATATCCGCAACAATGTTTAAAGCCGGTTTAAAGATAGGTTAGAATCGGCTGGAGATCAACGTCGCGCGCTTCTCCCTCGGGAGAATCCTTCGCAAACTTCAGCATCGGGGATCCGTGACGCTGTCCTAATGTAGGTCACACGACCACCACTCTTCTTCTCCCGTTCCTCGCGCGGCACGAAATTGGCTTCGTTACGCGCGATTGCCTCCGAATGACGTTTCTCGATGATTAACGTAATGATTCGTGGAACACGCGGCGAATGGAGAAATAAATAAGTCGCACGAGATTATTGATATTTATCTAATTAAGTGAAATTATATTTCTTTTTACGATTTGTACTCTTATTTTTAATATTTAATTCTGCCTTATTATTTTTTGTATATATGTATAGCTTGTCTCTTCTGGAATTTTATACGGCAATATTAAAGACTACATGACAGATCCTAAAGACTATTGTAACTATACGTGTAATATTCTGTGGATCAAAATCTCTCCCTTGCTCGAAACGGTTTTTAGTCACGTTTTACAAACGTTATGTTCTATCTTCCGAAACAAAAGAGAAAAATGTGGAAGGTTCCGACCAATTATTTCTTCGAAAAGTTCGAACGTCTGGCTGCAACATTGTCGGCGAGATAAAACAGTTCCGATGGTTGTGATGGAAATGACAAGGATTTGGCAGATTGTCGGGAAGAGTTTCGTGAACCGTCGACGGTATAGGATTTTTTTTTTAACGTGAACTGGTGAAACTTATAACTGCATCATCTCGTTCTTCTAATCTTCGGAAGCAGTTAGTTTTCGAAACGCGATAGAAGCAACGTCACGGTGTCCAGCAGACTCAATGAAAAAATTCCCTGACTTTTTCAGATTTTCCAAGACCAGAAATTCATTTTTTCCCTTTTAGTATTATTTTCAGTATTATTTAGTATTATCAATCAATTCAATGTTAAATCATGAAATCCTTGAGATATTTTTGTTAACAATGAAAAAAAAAATATGTCCCTATAAATTATTTAAATAATCACCTTTTTTATTTATATTATATCAAATTTTTTAGTTTTGTCTCCATCAAACACATTGAAACAAAATACACGACCGATGAAAATGTAATTAACGAACACGCTGTAGATGAATCAATTTTAACACACAGAAAATTAGCGTGCTGGAGTCGAGAAAAGTTTATATTTATGTAATAAAAAATTTCAAATATAGAGTTTTAACAAGCTCTTAATATAAATATAAATTTAACGTATAAGACGGGCAACAAGAGCCAAATCGCGGATGACAATGCGTTATCCTAACGAAACTAAATAATTTTTCGTTAGAATTAATACCGGTGCACAAGGCACCAAATTTTACTTGGACACGGCCAAGATTTTAAATATGAAATAATCTCATATTTTGAGATTTAATTTCAATACCCTTTAACCCCCTACGGAAAATAAATAAATGAATGCAAGAGAAAAATATAGATCCGAAATCGCTGAATCGGGAATCGAACCCGAGACCTTTCGCTTGCCGGGCGACTGCTCTTCCAGCTAGCTATTCAGATCCTTTCGATTCTATACTTTTCTCTGTTATATATATTATGTTGGTAAACAAACGCATTTTTTAAGCCAGCGTGTATCAAATATAAGAGTTTAACAGGCTCTGTAATATAAATATAATTTAACGTATAACGGGCAACAAGAGCCAAATCGCTGGATGACAATGCGTTATCCCTAACGAAACTAAATAATTTTCGTTAGAATTAAATACCGGTGCACAGCACCAAATTTTACTTGGACCCGGCCAAGATTTAAATATGAAATAATCTCTATTTGAGATTTAATTTCATACCCCTTTAACCCCCCTACGGAAAAAAATAAATGAATGCAAGAGAAAATATAGATCCGAAAATCGCTGAATCGGGAATCGAACCCGAGACCTTTCGCTTGCCGGGCGACTGCTCTCCAGCTGAGCTATTCAGATCCTTTCGATTCTATACTTTTCTCTGTTATATATATTAATGTTGGTAAACAAACGCATTTTTTAAGCCAGCGTGTATCAAATATAAGAGTTTTAACAAGGCTCTGTAATTAAATAGAATTTTAACGTATAAGACGGCAACAAGAGCCAATCGCGGATGACAATGCGTTTATCCTCACGAACTAAATAATTTTTCGTTAGAATTAAATACCGGTGCACAAGGCACCAAATTTTAACTTGGACACGGCCAAGTTTTAAATATGAAATAATCTCATATTTTGAGATTTAATTTCAATCCCAGTTTAACCCCCCTACGGAAATAAATAAATGAATGCAAGAGAAAAATATAGATCCGAAAATCGCTGAATCGGAATCGAACCCGAGACCTTTCGCTTGCCGGGCGACTGCTTCTTCCAGCTGAGCTATTCAGATCCTTTTCGNTTATTATAATTTTTGTCCAGGTGGAGACGCTTCAGAGATACCAAGGTCATCTTCATTTTTTTTAAATGGATCCGATATGTTTTTTTTCTATAATATGATAGAGGAATTCGAAACAAGTTCAGAACTCACGACACAAGATCATTGAACAAGATTTAAAGTAAAGAAAATCGATAGAAATACATTTTTATTATTAAATAAAGTTCACGTTTACAAAAGATGTTCGAACGGATACATCGTGCATGATTGACTGACTTTTATTTTCATTTTATTTTAATCTTATTTCAACCTATTTCATGTTTAATTTATCCTGAGAACTTGCTCAGATGCCTTTCAGCAGTGATCTTTACAAAAATGTTCAAAGTGATAGCCATTATTATCGATGCAAGACTGGATTCTACTACGGTGAACTTATTAAGATATGCTTCAAAGAGTGTTTGTTTACATTGAAGTCATAATACGTGAATACTATTGTCACTGCTGAAAGACATTTGAGCAAGTTCTCAGGATAAACTAGACATGAAAATGGATTAAAAAATAAGATTAAAATAAAATAAAAATAAAAGTCAATCAATCATGCACGATGTATCCGTTCGAACATCTTTTGTAAACGTGAATTTTATTTAATAATAGAAATGTATTTCTATCAATTTTTCTTTACTTTATATCTTGTTCAATGATCTTGTGTCGTGAGTTCTGAACTTGTTTCGAGTTTCTCTATCATATTATAGAAAAAAAACATATCGGATCTATTTTAAAAAATGAAGATAACCTTGGTATCTCCAAAGCGCCTCCACCTGGACAAAAATTATTATCGCCATATGATAGCCCCCTTCGTACCGTGCAATTTTTGTTACACAAATCTTTCTCTGGGCCTCATAAATTCGAAGATATTTAAGGTCCTAATAGTTATTGACCCACCCTGTATATCAATTTCAAATTTAATAAGCAATGATGAACCAAAAGATAAGCATCTACCATAAATACTTAATGTTATAATATAAATAACGTTAAACAAGTGATTTGCAATGTACTTACTTGGAAAACTGATTACTATAACTAAGCAATGTGACTTCACCCAAACCGGAGGAGATCGATGTTATGACGACACCCAGAATGGCGAGCCATTCAACAGTACCCAACGATACCATGAGAAATCCTGCAGCGGAAAATAACACACAGGTAGCCAGTCGAGCACTGTAATTAACGAGTCAATTAATCAATTAGGATTTTGACTGATAGTTGGGATTCGGTCGCTTACACAATCGCGGAAGCTTTATACGAAGTTCCGAGTTGTCAGCTCCCAGCCTTATATGATCTTTATCAAACAGGTGAAATTTAAACAAAAGTGTTTTTTTACCAGTCTGAGTTCGACACTTTTTAACGTTATAATGAACGAAATATAGGGTAGACCGGGGCTACTTGAGCCATGGGGCAAGTAGATCAATGGCTGTTATTCAGAAACAAGATGCGTACAGGAACGAGCTTGCACGTGCAAGAGCGTTTTATAACGATGCGATATCGCGCACCGAGTTTAGTCGCGTTTAGTCACTTGAGATGGACGGACACACGACATATGTGTTTTTATACCTTGTTTGTGAACTTTTTGTCGTTACTGAGTTTTGGTCGTTTTCTACCCTCTTGTTAACGTTTGGTCTCAAACGTTTTAACGAGAGGGTAGAAAAAATTGAAATAAGTAATTTTAATATTTGTTATTATTATATTTTTTAAAGCTATTGTACAAATTGCATATTTTTAAACAATATGCGAGTTATAAAGATATATATTGAAAAATTCATAGACGGGGCTAGTTGTGACAGTAGCCCAACTTACCCCACATACATAGTTAAATAATGTATTAATTTAAATATTAATTTTGCTGTTTATTTATTTTAGAATGTGTACATATAAGCAAAGACAAATAGAGCTTCTACAACACAGGAACAACTTCAAGAATGACTTTATCCAGATATATGGAAAAATTTAAATCACATTATAATAATGTAAAGAGTTAATTTCATTAAAATTATTTAATAATATAATTATTTTTCAATGATTTCCTATCTAATTTCAGTTTTTCAGCTCATTGACCAACTTACCCCACACGCTGTCTCAACTTACCCCACTAGTGGGGCACGTTCAGCCACTTGTTCTGCCGTCATTTGAGACGTTTCTCCTTTGTTGTGATTACATGTTTAAAATTTTTTGTTTATAATATAAGAGCTCACATGTCAAGCCTTTCATTTGATATAATCTTCATTTTTATACTATAAATCTAATAGATAAATATTTATATGACTTTAAACAAAAAGTGGCTCAACTAACCCCGGTCTATCCTACGTACAACACAAGGAATCAGCCTACGCGATCAAATAAGAAGCGCAACCATTAGAGATGAGTGTAAAATACAGGATGTGCTAAGATGGGTAAGATAAAGACGTAGTGAATGGGGAGATCATATAGAAAACCGCATAGAACCCGAGAGATTAGCCAAATGGGATTAGAAAAACCAAATATTAAGCGACCACACAGAAAAGCCACCAAAAGATGGAAGAAATACTGGACATTAACATCCCAAAAGGTCGAATAGTGGAACCGTAACATAAGAAGAAGAAGAAAAAGAAAGAGATATATTGTTAAACGTTCAGGTACATTTCTTGCAAAAATGCACTTTATAACCCCAAGAAGATTAAAATATATGTATAAACGTTATTATGAAGAAAACTAAGAAGCAATTTAAGAAGAAATGGCAAGGATAGACTGCCTACAGATAAAAAGACTGAAGTAATTTACGAAATTAATTGTAATGATTGCAACGTGTCATACATTGGACAAACAAAGAGACATCTATGTACACGTGTAAAGGAACATTTCAGCAACATCAAAATGCATTCGAGTAATTTATCAGTTATCAGTAAACATAAAATTGAATTCGATCACGATTTTGACTGGACTTCGCCTGTTATTTTGCATAGTGAAAAACACGTAAGAAAAAGAGAAATTGCTGAAATGTTTTTTATTAAGACAAATAATAACGCTATTAATTGGCAAAAGGATATCGACAATCTAAGTAATATCTACGACAAAATAATAAAGGTCGTTTATTCTCCAGTAACTCGTCTAAGAGTCTTGACGTGTTGTCAAACTGACGACACTATGTTCGTTCTTGACATCTTAAAATTATAATTTAATCTTTATTTTTACAAGTATGTTTCGCTTCTTTTTATCATTTTGTAATATTGTTAAGTAAAGTAATTTTTTTATTGTATTAATTTCTGTACTGTATTTCTTCTCTATGTATATCTAGATCACTTGATAAAGACTCAAAGAAGGGTCGAAACGTTGTGATTTAATAAATAATATTTGCCAGTACGGTCGAGAGAAGATTCTTACCTTTTTTTAAATTCTGTCTGGCGATTCTCAAATATCTACGTTTTTATTTAAGAAGAAATGTTTTAGACAAAAGTTGTTGAGTTTCAAAAGGAACGTACAGTGAAACCATAAAAGGGACATTGCTTTGACCTTCGGATAGAATGTCAAGGTGAAATAAAGCTCAACTTTATATTTTTTAATGAAACTCTAATTTTTTTAAACACCTACTTTTTGTAACTTTTCTCATGACAAATTTATAGTGACCACGCATTCAAAATTATTGGAAGTCAAATAATGGAAGCAGAGTTATATTGTATACCAATTCCAATTAATCACTAATAAAAATAGTGCTCACTTTGTAACACTTTGACACAAAAAACAGAAAAATATGAATACTCACTGTACTAGAAACGGCAAAAATGGTGCCGTCAACTTAATCGCCAGCGCTGGTAGAATATCTGCCAAAGTATGGCACCGGTTGAAACTGTATTGCACGTGCGCATCCCTGTCGTATTTGTGCTATTTGTCTGTGATGTGGTATCCTAGAAAAAAAGAACAAAATAAAAACAATAACAATTTAGTTGCAAATATTCTTATTCAAAATATAAACAAATCTTTTTATGTCAAAATTCTACATCAGTATATGTTTTACAAATCTCATTTTTTCTCTCTTTTTAAAAATATATTGTATTTATTGTTTTATTTAATGTATTCAATCTCATTTTATCTCTTTTTTCAATTTAATTTTAATTATTGCTTGTGTAATGATAATCTCTTGCTAAGACTACTTTATCAATAAATTGTTTTTCTCATATTAGTGAAGGATTTGATCGAACGATATAAATATTACGCAACAACTTCTCTCGTTACCAGATAGATAGATCATTTCTTGTTATCTTTAGCGCGCGGATGTTTATAAATTAATTTGTGACGTAAATCTAGATGTAATCAGTTTAACATAAATCAGAAAACAGACTTTTATTCTCTCGTGTCAGTTTATTAATATTATCATATTAGAAAATTTTCCACGAAAATGCACATTTAATTACTCATTAAATTAATATCTATATAAGTCAACAAAATTTATCGATTGTTACGCAAACAGTTAAAATCGCATCGGCGAATATTGCATAAAACCAAATATTATCAATTGACATTTTGGTCCATCAATCTTCTATTATTAAGTCTATGTCAGTTCAGTTATTTTTGCATAACTGCTTTGGATTTATTTCAATTATAAAAATGTTTCCTTAATTTTAAATTAATATTTACATTTTATTAATTATCAAAAATATTTATACTTAAAAAGTGTCAAGAGAACAATAATCTTTTTAACAATTAACATATTTGCAAGCATCGTATTTTCAAATTTGGATTAGCAAAAGCTTTGTGATCTATCAAAGACAAATTCAATTGCTGAAATAATTTTTGCGAATCCTTTTAACATATTATATTTTCAAATATTATTTCTCATCGTCATCAGATCAATTTTTAAATTGAAGGCTATAAAATGACTTAAAAATACATTTATACGGCAGGAAATAATATCTATTCCCCTTTCTTATTGGTGGATTTTATGTTAAGAACAAGAAGATTTTTTTAATTAAAAAATGAAAAATTATTTAATATAAAATCGATAAGTTCGCGCTTTGTTTCTATATGTACTTTTATTGCAAAAAAGCATTTATTATTCTATTCAACCAATAAAAAGAAAAGGGTGCACAAAAATAATGTTTTATCGATAAAACAGGACGGCAGATGCCGGAGTAACGGCCGAACTCCGATAGGTCAGTACCACACATATCTAAACATATGCACGTATACACATATACACACGCATATACGTGCATATGTTTATGTGTGGTGCTAATCTATCGGAATTGGGCCGTCACTCCGGCATCCTCTTAAGCCTCAATCTGTCTACTATTTTTGACAAACAAGAAACATAAGAAGCATTATACTGACCTTGTCACCGAACTTGATAGCAAGGATATCATGAGCTGCGCTGAGCATCACGACGTAGCCATAATTGTTACACAGACCCAGAATCCAGAAAGCCACGAGATTGCGCCATCGTGTCTTCTTTGCAATAGCGTCCTCATCAAAAGTGTTTCCATCAGGTATATCCAAATTATTCTTATCCATTTTGAAAAGATTAGTCTCGAAAGAAAATTGTATTTATCTTTCTCTTCAAGTGTTATTCTTTCTTTATTCCAACTCTCTTCTTGCTACTCAACTAACTGTCCTTATCCCTTGGCGTTATCCCTCCCTAAACAAAATATGCTAAATCGGTTCTACGTTGCTGCTTCTCTGTTGAACTCGCGAAGGTCCGTTTCCTTCTCTTTCTTTTCTTCTATCTTCTGTTTTTTTCTCTTTTTTGCTCTCTCTATCTTTTTCTATCTTTTGCTTTCCTTGCTCCTTTGCTATCGCAAAGATACCACTTCTGCTTCTCCCACCACAACTTCACTGCAGCTAATTGTCCGTTTAAGAGCACTTCTACAGCAGATAGTTACTATCGTTAAAACTTCGAGAAACTTTTTGGATTGTTGTTGGTAGCTAAAAGATAATAACAAAGAGGTAATATTCATATTTAACAGCAACAATGGTTTTTGTTCTCAAGTTAATTGAAAAAATATTTAATGTTCATTATCGTAAGTAATAAATCATTCGCAAAAATAAAATTAAGCATCAAATTCAATGTTCCTTTTATTATGAGAAAAAAAGATCTAATTAAAAATGTATCAATTCCATATTACAAATTTTCTTTACTTTTTTATGATAATAATCAATTTAAATTGATAGTTTAACTTGCATTTGATATTGATCATATAAAATCATATGAAATAGACCTTATAAAGATCACAATTTATTATTATTTTTTTCGTCATGAAAAACGGGTACTCTTATTTAATTTCTCACAATTAAATAAGAGTACGGTTTTGATTAATCTATTAGTGGCCTTTTGTAATCAGCATTTAGTTAACATACTTCCGTTATTAATGAATCATTCATATACACATAGCAGCAAGTTCTTGCAGCACTTTTTTCTTTTCTTCTGTTCGCTCATAAATATAGAAAATATCCTGTTAAATATTGTATACAGGCTCTATATTGACTGATCTCTTCAGTGATTTTCGCTCTAACGTAATGTTTCTTGTAAATGGCTCCTTCTTCGTTTGCCTACGCAAAGAGTTTACACTCTTCTGTGCAAGTCAAGTGGATTTTTGGAATAATTAAACGACGCCGACTCAAGCTGTAAATGAGAAGATCAACGTGAGCAAAATAATTAAAATTACAAATTAAAGAACGAATTACTAATGAATTAGTATTTCAGAAAAAACACTTTGAATTTAGCGCGCATTTAATGTAATTTTATATTAACAATATACATAATTCGAGAAAAATAGAATTGAGAATTATTGCTATATACATAATACGTAATACACAATACTATATACATAATATACATATCTATATCTAATTCACTATATAATTAAAATTATTAAAATTATTAATTTACATATTTATTATTATGTCGTGCAAAGAAATTTTATTTTTTATATATTTATTAGTAGATATTTGAGAATCGCCAGACAGAATTTAAAAAAGTAACACTCTTCTCTCGACCGTACTGGCAAATATTATTTATTAAATCACAACGTTTCGACCCTTCTTTAAGTCCTTATCAAGTGATCTAGATATACATAGAGAAGAAATACAGTACAGAAATTAATACAATAAAAAAATTAATTCACTTAACAATAAAAACGTATATATTTGAGAATCGCCAGACAGAATTTAAAAAAAGGTAAGAATCTTCTCTTGACCGTACTGGCAAATTTTATTTATTTAATTACAACGTTTTGACTCTTCTTTGAGTCCTTATCAAGTGATCTAGATATACATAGACAGATATTAATACAATAAAAAACAAAATTATTTTACTAACAATATTACAAAATGATAAAAAGAAGCGAAACATACTTGTAAAAATAAAAATAAAATTATAATTTTAAGATGTCAAGAACGAACATAGTGTCGGTTTGACAACACGTCAAGACTCTTAGACGAGTTATTATAGAGACTAAACGACCTTTATTATTTTGTCGTAGATATTACTTAGATTGTCGGTATCCTTTTGCAAATTAATAGCGTTATTATTTTTCTTAATAAAAAACATTTCAGCGATTCTCTTTTTCTTACTTCATTTATTTATTTTCCGTAGGGGGGTTAAAGGGGTATTGAAATTAAATCTCAAAATATGAGATTATTTCATATTTAAAATCTTGGCCGTATCCAAGTAAAAATTTGGTGCCTTGTGCACCGGTATTTAATTCTAACGAAAAATTATTTAGTTTCGTTAGGATAACGCATTGTCATCCGCGATTTGGCTCTTGTTGCTCGTCTTATACGTTAAATTTATATTTATATTACAGAGCCTTGTTAAAACTCTTATATATGTTTTCTATATTTCTTCAAGGTCAGTGTTATCCACGGTCTTGTATACAGCGAGAACCAAGAACTATGCAGTTTGTTTATCTTTTGTTTGCACTTTTTACAACATCCGTCGATAGCAACGACGCCAAGTGCAAACATCAAAAGTTAAAAATGCCTTCAATCTTGGAGTCACTCCCACCACTCGTAATTCGACCGAGTTGCGAGACCTGTATACAAGTCCGTGGTGTTATGACATAGTTTTGCACGAATTGACACGAGAGAAGTTTCACCATGTGTTTTATTTGTTGAATTTAGCATTTCGCGTTGTACACTTTCCATAATATACAATATATACATTATATTATTTAAAAAAATGTACATTTATATATATAAATATTAAATTTATATATATAAATACATTATATTTAAAAAATGCATAAAAATGTTATTTTCTTGAAAACAAATTTATTTAATATTATTCAATTTAACTTATTTAATATAAATAGAAATAAAATGACAAGGTATATTAATTAATTTTATATCGATTTACAACAAAACTTTAGCAGCTTTCTCTCTCTCAATTTTAACCTCAATTTTCTTTCTATTTTTCTTTATATTAAAAAAATTCACTTTAATATAATTCGTTATTATCGAGACTGTATTGTATTTTTTTATTATAATTATTTTTCTTTATATCTTTATATCGTGTGATATTCTCGATAGTAATATTCTTCCTATTTATTTTCAAAGGTGATCTGCACCAATAATTTCTGGTTTTTGATATCTATTTCGTGCACAAAAACTTATCGCGACTCGCATCCGCCATAAATAAAAAATCAATTAAACTATTAAACAATCAATTAAATCAATTACAACACCAACACTTTTTGACACATTGCGCAAATGATATATGTAATTGACATGATGCTTTAAACGAGTCGATTCAGTCGATTGCCTTTGATCTTGGCCCACTTTCGACGATATTCAGTTAAATAAACGATGTCATTGTCCTTACATCGACGTCATCGAGAAGTAAAACTTTAACTGAATCCAAATCGATGTCTAAATCGATTACTTTAAATAAATTATGTGATAAAAGCAATAAAAATGATTTAATTCTAAATTTCTAATTTACGATTCTAAGATCGATTATCAATTAATGCAATAATGTATCCATAAAATATGTGTAATATTTATTATATGTGTAATATTTATTCTAATTTAATAATATAACACAAAAAATTTTAAGAGTTTAACTAGGCTCTGTAATATAAATATAAATTTAACATATATAAGTTTCCCGATTCTGCGACTTTCGGATCTATATTTTTCTCTCGCACTTTATTTCTTTAGGGGGAATAGGGGATACATGGAATTAAAAAATCTCTTGTAGAGATTATTCCAATTTTATATCTTGGCCGTGCCCAAGTAAAAATTTGGTGCCTTGTGCACAGGTATTTAATTCTAACGAAAAAATTTAGTTTCGTTTAGAATAACGCACTGTCATCCGCGATTTGGCTCTTATTGCCTATCTTATATATGTTAAATTTACAAAAAATTTTGTTAATTAAAACGAAATAATAAAAAGATGTATCTTTATTTTTATCTTTTGAAACAAAAGCCTATTGATTGATTAAACACAATAATCGAGTTTGTAAGAACAATTTATTGTTAGATTTAAAAAAATACTTGAGAAAAAGCGTACTAATCTCTGTTAATTTTTGAACACAGCTCAACTTTCTAAATTAAAAATGATATAATCGAAAATGTGTGTTGAGATATAATAATTTTATAATATACATAAAAAATAAAAGATTCTTACTAAATATATATGATAACTGCAAAATAATTTAAAAAAATATTACAAAATGCAAAAATCAATATAAAGCTTATTATAAAATTCAATAAATATTTATGTGTGCGACAAAGATATTTATTTTGCTTTTATAATTCTTAAATAAACATAGGATACTCACAATAAAATTTGTATTTAATTTTGAAAAGTCTATTGAGAAACATATATCACAAAAAATTTCTTATACAATAATAATTTTTCATCACACACAAATCACAGCATCGTAACATCACAGAGACGACAGCACACGATTTCAAACAACTGATTGTCAAAATCTCTCGCAGCATTCGAAGGTTCGAAGAATGTTTTCCACTTACTATCCAAAAAATTGACAATTTTTATATATATGTGTATATATGTATATAATCCCAGCAAACACAGTATATAATTGTTGTATATTCAAGCTTTTTACATGTAACGTATATGTTAGTTGTAATTTTCCACTCATAGATGTAACATTTTAATATTACATATATTACATATATCCTATATACTATATCCCAAGATAGCACTGACTTATCAATACATCAATCTGCTATTTGGTATATAATTACAATATAACTACAATGTAATATATGTTATACTAAAATGTTACATCTATGAGTGGGAAATTACAATTATGGATGTTACATGTAACGTACAGGTACACGTTATATTACCTGTTATATTCCGTTTTATTATAGCAATGTAACAATTATATACCGGTGTTTGCTGGGATTATATATATATATATAACTATATAGTTTTGCAATTTTTCGGATAGTATATATATAACGTAAAATTATATATACTCAGAATGTTCAAGATTTTCACAACAATGAAAGTTACAGTCAAAGTTTGACAGCGCGATAAGCAACGATTTCGTAGTTGACGCGACGAGTTCCACTTTCGGAATGTATAAATTCTCGACAAGAGAGAGAAATCAACACATACCGACGTAAGCGCAACCACTCGACTATATTGGTAACGAAATACTTCTTTGTTTGAAAATAGGTATTTAGAGTATTCACAACAAGAACGATCGCTTATTAAGTCGGCCTCCGACCATCGAGCTGATTAGAAATGATAAGTTGAGAATGACAGTAGTAAGTATAGATAGTTGGGGAAAAACCTTTAAAAAATGAAAAGAAAAACAAAATTTTATTTGCTTAAAAAATAATTTTTTATAGATAACAGCAGTGCAATAAAATTTTGCTGATACATTATTATTTTGTATTTATTGTATGTATATATACAAACACATATATATGTATATATATACACACACACACACACACATATATATATATATATATATATATATATATATATATACATATATATATATGTATATATTTATTATTGATATATTATTTATTTATTATTAATTTTTGTTACAAGAGAAACTCAACATATATATTATAATATTAAAAAAATAAATACATATATTGTATGTTTTTAAAATATTTTATCTCGAAAAATGTTTGATTTTTATTCTTAAAAACGAGAAATTTTTATATTTACGAACAATATAGTTGTTGCGTATATGCAACTACAGTTAGATAAAAAATAAAATACATATTATTAGAATGTATATATATATATATATATATATATATATATATATATTCTAATAATAAATATATATATATATATATATATATATATATATATATGTATGTATATAAAATACTAATTCTATTTTTTTAACTCATATGCGTTTGTAAAGTATTAATGTCAAAAAATGTACATATTATATTGTAAGATCGCATAAATATAATTGTTAATGTTCATAATAAAAAATTTTGTTATCCTAATTAACATGTGCATTTGTAATTTTTATGTCTACAATCAATTTATATGTATATTGTATATTTTGTTGTATATATATATATATATATATTTCGAGTGAGTCACATTTATATAATTATATTTATATAATTTTGAATCTCTTACTAGTATATAACATTTAAATCCTATTGTTATAAATACTTAAAAATTTTATATTTTTTAAATATTGATGATATAATATATATATCTTTGTCGCAATATTTATATTTGTAATAACTATTATAAAATAAATAAATTAATGTTATTATACAATAGTCATACATGTATATCGTCAATACTTTAGAGATATCAAATTAATTGTGATTATAGCAATTTATATTTTTTTAATAAATATATTTTAAATATAAATTTGAATTTAATAAAGGCTTATATATTTTTTCTATAAATATATTTTACTTTTAATATCTTTTTTCTGTGGAAAATTAAGTAATTAAAAGAATGATGAGGAGACTTATAACTTATATTCCCATTAAAAATCATCTATTGCTAAATTGAATCTTAAGTGATACATGATAAATGATTTATTATCACCGATAAACAGGGGTTTATCTGATAAATATAGTGATTTCAATTATAAGTATAACGCTGCAAACAGTGAAAGCTCACTGAAAGAATTAAAAATATTTTTCTACAAAATTTAAATAGTTAAAGATTTATTAAAGATGGTAATTATTCCTCTGCACACATATATTTTTGTTATAAAATTTATAAAATTTTTTATTTTAAATTTGTACTATTTGTTTCAAAGCTATATTATATCGTCGATATAATTTACATCGTATATATGACGTCTTTCTAAAGAGTTATGCAAGAATAATATTATAAACAGCTTATTAAGTACAATTTTATATTACATTAATACATGATATAATTTATTGTTTTAAGATAAAATTTTACAAAAAAACAGTGCAAAGAGAGAATAATTATTGACATATATACATATACATATATATGTATATATTAAAAATTTAAGTATATTTTTATTTATTTATATTTATTATATTAATCTGTTAAATATATTTAATATTTATATTCAATAAATAAAAGTTTAATTTACCTAATATTATGTATACTCTGTTTAATATTAAATAAATTAAAATTAAAAAAAAAAAATTTTAAGAGTTTTAATTCCAACAATATAGAAACTTAAACTTTGAAAATTTAAATTGCAAAAATTTAACTATTAAATTGCTATCAGAAAAATTTAATAAAAATAAAAGGTAGTACAAATAAAAATACATTTTCAAAAAATTTCTAATATTGTAAATTTTTGAAGATTTAAAATGCGAAAATTAAAATTTTTAACAATAGAAAAAGTATCAAAAAGCAGTTAATAAGAAACGAAACAAAGTAAAAAAAAACGCAATTCCAAAAATCTCATAATTTTACAATATTTTAAGAATATTTTATTATAATTCATCAAAAATGTATAATTTAAGAATATTATTGAGTTTAATATTTTTTATAACACAAAAAAAATTTTTAATTTAAACAAGTCGGAAAATATATAATATATGCATTAACAATAAGTGAGAAAATATAAAGGCACAAACAAAAATTTTTTAATTATACAATCTGCTGTTAATTATTATTAGAGCGCATATATATATATTATATTTATTGTTATTTAATATAGTTATTGCAACTATATATAGCAATTAATTACTGGGAAAAAACATTCATATATATATATAATCAAATAATAATTAAATATATAATATAAAAATTAGCGAATTCGAAAAGAATTTCTTTATTTTGAATACTCAAATTCTAAAATATAAAATATATTGAATCCTTTTTGTGCTCATTTTAAACAAATTACGTGAATTTAAATTAGGTTAAGCGAATCATTATTTTTGAGCTCATATAAATGTTGTCTGGAATTATAAAATATATATATTATCTTCTCTTATATAATCTTTGTTTACATATTAGATATATATAGAAAAAGTAATAAGAATAAATGATGGATTTTGTAAAATAATGACGATAAGTGCTTTTTAGAATATAACAAAAGCGTGTATTCGTCCTGAGAGTTTCGAAAGCAAAGAAGGAAGAAGGGAAGAATATACATACAGTGTTGTTAGACGGGCTAGGTTTTTTCGCGCATGCGCATTGAATGTAGTATTAATGAAGTAGTCACTCGCATGAAATGGGGTCCTGATTTCCCCCTCTGTTTAATTTTTCTTAAATTATTGAAAATTTTTTAAAATAATTAATGAATCGTATAATTTTTATTATAAATGTAATAAATTTAATTAAAAATGTTAAATATAAACATACAATAAACAAATAATGAAATTATAAAATATATACATATACGTGTACCTATGTTATAACATACGTAAATTACGAGTTTAGTTTTTATTTATACAATTTATAATTTGAATTATTGATTAATTTTAATATACATAAATTATAATAATACACTTTTATATTACATATATTGTAATAATTTATTTATTTTTACGTACGTTCAATTTATCTGTTTCCTGCGATTCCGCCAAAACTCCGTGGTCCAGGGTCTTGGTCCATAGTTGCGCGCGCAAACATCATACGTTACTGTAGTCGTCATGGTTACGTCACGGTAATACGCGCATGCGCGAAAAAACCTAGCCCGTCTAACAACACTGGCGGGCGGCCTTCAATGAAGTGAAGTCCTCGCTAATTCGTCGTGTGACGTACGCGTTCGTTGCCGTGGAAACGATACTACGCCGGAACGCGTTTTCAGGGCCGTCACGATGATCGCATTCCCTAACAAATTTCCCTGGAAAAATTTTGAAAAATTTTTTAATTAAAATTAAAATTTAAAAAATTTTTAAATTTTTAAATCAATTTTTAATTTTTAAAAAGAAAACAGAGATGAAATTTCGAAGCAAACACGAAAATAATCCATACGATTATTTACAATAGCGAAAACGAGATACGACTCGTGCGGAGCGAATATTTAAGTCATGTAGAGAGTTTAAATTGAGGAATTACTGAGAAAAACACCTGAAACGTTTATTAATGACCACAGCATTAATCGTGACTGATAAATGATAAAACATTTCCATCTCTTTTATCGTTAGCTTTTCCTGTTCCTCGTTACGGCACTGGGCGTGGATTATTCCGAGTCAAAAGGGACGCGCGGCGACACACAATAACGACTTTGCTCAACAAGTGCCTTTTTGTTATATAAAATAACAGGTGTGAAAGCGAGAAACGAAATGTCTTGTTGCACCGGTGACAAGAATGAGGAACGCGCCGAGCCCATGCGGGTGCAAGGATGCACGGATGTTTTTTGGCTCTGCTTCTTTATAGCATTCTGGTTTCTCATGGTATGTACACAAATGCCTACTGTACACATTCAAGTATAATTTTTTTTAAAGACGCCTGTGCTCCAATATTGAGAATATTTAAGAATAATAATATATAAGACAAAAATAATATATAAAAATATAATAAAATATGTATAAGAATAAATATATAAAAATATGTAAGAATAGTTTTTATCAACTATATAGTATATTTTTATGATAACATTTTTATATAAGCTGTGATTCTGCAAGAAAACTTATATAAAATTTAGAATTTTTAGTTTTATTAAATAAATTTCTTGTTAATTATTATAGCAAGATAGTTTTAGGATCTAACGGGATAACTTTTCTGTCTACAGATCTTGATTGCTGCCTTTGCCATAGTCTATGGTAATCCTGTACGACTTATAAATGGATATGATAGTTTTGGAAATACATGTGGAGTAAAGTATAATCCCAAATTTGGTAGCATGGAGCTTTCTGGGCAAGATACCAGTGACAAGCCGTCAGTATTTCTCACACTTTTTATCTTTTTGATTGAAAGTCTGAATCTATTTTTATATAGTCTAAAAATAAATATATTATATTTCAGATACTTATTCTTCCTGGATATAAATAATGTTACACAGTCCTTAAAAATTTGTGTGAAACAATGTCCCGACAGAGTCTTGCGGACAATGGACGATATTTGTACATTTTACGAAGAAACGGGATCACAATTATGCCACGACAGACCAGGCGGTGATTTTAGCGCGTGTACCGGCCAGAGTAGCAAATTCAAGAATGGGTCTTGCCCCGAGATGCCAGTTTATCCTAGTACGCCCGTTTTAAATCGCTGTATTCCCAAGGCAGTCCAGGATGTGGGCGAAACGATAATCTCGAATTTATATGGCTTAATCAATTCTTGGGATGTTATTGAACAAGTTTTGGGAGACCTATACAAAACTTGGAAGCAAATTCTAGCATTATCTTTTCTTGCTTGTGGTAAGAAGTTTGCATATATTACTACATTATAATGCATACAAGTTCTACAGCAGATATTTATCTTCTTTTAGTTTATCGATCCTTACAATATCCATCTTTCATTTATTGGCAAGTCTTGTGACATGGATTATAATTGTACTTGTAAGCATTGCTTGCACAGGTAAGGTATACATTCTATAGAATATTAATGTGAGATTTTAATTTTCTTTGTCAATATATTATGTCAAACTGATTGTATTTATGTAAACAATGTTTACAAAAATAATATCAAAAAATATAACAATAGGTGACATGTAGACTTTTTATATGAATTATTTGCATTTATGTTGTATATATATTATACACGAAATTTTGAAAATTTTAATTTATTTAAAAAAATTATTTTGATGACAATTATAGTATATGACAAAGATTGCAAATTAATATTGTATGCATTTAAAATTGATAATATACAATAGAATAGAATAGAATAACAGAAAGATGTCTAATATATTATAGCTGGTACAATTCTTTTATGGATGACATATATTGATATAAAGAAAACTTTGGACAAAACTGACCCAAATGAACTTCTTGAAGAATCTGTTCGAAATGAAAGAGCGTTTCTTGCGTTTTCCATTATTGCTACTATTATTACTGTAAGTATAACTCTATAATAAAATAAATATATAAATATATATAAAATTTTAACAAACAAGAGTTTATAATGTAAAAGTTGTTTTAATACAATTTAATAAAATCTTTTTTATTTTATTTTATACAGATTATTTTACTATTTCTTTCACTCATACTACGCAAACGTATCAGCTTTATGACAGCACTATTCAAAGAGAGCGCAAAATGCTTGAAAGAATTACCCGGTTTATTTTTCGAACCAGCCTTAACATTTATATCTTTAATCATCTTTTTTACCTTTTGGGTATTTATAATTCTTTGTCTTGCAACAGCTAGTAAGTATTTTACAATATTTAATTGATGGGCAAAAGATAATTTATAATCAGAGAAATTTTATACTTTATTGCAGATTATCCTGAGACAAAGTCAGTGCAAATGTACAAAAACAATATATTTAGTCGTTTGAATTTAAGTTCAATTGGTGAAAATGCTCCACTAATTGAAGAGAAAAAAATAGACTTTTCTCTAGAGAGTTTCAAAAGTAATGTATATCATTTCACTTGAACAATCGATTGTCTTATAATCAATGAAGAAAATCAAATAATGAATTATTAAACATTGTGGTTAGCAGCATTTACTCTTGTGGAATATGTTGATGCAACTTGGGTAAAATACATGTGGTGGGTTTATCTTATTGGACTCATATGGGTATCAGAATTTATTGTTGGATGTCAAACCATGGTAATATCGGGTTCTGTTGCCCATTGGTACTTTAGGTAATATTTTATAATATAATACAATAATAATATAATATGATATAATGATTAATTTTTCTTTTCTGAATTCTTTTTATTAGAGGTAAAAATGCCAGCAAATCTCCAGTGTGTTTATCTATAGGGAATTTGATTTGTTATCATTTAGGCTCTGTAGCGTGTGGATCATTTTTGATAACTATTTTTAAATTGCCCAGACTAATTTTAACATATCTGCATACCAAGTAAGTTTTATAGGTTTCATAAAAAATAATTTATTAGATATTTTTTAATTCCTTCAAATATCTTTTGATTTTTGAATTGTTGTGTATCAACTCTTTTTATATTATTCCATAGATTTGAAAAGACTAAGGAAACATCTCCATGCTCCCAGTGTGGTTTGAAATGTTGCATTTGCTGTTTCTACTGTTTAGAGAAATTATTCGATATATGAATCAAAATGCATACACTGTTGTTGCTATAGAGGGTACCTATTTTTGCGATGCAGCTAAAACAGTATGTTTTAGTGTCAAAGAATTTATAATATTTATAAACAATAAAAAACTTTCTCTACAGATTATTATAGATATAATATGTAATAATAGTAATTATAGATATATGATAATATGGGATCTTGAGAAAGGGAAAGAATATGATATATATAAAATCAACTGTGTAAAAATGATAAGATTTATAAATTTTATTTGTTTTAAGGCCTTTACAACACTCGTCAATAATGCTCTGCAAGTAGCAGTAATCAACGGATTTGGCGATTTTATATTGTTCTTGGGAAAGTGTTTCGTCACGGCTGCAACCGGAATTGTCGCATTGCTCTTGATGAGACGAGATCCTACTCTTCATTTTTACGCTATTCCGATCTTTATTGTTTGCGTTTTTTCATTCTTTATCGCTCATTGTATAATTTCTCTTTACGAGGTAAGTCACATAAATTTCTTTATACTTATAACTTCTTCATACTTATAACATTTTATTAAGATTTTGCAAACAAGTGAATCAAATCTCCTATTATAATAAGGTAATTTCTATTATTTTAGACTGTCATTGACACGCTATTCTTGTGTATATGTGAGGATAAAAACTTGAATGGTGATAATGGAAAATGGCGACAATCTGCATTAGCACAACTCGGATCCTTCAGCAGCAACACAAACGGCCAACAGTCCCACGAAATGACACCAATAAATGAATAAGTATTTATATGCATATTTTTTATACATCTTTATTCGTACGTATATTTTTTTTATATTGTTGGAATACTTATTTTTGTGCATTTTATCACTTTACCTAAGACACTAATGAGAATTCATTCCTTTTCACAATATCGTATCATTATACAAATAACTTTACAAAAATTTATCACGAGAATTATTTTTAGAATGTTTTAAGATGTTTAATGTCTGTTATGTGTGATGATATATAATCATTTATAACATAGTTTTTACATACAACAAAACATAATGAATACTATAATAATAATATTATATATAATGATATATATGTCATTATTATATAATATTTTTATCTAATCATGTAATTTTATAATATTACGATTTCTTGGTATTAATTCTGTTAAGACTACAGGTCTTTTGTGACATCATTATCAGATTTTATTCAGACTGAATTATTGTTCATTTTTTGGCAGCACAAAAAAGATATTTAGGCAATTTTGATTGACACACAAGAATCTCAAACTCACAGTTTGATAATGCAACAAAATGAATTATGCTTGTAAAATGGGGAATAATACGGATAATTTATTATCCAGGTATATAATCTGCTTGTACTTAATGCCAGCTCTTCATTTAACTGCCAGACTTTAAGATGTACTCTGTAATTTTTACCATCATTGAGAGAAAGATTACACTGTTTTATAAGAAGTTTTTCATAGCCCATCAGGACTAAATATCTAAATAATATAATGAACATAAAGAGTATAAATCCAATTTATATCTTTTCTAAACATGTAACACTGTGTCATCAAAGTGCCATTGCACAAACTAAAAATTTAATTATGTCTTATAGAAACATTTATAAGATGATATTTATATTGATCTTAAGTATTATTAAAAGCAAATGCAAGAAACATTATTATGAAGAATCTATGTAACTACTCTTTATAAGAAATATGTATTTTAATGCAACAAAGTACAATTATTTGTAATTAAAAAAATGTTTTACATGAAGTATATTATATGGATATACAAAGTATTTTTGTCATAACGATGAAAAATGGTTATTCTGCTTATTGCAAATGGAAAGTCTATTTTCTCTCATTCCTTCCGATCAAATATATAAAAAAGAAAGCAATACAAGATTAAAACTTCAGTTTATACTTAGATAATAAGAATGTAGTTTCTAAAATGCATTTAAAGTATTATTATATGATAAATTATAAGATTATAGATAATTATATGAGATGAATTTGTATTAATAAGTATGGCATGCTAATTAGTACAAAGTATTATCGAGCAGTTTGATCCAATATGCTTTAAATAATTAACAGCTATTATGATATTAATGTTACATATAATTAAAAGTTATAAATATTATTATTGAAGAAAAAAATTGATTGTCTTGAGTACAAAACGTGTATTAGTAATTAAGAAAAATTATTAAAAAATAAGTTTGTATTAGTTAAATTATATATTAAATTTAAAAGATCTTTTAAGAGCACAACAAAAATATACACAATGCAGTATTTGAAAAAAAAGTATTTTGTTATATTTACTTAACATTATGTCAATACGCTATGAGATTGTTTTCAATTGTTCTTTATAAAATTATATATCATATGAATAAAATAAAAAATGAAAAAATCTGTTTGTTTTTTACTATATTGAGTTATAACAAATGCTCACAAATCTTAAGATAAAATTTATAATTCTTTTCATAATATAAATTATACAGAACATTATCATCATTATATTTGTAATTTTTAATGTTACAATTTTATAATTAAATAAATATAAAATGTTTAATACATAAATTTTATGTAAATTAATCAAAAACGTGTTTTAAATTGATCCATAATCTTAATTGGTTGAATATGTTTAACTGTAGGTGCTAAATAATTCTATAAAATAAATCTTACATGTATATACATGAAATTTTATCAATATTTTATTAATAATATTACAATACGGTAATATTTATTTTACTTTCTTTTTTTCAAAATTTTTGATTTTACAGATTTTCCTTTTTTAATGTTTTTAACAGATTTTCCTTTTTTAATGTTTTTAACAGATTTTCCTTTTTTAATGTTTTTAGGTACTACAGACTTCTTTTTTATCTTTTTTACCTTATTTTTATCTTTTTTTGTAATCTTGTCCGTATTTTCACTTTTATCAAATGCCTCAAGTTTTTTTTCTATTTCTTTTGCCTTCTCCAATAAATCGCCCTTAAATATCTCGTCTGTAGGATTAAGTGCATAAGATTCATCAGGCTTGTTTGCCTCTTGTGCCATTTTCTGTTCCACCCTATTTATATATTTATTGGCAGCTCTTTTTGTCAACGATTGCCGATACTAAAATTTTTAAATAAATAAAGTACATACATTTTTTGCACAGGTAATAAATCACACAACTCTACATCAAATATAAGAATGTTGTGTTACCTTGGCGGGAGAAATATAATGTGGATTATCCCATAAAGTATCACTACCAAAACTTCCAGCAAATATTTTGACTGGATTCAGAACAAATCTTGGTCCAATTTCGGCTAATCCACCGTCTTCAGTTAAAATTTGAAAATTTCGAAACCAGATCCTATTATCCAAAACGCTAAATGTATATACATGATCAAAAAATGGCTGGCTTTTAGGATGATGATTTGGTACGCCAAAAATCTGTGTTAATAGTTCTTTTAAAAGACTATAATGAGCATGTGTGGTGAAATTTTCGTCGAAGGATAATAACGGGCGCGATCCCTTCAAACAGTTTCCTGTCATTTTTAGTTCCCCCATTGTATAAACTGGAAGTTAATGATATATATATATATATATATATATATATATATATATATATATATACTTAATTTCTTTTACACAATTTCTTAAATCTAATTATAAAAATAATACGTACTGTTTTCTATAAGAAATTTCACACTTGGACCGGTAGGTACATTAGCAAACCATATGTAAAGATCGCGCTTTTTTCGACCTTCAAACAAGATAGCCTTATTACAATTCTTTATCTCGCACATTTCATTCACTACTTGCAAATTTTTATTTCGTTCCATTTTGCACTCTGGACGGTGGTGTGGCATTAGTTTTTTCAAATCATCCATAAGATGTCGATGCCTATAATTGATACCTCGAGTAGCAAAGACTAATACTCGTTGTCTGTTAATCCATTTCACCTATTAAAAATAAAAATTATATTTTTTCTAATTTTAATTTTTCATTGATAAACATAGCTGTACAGATTGTAGAAAATAAAATGTAAATTGTACAAATTAACAATCATTTCTCTGAATTTCTTCATATTTTGTTGAATGTTTCTCGTAAAAAAAAAAACTCGATAGATTTTATAAAATGTAACATTTGTATTTAAATGAGTCTATTTAATATTATAGTTAGGTTAAGTAAAATAATATAAATCTAGTTATTCGTCAACCTTTTTAGCAGGTGGTTCATCTGACATCTTTTTCGGTTCATCTTGTTTTTCTGCTTCTTTCTCTTCAACTTTTTGTTTCCTTTTCAATATTTTATTCGTCATTTTAAATATTTTAATCAAACAACGTTCCTCAAGTCCTCAACGTGGTCAGAAAAAGAGGGAAATTATTTGAGAGGCGCCATGCTGCTATTCTTCATAAAGTCCCTAAAAACTATAAACTAGGGACTTAAGGTTTTTTTATATTGCCTTCAATTAAACTAACCTAATCTGAATTCGCGTCACTTGCTGTCGCTTCAGTTTACGGAGTTTGCGGCACATTTTAGAGATTATTGAAGTAATTTGTTTTTATTTTCGTGTTTCGCGTTTTTACTCAAGAAATTTAATCTTTTCCTCTATTATCTTTTTTTTTGTTAAATCTCAAATATACAACTGATATTTATATAATTAATTTATAAAGGAAATAAAATTGTTAAGTTATAGATTAGAAAGAATTGTATTTGTTTATATATGCAATTCTTTTGCAATTTACATAAATATCTTTTATTTAACAATGTTCATGTAACAAAAAGATACTTTCTGTCTAAACAATATTTTTTCAAAAATGTTAAGCTGAATAAAACTTAATTTTCAATAATTATTAATTGAAATAACTACCAAGAAAATGACACAAAAAATGGAAGTCATTGAATTGATGTCCGATGAAGATGAGAATACAGGAAAATCCAAATCTAAAGCATGCAATAGTAATTGCGTCAATTTTAAATGTCGCTCTGGATTAAATATAAAGGTTGCACCTTCCTTTGCGTGTGCTTTTTATGGAGTCTCAATAGAAAAAAAGAAAAAACGTGTGATATGTAAAGAATGTTTTGATGCTGCACTGGAACATCAGAGGGTAATTTTTAAAATATTATTCTATGGATAAATTGGATAATGTGATAATATGTCAAAATATGTAGACATATACTAATTTTATTTTTATTATTACATTTATAGCAACTGGTAACAGCTCTTGTAGAAAATAAACCACTATTAGACTGTGACTTTCCTGATCATACAATGGAAGTAGAAATTTCTGATAGTGATGATTCTGATGATGACAAAAAAAAGGAACTGGATAATGATGGTATATTGAACTTTTAATTTTATTTAAAAATCAAAAGAAATACAATCTAATTTTACAATTAAATAAACTAGTAAAATATAAAAATTATAACTCTTGTGTTTTTTTCTTTTTGCAGAATATATACCAGAAGACGTATTTTTAGATATTAAAAATAAATTAGATTCTACATTATTAAATATTACTAAGAAGTATAATATAGAACAGCAGACTGAAATTGCATATACTTGTCTGAAACAAAAATGGCAAGATATACGTGGTAAAATACTAGAAAAAATATAAATCTATATCTTTTATATTATTTAACCAAGATAAGATATTTAAATTAGATTTATTTTATATTTTATTATGCATTAACAGCGACAAATGAGTCTCTTCATACTGAAATACGAGAAGTAATGCGGAACATGGATAAATTGCGTAACCAGTTATATGAGGATTTTAGACCACAAATTAGAATGCTTGAGGAACTTCAAATAAACGATGGGATTACAGAAAATGCCCTTCCGCTTGTTGCTACAAAGAAAGTGACGCAAATGCGTGTCCCACCAGCCACATTAGCACAAGATAATCAGTTGGAAGTTTTAGCAATTGAACCATCAAATATTAAAAAAGTAATAGTTCCTAAATTACCGCCAACTGGTCCTCTCGTGAAACCACTTCTAAAAATAGACACTATGGTTTATATTATGAAAAATCCAGTTATGTCATGGATAAAAGCAAAGGTTTGTACAATCCCTATTGAATAACATTTTTTCTTTTTTCATATTTTTATTAGATAAACAAGGAATCAAAAATATTATAATACGGAAATATTTTTACAGATTCACAGCATAGTTTCAACAAATCCATGGATCTTTCGAGTGAAATTATTGCAAAAAAAGCATGCTCAAGCAATACTCAAGACTATTTCTGGCAAGATGATTGCAGTAGCTGAAATATGTCCAGTTATGATCCCAGTTGGAACACGAGTTATAGCTATATTTCACGATGTTAATTCTAATAATTATTACAGTGGAATAATTGCTGAACCACCAAAGTCTACAAATAAATATAGGTAAATGTTGTTCAATTGTGTAACAAAATAAAGATATATAAATAGTTTCTCATAAATTTTGCCATATATTGTAATATTAAATTATGTATTATATATTTTAAATTAATTTTTTATTATCACAGATATTTAGTATTTTTTGACGATGGTTATGCTCAGTATGTTACTCACAAAGATATTTTACTGGTTTGGGAGATCTCTCTTGGGAGAGTTTGGGAAGATGTTCCCAAAGAATCGCGAGAATTCGTGAAAAAGTATCTGGAATCGTATCCCGAGAGGCCAATGGTGAAACTACAAACAGGCCAGGTGGTCAAGACTGAATGGAAGGGTAAATGGTGGCTCGCGAGAGTCATCCAGGTCGACGCGAGTCTAGTGCAAATGTATTTTGATGCCGATAAGAGAACCGAATGGATTTATCGTGGATCAACTAGATTAGGTCCTTTGTATCTTGAAATTCTAAAAGCCAATGCGAGACAACAACTTCAACAGTCAGGCAGCGCACACGTTCGACATCGTATTCCGGCCGTTTCTAATGTAAGCGAATAATTAAGTCACTTTCGAAATACATAAAAAAACATCAACGGTATTGAAAATATTTAATTACATAATTTAGATATACTTCTTTATTAATTAACGGTATAATTTTTGCAGAAAAGTAATTTGCCTTATGTTGAATATACATCTAATGTAGAAGAAGATGTATCACAAAGTGTACAAGCAGAAAAAGCAACAACTCCTACAAGCATAGCATCCAGTTCATCGTCCACTGTACCACAGCAATCACGTGCTGTAGCTAAAAAAAGTACTGCTAAAAGGCAAAGTAATGTAGAAAGTACAACATATAATACTATGATAGAAACGAAACCGTCGCATAGTATCGTTGTAAGTAAATAATAATTCATATCACACATGCACATTATTATATGTATGTGCTATAATTATTCAATAATAATATACTCTAATTTCTTTAATTTGAGACATAGGTTTTGTATATTCATATGCTAAATTTTGTCTAGTTTTACCACACACAGAGGAAATATGAACCAAAGCAATACGTTTCTCACAAGTGTGGACCAAAATGTATCAGAAATATTAAAGTTTCGCACAACGATCTCAAAGGACTCTCTCCGCTTTCTGTTCCTCTGTTATGTGGCTGGCATCGTCAGCTTTGTAAATATTCTAAAAACAAAAAAGTTATTATGTATCAGGCACCATGTGGTATCAGGCTGCGAAATATGGAGGAATTGCATCGTTATCTTCGTATGACTGATAGCACTTTGTCCGTCGATTCGTTTGATTTCGATTACTGGGTGCGCGCCTTCGCGGATTTTGTCGTGGAGAAGTGCTTTATTAATATCAACGTAAGTCTTTTGCATATTAAAATGTAAAAATCTTAATTAAAAATATTCATAAAGATATGAAAAACTATCAATATTGCATGGAAATGTATTAGAATATACTAGTATGTTATATATTATAAATATACATATAGATATATTAAAATATGCGAATAACATTGTGATTTTATATTCAAAAGGATCTCAGTTATGGCGTGGAAAATATATCGATACCGTGTGTGAACGAGTTGGATCACACTCAACCGGATACTATAAGATACACCACAGATCGAGAGCCAACGGAAGGCGTTAATTTAAATTTGGATCCTGCGTTTTTATGCAGCTGCGATTGCGAGGACGATTGTCAAGTATGAAACTATAAAATTACTATGATATAATTACAAATTTATGTGTTATAATTTATATTATACCTTACTCTATTTATATAATATGTAATGACAGGATAAAGCAAAATGCCAATGCTGGCAATTAACTATACAAGGGGCAACTTTGGGAGGAAAAGTGCCAAATACCGACGTTGGTTACGTTTATAAACGTTTGCCCGAACCGGTGACCACGGGAATCTACGAATGTAATTCCGGATGCAAGTGTTCAGTGAAAACGTGTCTCAACAGGGTGGTGCAGCATCCCCTCGGGTTAAGATTACAAGTATTTAAAACAGGACCACGCGGTTGGGGCATAAGGTGCCTCAATGACATTCCCCATGGTGCTTTTATCTGTATATATGCAGGAAGACTACTCACTGAACAAGTGCGAATAATTGGAATCAATCTCGATTCGTAGATCCGCTGATTTATTTATTTATTACCTTATATCTGTGTTAATTTATAGGGCGCTAACGAAGGAGGCAAGAATTATGGCGACGAATATCTGGCAGAGTTAGATTATGTGGAGGTGGTAGAAGGTTTCAAGGAGGGATACGAAAGCGATGTCCTCGAACCAGAAATGCCGCTCGAATCAGTCGCGGAGAATGATAAAAAGAAAGCCAGCGACGAGGAAGATAATACGAAAGAAAACACCAATGATTCGGATGAAGATTTCAATATCGATTCTTACGTAGCTGACAATAAAGATTTGTTTGAAACAACTGCGGAATCTTCGTCTATCAGGTTCTTACACGTTTAATTCTCTAACTTTATCATAATTGATAATTTATGTACTTACTAAAATATTATATAAAGTAAAAATCTATACTTCTTACAATTGTATTACAATATATTTTATTAAATTGTAATATTTGTTGGAAATGAAAAAAATTGCAAGTTTTGTTACGTCAGAAAACGCCTGAGAAAACGGAAAAGAGATGAAACAGATAATCAACCGGATGTGTCCGAAGAGAATAGCGAGGATGGAAGCATTACAAAAGGTTCGGAAAATATGGCAAAATCATCCATCAGTGAAATTTACGATACAATCAATATAAGTGATGATGATGACAGCAGAAACGATGTAAGAAGGGAACCAAGTAGATTTGAACCGAGTGTAGAGCCAAAACAAATAGAGAGACCAACATTCAAATCTGTAAGAGATTATTTCGGCGAAGATGAAGCCGTTTACATCATGGATGCCAAAACGACTGGAAATATCGGTCGCTATTTGAATGTGAGTAAAAGAAATTTCTATCATTTAAATTACATTTAAAATAAAAATTTTAAACTTTAAAACTTTTCGAAATTTTGAAATATCTATCTTAGTATCTAATTCATTTAATTTAACATTTTTATATTTATGATATATGAATTTTTAATGTAAAAAATGTAAGTTATTCTTATACCTAAATATTTCTTTAGCACTCTTGCGATCCAAACATATTTGTGCAAAATGTTTTCGTCGATACACACGATGTGCGTTTTCCGTGGGTGGCATTTTTCGCTTTACAATACATAAAAGCTGGACAAGAGCTAACGTGGAACTATAGTTACGATGTAGGAAGTATTCCGGGTAAAGTAATCATTTGTAAATGTGGTGCAGCGAATTGTAGAGGACGGCTTCTATGAACTTTACATTTTGTGGTCCTTTGTGGAATATAATTTGCTTCTTTTAGCAAAGTCGATAATTGATTGTATATAATATACGAATATTATATTATTGCTATTGTATTCAAAATATATAGGATATGTGTTTAGTGAATATTTTATTTGTATAAAAATCTGCAATACCAATTTGCTTAATTTTCAACATTTATATCCATGTGCAGATATCTACATTCATTTCACATCTCTGAATTTTACTTTTAATAAGTCATATTGTGTTAATTAATATTTCAATGATATCAAATTATTTTCAATGATTTAATAATATAAAAAAGTAATTTTATATTTAATTTTTTATATTTAAATTTATTTTAAAATTTATATTAATAGTAATATATTCTTCCTGTCATTTTTTTGAATTAGATTCAGAGTGGCTTGCATAATTGGGTATAAGAGACAAGCTCAATTGTGTTTCATATAACAATGATGTATTTGCTTGTTACTTTTGATTATTGTACATCCTTAGCATCCATTAGATACGTTACACGTTGTTAGCATTGCAAATGTATTAATTCTTTTTTGTCGCAATTTTCACATATCTCGTTCAAAAGTCAACTCAACGTACAAGTATCTCAAAGGACAGTTTAGCACTTTGTTTCAGAGTATAAGGAATCCCACAGACCTAATCACGAAAATATCAGACTTAAAATGGAGAATAAGATATTATAAACAATTGCGACATAAAAATGTATAAAAAAGTTTTTCAGGAGCTATAAATTAATAACAAACAATATATACCACCTTAGAGGATGTATCAAAATATATTATATTTTATATTGGTATATGTATGTATGATTGTGTAAAATTTAAATTAATCATAACTAATCGCAACTATGCGCCCGAAATAATATCTTTTTATTCTAAATCTGTAACTTATATAAGTGTCTTTAGAACCATAAAAAATTAATGATCGCGAGAAGAAGATAATTTCATTATATATTCTATTGACACATGCAGTATACTATATTATTATTATTATTATTATTTATTATTATTATTATTATTATTATAAAACATTATCCACGTACCTATGTTCATTTAATTTAGAGTGTTTAAATATGATATCCTAGTCATCATAGGCGAGAAATCAAAACAAAGCTGTGGTGGAATAGTCTCTCTCTCTATAAGGAGGAACATTAACGTATTAAAATAACAAAATTAATATTTCGCGTGTTGTTTAGCTTTATGCTAGTGAAGTTTCAAGAGTTGTTTAATCTCGTCTTTCTCAGCCGCGTCCAGATAACTTGTGCCGTCTGGTGTTAAACCATCCGGTTTAGCGCCTTTCTCCAGCAACAGTTTTACACAGTTTGTATGTCCTTCCCAAATTGCTGCCAGTAATGTTGTGATTCCATGCTTATCTGTGGCCTATAAATAATATAATTATAGTATGATTTTGCTATACATATTTTGATATATTTCAGATGTTGAACAAAAAAAGTCTATTGTATCATGGAACTAATTATGAAATTATAGGAACGAGCAATTGTAAACAAAATGTAAAACAATTATATCCATAATATACAATTACTGAATTATAATATTGATTAATTGTTTTATATTTTGAGATGTTAATTTAGTAGAGGTAACTTACATTGGCATTTGCTCCTTTCTCCAACAAATATCTAACGACTTCACTTTGACCATAATCTGCTGCATAATGTAGTGGCATTCTTCCATCAATCATTTGATTTACATCAATATTCTGCAATCAATAACAATAGCAGATGACAAAGCATATCTTTTTAATTTTAGCTTTAAATTCTATAACACATATATAACTAGAATACTATAATAAAAGTATTTTATTAAAGTTTGCTATAAGATACATTGTTAATTTATTTTGCAACTTTCTTCTAAGTACGATTTATCTAATAATTCTAAAATATATGCTGCTGTACAGTTAGATTGATTACAATTTTCAGATTGCTGTCTCATCTAGGATTAAGTTTATGAAAAGGAGTATACAGACGTTTAAGACATGCAAAGAGAAGCAAGATCAAAACTTGTTAGTGGCAGATAACTGAGGAGACGTGCCAATGTGTTATAATTGCTCACATCTGCTCGTATATACTTCCGGCATCAAGGTATGCAAACATTTTCCAATATTGTTCGACGACCTTTTGCGAATACTTAATAATCTAGAGAGACGCATTATATATGCATAATCGGGATGCGTGCATTTTTTTTCGAAATTTTACAAGTTTTACGATGTCATATTTGCCTTGTTTTCGACGATATCTCGCACTTGCTCGAGATCGCCGTTCTTTATCCCCCAAACGAGTTCGCTCATTCTCGTCGTCGTCGTCGTCTTTTGCTGATGATCCACACGACGAAACGGTTGTATGTATACACACTGCGTACTCTTCCACTTTTTCCTCCGGTTTCTCTCCTATCCGTTCCGTACCTCAATCATTCGCCCATGAAATTTGACGCAACTCTCCAAGCGACACTGACAACGACTTTCCTTGTGTGTGTGCTGACTTCTGACAATTCGTACGAGCTGTCAACCTACGAAAACCAAAAACACTAGGTAAAAGGATCTCGCACCAGTTCTCAAAGAATATTTTCAATTTTTCTAACATCGTCCAATTACATACTCCGATTCTTTTTTAGTCGTATTTATATATTAAATTATTTATATATTATTTATAAATTATTTATATATATTAAATTATTTCTTTATTAAAATTATGTATTATTGTAAATTTGATAAATGTGCGAGAAAATGCGCTGTTTTTGATAAAAAAAGAAAATTTTATATCAAGGAGATAACCTTATCAATTTGTAGAAATCGCGAGTTGATCACCACTGACAGATCATATGGGACTAGGACGTCGACTGTCGGCTGACTTCAGACAGTTGCGACTTATGAGAGATATAAGTGAGTTAGGTTAACGAATCTCAAGAGATTTCGAGCATGTTTACCTTCCATTCTAATCTGTAACGAATAATATTTATTCTTCTTCATTCAGAAATATATTTACAACAACAAAATGGCATCGATCGCTCGTATCGGTATCGCGAAACTCGGATACAATAATCTTACTAGACAATTATGTAAGGTTAGTATTAACGCAGTGTTAACAGATTTTATTTTTGGCAACGTTCTACAGAGTATTTAAGATATCGATAATTAAATTGAATCATCAATATAAATGATATTCATCGTTAAAGAAAGAGGTTTCTCCTTATAGACGACACTAAAGAATATTTCAAATAATATTGATATAAATGTATGCATATTCTGTCAAACGATATGTCATGATATATAGTATGTATGAATTGTGCAGGTAACAGCCACCAACAATGTAATGCAGTTAGCATTCATCTCACATAAGTCGAAACGAGTTGATCGACGACGAGTTCCACCGTTCGATTACTTGAACAAAGAATATGGTTTTTGGGCTCAGCTTTTTGATCCAATGGTGGATCGATGCTCCGACGAAAACTCCAAGGTAATCGTCGTTGAAGGTCCGATCGCTGCAGGAAAGTCTAAAGTGGCCGCCAAATTAGCAGAGGAGTTTGAAATGATCTATTTGCCACCACCAACCTTTGATGAATTTTACATAACTGAATATGGATACGATTTGCGTTCGCTAGATGACAGATTATCTCCATCATCTCAATCGTGTGATGTAGAAAAATTCCTGACTGATCCGCACCATCCCAATGTGACCATGTTTCAATTCCACTATTTCCAATTCAAGTTTGATCAGTACATTACTGCTCTGTTGCACTTGTTGTCGACTGGCCAAGGAGTGGTGCTCAATCGTTCTTTCTACAGTGATTACATATTCGCAACAGCGATGACAAATGCCGGTTATATGCGTCCACAGGCATTGAAATTTTACACCGACGTCGTAGACGTCGCGAAATTAATGATGCTGAGACCTCACTTAATTGTTTATTTGGATGTACCCGTTGATGCAGTCAAGGTAATTTTATTTTATCATAAATAATACATCGGTACAAACTTAACTTTGTATATATATTAATTTAAATTTAAAATATTTCATGTTAATTTCTATTATGTTTAATATTTTTGCAGGAAAAAATAAAGAAACAGAATATACCGTACGAAGTAAATTCAAAAGTTCTCACATCAAAGTATCTTCAAGATATCGAAAATTTATATAAGTTGGATTATTTTAAAAATATTGTCTCACATTCTCATGTACTAGTCTATGATTGGACGAACGAAGGAGACATTTCTACTATTGTTGAGGACATCGAGTTTTTGAATTTTGATTATGATAAAAAAGCTAAGAAAATGGCAGATTGGAGATTTGAAAATGTTCAGGAACTACGAACTAAGAGACAGTTGTATATAGATCGGTATTTCCTGCATTGCGATTATATGAGAAACGAATTTACAGTACCAGAAATGTATTATACAGCTGAGCAAGATGAGGAAAGATTTAAAATACTGCAACTGGTATGTATATATGTATAACATAGGAGATTTTACAATAGAAATTCATCAACTTTACATACCATAAATTACCGTTTAATCATAACACTGTAACCATATATACAATATTTCATAAGACAATAAGTTGATCAATGAAAGAAATGCATACAGTTTGTATCATGAAAATTACAAAAAGAATAGAAATTTGATATTCTCTGCTTAGAATTATCATATGTATTAATCTTGTTACAGGTACCTGGACGTGAATTTGCTAAAGGATACAATCCTACTCTAGATAAAAATATTCTGTGGAAAAGAGAGAAAAAGTCTCTTATTGAAACGATGAGACCCCATGCGCGCGAATTAGAAGTAATAAAAGAAGAAATGAAAAAACTTAAGGCTGCAGCAATGCAGTAAGAACGAGATATATACAGGAAAAGTAGAGCTTGTAAACAGTAATTAAGGTAAAAATAAATTATAATTATACTCAATAAATTGGGGAATAATGCCTCTACATTCTTGATTTGTATCAGATGACCTCTATCAATTTCATTGCTATATTAATTACTATATTATGTCGCAATAATATTCATTAATTTTTTAACAATATTTTTATTAAAAATAAATCTACTCCCATAACTTTTTGGCAGAGTTAAAAGATCCATTTTAAAAATCTACTTTAAAAATTTTGTTGAAAAATATGTTTAAATACTATTTAATGTTTCATAAAAATTAATAGCAATGAAATAATGTATCATGTGTATTTATAAGCTGTCTTAATAATAACATTAATAATAATCTCAATAATATACACACTTGGATAAATCTATTTCACATTGTGTGAACTATTTTTGTATAAATTATTTTCATTCTTTTATGAATACATATAGTATTAACATTTAAAAATATATTAATTTATATATTTACTGGCTCATGAGACTTTTCAACATACATAGTATAAAGATTATATGTTACTTAATATTATATATATATATATATATATATATATATATATTATTCTTTTCTTTTTCTCAAACACATTTTCCAAAGATATACCACATTGAAGCTGAAATGACCAGTTTTATCGATCAATTTGATGAAACATGTAATATAATCAATATTAATAGTATTCATTTTTAAGATAAATTTTTTTTATACATATGATAATTTATATTAAAAAGAATTAGAGAAATGATTTGTACATGTAACAATATTAAACAATGGCCTTTGAATACGTATAGTATTTTTCACATTAAGATACTATGGAGACTTCTCAATATACATAGCAAAATCACATAGTTACAAGATAAAAAATTATTTTTTATAAATTACAGAAAATTTCTATTTGTTAAACACAAAAAGTTTTTTGATTATATATTTTTATATTGATGATATTTGATAAACTGTAACTTAACTACTTGAACAGAGATATATCACTTGTTTAGTGATCGACAGATTTTTATGATAAAGTTTACGCTGCAGTTGCGTTTTTTATGCGTAAAAAGGGCATTAACATTCGGAATGTTACATTTAAGGCGACCTTTGACACTAGAAATTTCTTTACAGTCATTTTCCCTCGCACAAAGTTCATCTCGGAAGTAATTCTTATAACCACAATTGTTTAGGACCGTTTCTCGCAAGTAGACAAATTCTACAGGCGTATATAACATCCATATAAAAAATTTCATTTAAATGGGAGGAAACCGGCAGTGGTTTGCTTTTTTTGCCTGTTATTTAACTAGAAATTCAACAAATTACATTCCATCGAAAGAATTAAATCATTTCTTTCCCATTATATCTTTTCATTTATTAGCTAAACCTTTCCTCCTTCCTCCCGTGTATCATTCTTTCCGCGAGTCATATAAATATTTACGCTTCTATATCGCGAAGATTATAAAGTCACATTTATCGAAATACCGAAGCGGTGAAGATCGCTGAAGTTAAAGAAACATACGTCCTAAGGAGCTAAACTACAGCAGGAATTGGTTTTCCGCGCAGTCTTGTAAAACGCCTTTGACTGAGCGCTGAGTCCCTCTGACTTGGAGACTAGATCATCTAATTTCTCCCCCCTCTGTAGTACTGCCTCTAAGGTATTGTGCTAATAAAATAAATTACAAAATTTTGAATGTTTGTATAAAATTGATTTTGTTAGAAATGAACTATTCTTATTAATTCAATGAATTGTTCTTCAGAAATTTTTTAAAAATTAAACAAATTATTGCGAAGAAAATTGTTTCTTACCAAAATAATTTTTGTCTCATCCAGATCATTCTGCATTTTCGTGAGCGCATCAGCTTCGAGTGGATTCTGATACTTGGCTAGATACGTGTTGATCTGTGGAAAGTCAGCAGTAGCCTCTTTGAGTGAAGGCCATGATGATGGCGAATTTTTCACCGCGAACTCATCCATCACCTTCGTGATCAAAGTATGCGCCACTCTCCTGGGGTATTCGTGATCCGAGATGAGTACTGCGGCAAGATTATCGGCGCGCACATATACATGGCACATGTATTCTGTGGAACATCATAGTGTATAGTGTATGTTATAACATTATACTTACAACTACATAAAAAATTTATTCTTAGTTTTATATATATGATTACCTCCTTCTTTGACACTCTGTCTAGCACACGTCTGTGTTCTTTCCACAATAGTTTTACTGACAAAACACATAAATTCTTTAATACTGTTTCTTTGAAAAAATGAAAATGACTCTACATCGTAAGCAGCTTTCAATGTTGTTGCCGATGTAGGACTTTTAAACAGAACAGTCAATGCATATAACTTCACCATCTTAAGCTGTAAAATAATATAAATATAATATTAAAGTATAAGTAATATAAATACAATATATTAAAGTATATTTAACAATTTCAATCTATCATCTTATTTAAATCTTTTAAAAATAAGTACACATCTGTTTTGTACATATCATAAATTGTATAATTAATTAATACAAATATTAGGAATAATTAATTTTATAGAATAAAACATTGTATATAGTATTAATATGTACAAATATTTTATTATCTAAATTTATAGCCTTCTTATGTGTACATTAAAGAATACAATAAGTTGATGAAAGCATAGGAAGTTGCTTTTAAATTTCATAAATTATATAATTTACAATAATTTATTATTCAATTGTCCAATTTGACAAGTAGTAAGATTTTTATATAAATCTTAGGAAACAAGTATTATTTGTTCGAAGACGAGAAAAAATTATTATAACTGGTTCTAATTATAGTAGCAATATAAAAAAATTTTTCTATATTTATTTTTTAGGATAAATTTATATGAAAAAAGTAGAAAATTTGTGTAAAAAAGTGACTGAAAAGTATGTCAAATACACACCTGTGCTTTTTAATAATATTAATATAATTTATGCAGGATCTCTTTGGTGGATCGCAGTGAATCCTGACGAATCCTGCTGCTCGTGCAACTTAACTATCAAGCAGGACGTTTACTCGCCGTGACAACTCACTGGAAAATCATCTTGTTTTTTCAAGACAAATATAGTCACTTCGATCTTGTGAGATACGAAAGCAGCCATGTTGGCTATGATGCATATCATGCAGTGACACTCATCTGTGATGTTATTTTTGGATCTTTTTTTTTTGCATTTTTATGTATTATTGGATTTAATATTATATTCCGATATTTAAAAAAAGATTATTTTTAAAGAAATTAATGAAAAATTTACAAAATAATAAAATTGTTTGTGATTGGTGTGTATTCTTGTCCAAAATTTATCCGGCAATCACGATAAAAAGCCGTCGAATGAGAGTTGCACCGAATGCACTCTACATAAATAATGTAGTTTATGGTTGTTTATGACCGCCATGATTGTTGTATTTTTTTTCATTCTTCATCTTTAGCGGCCGTTGTTGATTATTGCTAAATTAACGAATTTATTTTACTATTATCTGGATGACATTGTAGAAAATTATTATTTGCGCTAATCGATTCTTGCATTGTTTACATGAAAATACAACATTACAATCATCATGACGACCGCACTCTATTTGGAGCACTATCTCGACAGTTAGTTTTCACGATTGCCACAGTATTTATACAAATTTTTTCTATTTTATTCTATTTTCTTTTACTTCTCCATATTTAAAAGAGTAAGAACGAAGAATAATAGATTTATGTTCTGTCATTTTAATTTGATTTACATTCTTTTTCTTATATCACTTTATTTTTATAATTTTTATATTTTGAAGTACTTTTGCTTAACCATTTTTGTTAAATTATAAACAGATATTTATTTCTTTTTTTTTTGTCTACACAAATAAATTTCTATATAAAGCTTAACACATTGATATTGTTATTAATAAAGAAATAAATTTTATAAATGTATATATATTGCAGGTCTCGAACATTTACCAATCGAATTACAGAGAAATTTTACACTGATGCGAGATTTGGACGCGAGAGCACAGGGGCTGATGAAGGACATCGACAAGTTGGCGGATGATTACTTGAGGAATGTAAAGAAAGAATCATCGGAGAAAAGGAAAGAGCAGCTTGCCCATATTCAAAGTCTTTTTAATAAAGCAAAAGAATATGGCGATGATAAGGTTCAATTAGCTATTCAAACTTATGAATTAGTTGATAAGCATATTAGACGTCTGGATTCGGATCTAGCGAGATTTGAGGCAGAGATACAGGACAAGACATTAAATAGTAATAGAGCGCAGGAGGAGAGCAATGCCAGCAAGAAAGGTAGGAAGAAGCTCAAGGAGAAGGAGAAAAGGAAAAAGGGTAATACAGTCAGCAGCGAGGATGAAGCTAAAAATGCAAGAAAGAAGCAGAAAAAAGGTACTTTTATATTAAACTGCAAATTTAATATAAAAGTAGCTTAACATTTGTTAATTTTTAAATATTAACTTTATTATTTTATTATAGTAATGATTTTTGTTAATTTTTAAATGTCAACTTTATTATTAAATATAAATATGTACATTTTCATATCAGGTGGCTCTGTAGCTTCAGCATCATCCACTGGTGCTGTGGGTAGTGGTGCCCAGGTAGACTCGACGGCACTCGGACATCCGGCTGATGTTTTGGATATGCCTGTCGATCCTAATGAACCGACCTACTGTCTCTGTCACCAAGTATCGTATGGAGAAATGATTGGTTGCGATAATCCAGATGTAAGTTTTGCCATTTGCAATCTTAATGACCTCTTACTTTGTTTTTATATTTTAAATTCACTATTTCTAAAAGAAACTTAATTGCGCGCGTGATTTATTTATTATTGTTATTAATTAACTTTAATTTAAAATATTTAAAAAAATTTTGTTTTAAATAAACTTTGTTGATAGTTAATCTCTCTTAAAGAAAACTATCTACTGTCGATGTTTGTTGGCTTTTTAAACATGCATTTCCTAATAAAAATTTGTAATTATTTCATTACAATTTAAAATTATAGATACTATGTGAGTTTGGTAATTAATTGTTTATTCTTTTCTTTTTAGTGTCCCATAGAATGGTTCCACTTTGCCTGTGTAGGTTTAACTACAAAACCTAAAGGAAAATGGTATTGTCCCAAATGTACACAAGATCGCAAAAAGAAGTAAACTCTAGGAATTTTTAATCTGCTCATCGCTACATTTTTAAAAAGAGAAGATTTTACCGTACGTTATTTCTAAAAGTAGCATAACTTTTTTGCATTAAAAATTAAATAATTTTTTTATAAAAGGACTATAGAAAAATTTATGAAAAATATAAGAGTAATAAGACTGTGTAGAATGCATTTTCATTGCATCTAACACTGATAACGAAACGATCTTTTCATCCATATTACTGCGCATTTAATATTAAATGCACATGCAAACATTGCTAAATTAATATCGCTAAATCTATAACAATTGTTTTAGAAAATTAAAATTTTTAACATAGAGAAATTATATTTTTTTTGTCTAAGAAACTGAGGAGAAGATTGCATTACAAGCTTTTTTATATTACATAGAAAGAATCTAAGAATTCTCTTTTATTATATTAATGATATTAAATCAATTAATTCACATATATGTGGAATTTTTGTGATCTATCCTTAAATATATCAAATAAGTCAAATAATATTTATTATCAATTTTAGATGTAATGGAAGCACAGTTCGGGCATAAGTGTATCACAATCATAGAAAATGTTTTAAGAATCGGCCATCGTATCTCGCTGTTACACTGTATATTCCTTTTATATAAGAGAATAATGATTTATTGGCAATCTAAACGTCGTACATATAAGAATTGTTTGATATTCTTGCCATTTTTTTATATGGCCGTTTCTTGAATATATCTGTGACTTGTTCGCAGTGTGATCACCTAGTATTGATCTAATATATAGTTTTAATTATAATATTAAATTATTAATGTTATTGCTGTTTTTATATGTTAGAAATGTACATTGCATACAGTATGTATATATATGAATATGTATATATACATATATATATACATACACACACAGAGTAAACTTCTGTTGAAGACGAAAAATGTATTATAAACAAAGTACACTATATATGATTAAAAAAATATATTTGATTCATCGAAGCTTATCTCGTCTATGTCTATCTATCCATTGCTGAGTATTTACAAAATATATTTATAAGCATTTTTGATTAATTATAGCATGTCATTGTACAATAATGCTCAAGTAAAAATGAAGTTCAAAATTTTCGCTTTAACTCTTCAAAGGAACATCATAAAATCACGCTTGCAATTTGCAATTGTCCTCTTCACACTCAATAATACTGCTTAGAATACGTTCTTTGAAACATTACATGGATTTTATGATATTTTATATTTATGTATAATGTATAACTATCCTAACAAACACATAAGTCAAGATATAAATAGAATATTATTATATAGCATATCATTATAAATGTCAAAGTATATTTTTTGAGCAAGTATCTCAAAAAATCAGACTAGAATATTGCAGAAATCTTTGTTTCATTGTATTAAGGGATTCCGGATTGTCTGTTGCAGCACTGACTGGGTGGTGCAGTCCAATTGTACTGATAACTCATGCGATTCCTTATTTCTTTGGAACAAAGTGCACCAGAAGCCTGATAATACTCGTGCATGCTCTTCATAGTTTGAATAGTTAGCTTATGCGTGACTATATATTGATTGGAGCAACCGCGCGATCTGTATTCGGTATCGAAGCGTATGTCGTGCTTTCTTTCAATATTTGCCAACGGCGCCAGCCAGAGACCCACAGAGATATCTTCGGAATTTTGCAGCCTAGAACATTCATACATAACTCTTCAAATTGAAAAACTAACTCTTGCCACATAAAAAAAGAAAATGAAGAAAAAGGAATAAATTGCAGAAATTTAAAAAGTAAATAAATTCATTTATTTTCTATATTATATAAAACAAGATAAATGCACAATTAAATGTACAAAGTATTTTATTTGTAATTCTATACTTACTTTAGGATATCAGCATTATTGGCGATAAACTTGACGAGATTGTGGGATAAAATGTATCCACCACCTAAGGCATAAGGAAGATAATAATCGCAAAGGATCCAATCTGTCTCCTTCCAAGGACCGCTCCTCTTCACCTGCGCTCGTCCGTTAAAGAAACCCCAATAAAGCTCTCTTCTAGTACCTTTGTTCTGCCACCTGTCCAATTCTTTCAAGATTTTATGCACCAAGACATAAGAATCGTCGTCGCATTTAAGCAAGAAGTCAAAGTTGTAACGCTCGTAAATGCCTTTAAGAGCATAGAGAACTTTCTTTGTCAATGTGCCATAAGAATCCTGTAATCGAGGCAGCAGCAACAGATCATTGAACTTCTCTTTCTCCGACTGCAAGGTGTTTCTTTGTTCTGGCAAGATATCCTGGGTACCGATGACAAAGAAATATTTCATCATAGCATCATGCCCACGATCTGCCAGCCAGGTCTTCCTGATGGTATCCCGGCGCTCAAGATTGTCCGGATTGCTGAGAATCAAGATAATAAGCCTGTACTTAGGCTTACTGTCAAGAGTTGTCTGCTCGTCCGGCAAACATTCTCGGGCTGGATAACGTGCGCAGAGGAAGACTAATACGAGCACGACTGGCACGAAGAACATCATTACGTTCGTCCTGGCGAAAAACTTTCTGCGAGTCATCGACTGCAACTTAGGTATAGGATTTAATCGTAAATGCGTCATGAGATTGAGCCGATGATAAGGTGATTTTGATTTTCTTCCAGGATTGAAAAACACACTGAAGAACGCAATATCGCTCGTGTAGATTTTTTTAAATCTTATTCTTGAATTCGCGATACCACGATTAGAATGCACTCGTGCAATGCAGTATGCCTATAAAATTTGATTAATTTATAACAAATTGAATCTAGAAATGCAAAAGACAAGAAGGCCTGCTTGTTTTATTTGCATTTTTTTGCGGATTCTCTTTCTTGGTTTTCAGAGTATCAACGTTCATTTCAGTTTTAAAAGTGCAAGAAAATATAACTACAAAAATGTTTAATTGTTGCAAATACACTAAAATAATTTCTAGGCCCGAATTCTCGTCACTGATGTAAACAAGTTCATCCGTGCATTCACAAACAAATCTATACAATGCACATCCGTACAAATGATGATCAGCTGTATTCTGTCATCAGCTGATCAACCAGTCTCCGAGATGCCGTTCAGGTTAAGTTAGGGTTAGGTTGGGTCAGAATATTGACATGTGATATATGTATGATGTAAGCGTGTAATAATCTTATAATTAGAGATTATATTTAAAAAAATATAACCAAAATATATACACGATATCAAAAATATCTCAATATATTAAATTTTATATTTTTCATATTCTTAAGGATTGATTTTACTTTTATCTATTTTTTTTTTTAATAAAGAGACAAACGTTTTTTTTCATCTTAGAAAAGCCGCAAAGACATTTTATATAACTATATATTTAAAAATTTTGATATAATTAGACATGACGAAATGAGAACATATATGTAAATCGCTTTTGCATGTAAAATAAATTTTAAATTTACGAGTAAATTTATAAAGTTGAAAGTTTATAGAATTTCGTCGAGATATTAACACTTAAAGATTTTAAAGAATTGCTCTCCTTTGTAAAGAGTAACACTTTATTGCTAGAAATTGAATAGATGATAAAAGTAAGAACGAGCTTGCTCAGGGAGTATAAAATAAATTCCATTGTGCTGACTCTCTCGGAAATTTTTATCGGCTTTAAGTACCATTACCCATTTTCTTAGTTGCGCTGCAATCCATATAACACTTACATAATCGTCATAGTAACTTGCAATGAAATAAAGTACAATGTTTCTAATTGAACGACATTTTGATATTCATACAAATAAATTAGCGTTTTCTTGATACACATATTTAATCGCTAAGCATAACACATTCCATTTGGCACCGCTTTAATTGTGTTGCAAGCAAAGTTTCGATTATAGCTTGTCGTTTCATAATAGTTCAGTACCTGTTCAAGATAAAACACAGTATTTCAATATAATGAATGCGTTTTTCGGATAAGGCACATAGTGACAGATACAAGCTATGTGTATGAACCGATTGAAATTCTCTGCCGGTGAAATGTGCACCGAATTCTAAGTGTTACAGGATATAGTGCCATATGTGTATTGATACAACTATTTGTAAAAATCTATTTAAACTAGCATACGATTATTATCATTTGCAGTTTAATAGTAATTATGCTTACTTCTCGCATATTAAGCATAAAAAGTGTATCTCCCCTATATAAGTTAAACCACACAGTTGATTTGATATAATTCGGAGTATATATATATATATATATAACCATCACATGTATATCAACAGATTTGTGTATTTCAATTATTACTACACAACTGATTTTGCTCAGCAAATCTTGTGTCGTGAAATTAGCATGTTGTGTATATGTATCGTAATATGGCAAAGGAAATGTGAAATTGCATGCAAATTTTTCAAAACGTTCAAATATTAAAAACACTTTATTAATAATAATAGAATAGTAGAAATTCACAAAATATTTTGTATATAATATATATATACATGTATGTAGATTATATACAAAATATTGAACATTACAGAATGCAAATATGTCCTTTACCATATTATCATAATGTAACACTGCAGTTTATAAAGACTGATAAATACAGAATCACGTTATTTGTAATTGTACTTATGAATTGAATTTTGAAAAATTTTTTTATTTATAGTCATTTTTTAATATTTTGTTTGTAATTAGATACATTCATATAAAATTATATAATGATATACTTAAAACATATTTAAAATAAAATTAATATATTTAATAAAATATAAATTATACTCTTCTTGTAAAATATATTTCAAAAATTTAGTTTAAAAAATATTTTTGGAAAATATAAAAATTATACGCTTTTAAAATTATTTGTCTTTTTGTCAAAATTCAATTTTTACAATTTGCATACATAAAATTATCGCAAATATATATCCTTACGATTTCCATATTCAAGAATGTAAGAAATGGTGAACACTATATTGAAAACCGTAAAGTATAGATTGCGTTATATGTTGTTATATGTATTACACTATTGTTGTATGTGATTCTGGTTTTAACCATTCTTTGTCATTTTATAAAGTGATTAATTAAACATTTAAACATTTTTAAGACGTACGAGGTAAAAATTTTTTAATTATTTTTCTATCTCGGCTACGTCTAAAAACTGTGAAAATATTATTTCCTATCATAAGTCTATTTAAGTACAAAAGAGTTTTATTTTATTCCAACTCTCTATCTGCTTTTTTCTAGCAAGCAAGATACACGGATAATCTGTACATGATACATGGACATGATAATTCTGTGTTCAAAACATTTTTTTATGTAACTAAAGCTTTGCTATTCAAGAGAAACGGCTTATATTTCAGGCAAATAAATTAGATTATCAAGCGTTCTCTCTTGATCCTCTAAGTTCGCTTATATGAAATCGCATTTTATAGTATGTATCTTTATTCCATTTGATACATTAATCATAAAGAAGAAAAGGAAAACTCAACAAATGATTGAATGCTACTATTTACATAGACTGATGTAATACGAATGATACAATTCGATTATGTAAAACTACAGCCATTATTGATTAGAGTAAGTGTATACTTTTTAAGCCAGTATGTGAATGATAATAATTTTATCTGCTCTGTTCATAATTGCCTCCATATAAACATTGATGATGTTATCAGACACGCTTGAGCACAGTTCATTATTACTAATGTGTCATTACAAATATGTATTTCAATTATCTATGTTATAATCAATCAACGTTTTATTAATTATTAAATTTGTTTGAAAGAAAAGAAAGTATCAAAAGCTAAACTTGTGAATATTCAACGAAACAAATTTATATATATTTATGTATATGTTATGTGTATCGAATTTTTTATTATTTATGATATAATTTACCTGGAGAAATAATATCTAGCTGATTCATCGTTAGCTTTTGGTACTATCTGGATCTTAACAGAAGACGAATGTGTATCAATTAAGAACATTATCCTGAGAGTTCAGAAATGGAGTTCGGTAATCGAAATTGTTCAATCGGTGAGAGAGATCTGAGCAAATCCTATTAACGCCTTGTCATCTGGTATTTCATTGGCTGCATAGCCAGAATTCTGTAATAGAAAAAAAAAGCATTGTATGTTTAATGACTAATCAAATGATATAAAATATTATTAATAAGTTAAAAAGTTGTGATACGGATAAATATAAAATCAGATATAAAAAAGAATAATAAGAATCAGATCAAAATATGAAAACACCCAAATTTTCTGTTAATTGATTTGCTAAAAATGGTCCAAAGAATCGAAACATTCAAAATAATTGGAGAAGAATGTAAAAACAAGTTTGTTGGGCTTAATATCTGCGCCTAATTCTTATTAATCATATCTGATTTTGTATAAATATTATATATAATTTTTTTATATTAAAATATATATTTGTGTTTGATAAAATGTAACATGAAGGCTGATGAAGGCTTACCAAGGAAAATGTCACTGTCCGTAATTGTCCTCCACTTTCTATCAATTTTTCAGATTTGCTGCTATCACTACAACATCCTTACCGTCGACTAGACCTGCAGCGACGAGTTCTGCCGCGATTCCTTGCGCCGAGTCTACTCCAACGGTGAATTCAAACCTAATATCGTTAAGTTCTCGTCTTTCATTTCTGGAAGAGATACATATAATATTACACACTTTAATTATTTATCATTATTTATTGCATTATTATTAATATTATATCACATTAATACGATATTTAATAATCTTTTATTGATAATTATTTACAGTTTTGATGAAACTAAAAGATAAGAAATAGAAAATGAATAAAAGGTATATCGGATCTTTTCTGTAATAACTTCAGAATATAAGTCTGCAAATATTTATTATATATAGTATATTATACAGAAATGAAGAATGATTTTTGCTTGCATTTGAACGATTTATATAAGAATTTTACGTACCGTAATCTTAGTACCAAATTTATAGGAACATTTTGCTCTGTAGCTGGTATCGCAATTTGACTCGGTGCTACCTTGATTTGTCCATAGTATTCATCAGGTTCGCCGGCGTCTTCGTCACTGCTAGCTTTTTCGATCGTGTTGACTGGCAACGTCTCTTTGGCGCCTTCGTCACCGCTGGATCCGCCACTGTCTTCTTCCTCTGACGACCAAACCCATTCTCCAGTCACTGTTCGGTGCAAACGACCCGATGTACCGGGTTGTCTTTTTGATGCCTGTGAAAAAAGTAAGTTTTCCTCTATATTTTATAACAAGCCAGTTATTTATCCATGTTTCGTATTACTAAAGTGATCTAATGTCGACTTTGTAAATTTTGAAGAAAAATGAGAAAAATGTTAGATATATCTTTCTAACTTAAAAATAAGATAACATTTCAATATAATAAAAAATATTGAAATATAATATCTCAATAGGATATCTTTCATAGAAAGAAAGAAAAAGTTTTTGGTATATATTTAGTATATATTTACACAAACATACCTTTTGTACACGTGTTTCTAAACTAGGTCCAATTGCTACCAACGTTTGCTGCAGGTATTTCTTATCTTTGGCTTTCTTGAAAAAGGGATGTTTCAGTAACTCGGTAGCCGTCGGTCTAAAATAATAACAATTATTACTTAACAATTTTTTCGAACCTTATATACAAAATATGCATTTACTTTTATTTTTTCCTTTTACATTTAAAGATATCCGTAGTTAATATACTCATCTAATACAATATTAAAGATTATAAATTGATCAAAGGTATCTCGCACATTTACTTCAATCATTCAAACTATTTCGTCATGTGTTTAAGTTTAAGGGATAGAACTAGAAATTAAAAAATGTTACCTCTTGGTAGGATCCTTTTGTAAACAATCAACAATCATTTTGCGGAATGTTTTTCCATAGGCCTTGTATTGATCCTTATCATCCGCGGCGGTATCCAGAGTGGGTGGATCGTTCTGCAACGTCAGCATCAAGACCTTCATCGGAGGATATTTGTGATATGGCGCCGTGCCGCTGGCCATTTCAATCGCCGTGATACCAAGTGACCATATGTCAGCCTTAAAATCGTAGCCATGGTCCTGCAACAGGTATGTATATCATAATTGATTTTGATCAATAATTTATGTTTTGACCATGGATATTTGACGAGAAAAGTCATCAATATTTCATTAAATCATGCTCGCAAAAGTCGCATGCTTGCAAGAATCTTCGTTCTAAATGTCACTTATAGCTGCAATCTTATATACAGAATAGCCTGCTACATTATCATTATCTAGTAAAATATCTTGCAAATTTTTTAATTTGATATCGACTTTTCTTCATAGCAATTCTTAAACTATATTTAGCAATCATTGCTTGAAGCGTTTAAAAATATTTGTATAATTGATAATTATATCTAGGTACAATTTAATAAAAATTTAATCGAATAATTTACACTGATAACATGCAAAACTTTTTTTTATAGATAGTAATACAAAAATATTGAGAATTAATGCACTGTAATGAAATAAAAGGAATAAATTTAAGGTATAAAATGCAGATCAAAGTACAGAACAATAGCGTGAATATACATACATAATTGGTTTTGACGAAAAAATAATTTTGTGGAGATTTCACGCATAGTAATAATACACTTTCGGCACAGTTTCTTATGTGACTATTTGCATAACATGCCTAATGCAACTCGTATCATCAATATCATCATGCTCAATAAATGATATGACTGATAATTTAAATTAATGCTTGACTTAATAAGCTATACTTCTTTATGTTGCGTCAAAATCGACACAACTAATCGTCATACAAACTTCATGTGTCATTTCAATGATAGCAAAAGCTATATTTTAAATTGCTCGTTCGCCAACGTACATATTTTTGATGAAATATCAAATAATAAAATGTCTCATGTACATTTAACAAATGCATACACAAATGTAGACACAGAAAACACGCAGGCTAAGAAGTCTGTAGTGTTACTTTCCTCTCTCACCTGCTCCATGACCTCGGGCGCCATCCAACATGGTGTACCGACGAAGGTGTGTCGGACCTTTTGTCGACTCAGGTCGCGTCCGGTTGCGAGCCACGCGCTGACACCGAAATCGGCGATCTGCACTGTGCCATCCTCGCCTAGTAGGATATTACCCGCTTTTATGTCCCTAATATTATTCTGCCATTAAAATTCGTTCATATACATAGATAATTATAACATCATTTTCTTTTTCTTAATATATAATTTTTATATATTAAGAAATTATTATACTGTATATAATTTTTTTTATTATGATTACTACAATTTCTAGTAAAAAAATGAGAAAATAAATTAAAGAAAAGCATTCTAGAAAAGATTATTTAAATAAAGATAGAAGAATAATTCTAAAGAGAGAAAGAATGAGAAAGGTATTTTAAAATACCTGTGAATCTGTCCATTACTATGGAAATATTCGAGTCCTTTGAGTACTTCCCGAAGAACTGTGGCTATAGTGGCTTCGTCGAATACGCCATGCTTGCAGTTGGTGGTTCTGGTCTTATGCTTAATAATATCCAGCAAGGATCCGCCTTCTAATAATCTTAGGACCAGCCAGAGTTCTTCTTTTACCACGAACGATGTGTAATAAGTTACGACGTTTTCGTGGTTGCAAGAAGACATTGCCTGTATCTCTTTCTACAATTTTTTTCCAGATAAAAAGTATCAATTAATAATAATATCTTTTTACCTTAATACATAAAATTTAACCACTTGAAATTAATTTTTTTTTGAGATTTTATTTTTATAGTATTATAATAATAAAATAGAAATAATTATATTATGATGTTTAATATAAAACATTTGTATTGTAAGTTGCAACATATGGAGATGCGCAGCATACATTGATAAGATCATTAATCCAGTGAATCATGCAATATATTATAAAAGTCTTATCAAGAGCGATGGGTATCATATTGATCTATCACCTATCATTCAAGTTCAATATCAAGATATAACAAAACTCACCAGTAATTCATCCATATTTGTATTCCATTTTTCTAAATTTATTCTTTTGATTGCGCATTTTTCTTGTCGTGGAATACAAAATGCTGCATGCACCACAGCAGTCGCTCCAACCCCTTTAAATTTAATTTAAAAAATTACAATCACATTTTGTATCCTGTTATATATCAGCATATAAATTATATTTCAAAAATTTGATTATTGAAATTAAGAATACTTAAATTTTTAAAGAATATCTTTTTACTCATAATTCAGATTCACCTGCAATTTGATTCATTTATATATATATATATATATATATATATATATATATATATATATATATATATATATATATATATGTATATATATATATTTAATAAGAAAAAATCTACAAAAGAATCTGTCTTTTAATATTAAAATTAAAATAAAATAAAAAAATATACGCTATTCAAAATTTTTGGGGAAAAATGTCAAATATTTGACATTAGTTATGCATTTTACAGGCCTCTTTTTCTATCAACGTGTGCGGCACTGGAAGGCGCGCAACGTCCCGTCAGGCTAAACTAGGTTAGGGTAGGACATACGCTTCTCTCGTGCAGCAGCACCGGTAGCTGCGTGACAGCGCGAGTGCAAGAAGGACGTATAAGGAAGGAGGGAGAAGAAACGAGGCGCGCGGGGATGCTTGGCGACTCGTTGTCCCGTTCTTCAAAGCGAGCGTTTGTCGTCGACGACACCCGGTACGTAAATCCAACCTGAATTCTACATCGTTCTACGCCATCCTCGCGACCAATGTCATTTATCGTCGTCGCTCCGCGGTTCTCCTCTGTCGGGAAATAGACGTTTGCCAGCCGTTGGAGAATCGACGTCGCGGATACCGGCGATTCGCGAGCTCGTCTCCTCGAAGGGGCTCGAGATTTTCGCACCGGGTCGTCGCGCGATCGTCAAACGATCCTCGTTCGCGGGGAATACTCACCGATAACCTCCTTCAGCTCGTAATCGTCCTTGGTATTCGGCCAGCCCTGCACAACCGTGGAGGAGCTCGCGGACGCCATTTTACTGGCCAGTACCGGACCAAGGCGCGCCTGCTTGCTGGCTGCTCGGGCGCCCCGCGACAACGTCAACGATAGAGAAGCGCCGACGACGGACCGCGGGCCGCTGTCACGTGGTGGAACAGCTGTCACGCCGGTTTGGGAGGTGGCGGCGCGAGGAGCTGCGCAGCGATCGTTCGTCACAGTCGCGGATGCACCTCGGGAGTTTCGTGGGATTATCGTCGTCGTTAGCCCCGCTGTCGGAAATGCCGATGACACCTTCTTCGGCGCCGGTGGCGGCGTGGACGACCGGAAGGATTTTTGCCGAAACACGCCGGGCGAGCACGACGGCAAAACGTCCGGCGAGATTCTCCTGAAAATCAAATATATTCGTATTGACTCGATGTATATATATGTCAGCTGATACGAAGGCGCTAATTTGAAAAAGTGCGAGCCAATTTCACGCACAATTGTTAAAGTACTCGATCACGGAGAAGAAATGTCAGAGTTTAAAATATATGTATGTGAGAGGTTAGTTTCTTTTATTTACTTTCAATATTTAAGTACGCTGACCATATTTTCTCTGAGAGAAGATAAAGGACAAATTGCAAGGCTTTGTTTCAATACATTTCCAAATCAGTTTCCGATCATAAAGAATTCAGAAATCTATATATTCTTTATAATTTGATACTATGTTGAAACAAATTCTTGATTTCTTAAATAAATTTCAGATAAAAGATTATGGTATATATTAGACATTAAAACGCTAAATAAAAAATAAAAATTGTAATATAAAGGACAAAACTGAGTTAAAAAAAAAAAGAATAAATCTAAAGCACAGCTACTTAAAATAAAGGATGAATGGTCACCGTAAATATAAGAGGAAAAAAATCGTTTGAATCGAAATTAAGATTAGACGATGCTTCTCGAATATTTGATTGAGACGTATATAGTGTTCTGTCAAAACGAATGCATCATTCATTTAAAATTTAAATGGGGATTGACGATTCTTACAAAACAGCTATCATGAGCTACGATCAATTCGCAGGCACAACAAATTAATCGTAGGGCTATCCATCACATTTTCTTGCTACAAGATCGTCCCGCGAGACGATGCTTCTAATTATTGAACAGCGTGAACGTCAATCAGTGACGCTGATTGCTTTAATTGACTGGAAAAATAAAGCAATTTTCGTTCATCCGTGATCATTAATATATACACAATGAAATGTTAAACTATAAATTGTTAGAATCTTTCTTCATTACACGAAGAGAATTTTCTCTTAGAATTTATCCTGAAAATCATGGTAATTATGGGATAATATAGTATTGGAAGAATTTTATGAGTTTTTTTCTCTGATTAATATTTACCACAATAAAAAGTATTAATACATAGTATTGTATACAAACTAAATTTTACCATGTACATAGTACGATTAATCGAATATATTTTATATCTTATTATTGTGGTAAATATTAATGATGTGTATCGTAAATTCTCTCTAACAATAAGAGAAGGAATTTTTATTTCTGACGTGATTTGTGAAAGAGATTACTTATATAACGAATATAATAAATTTTTAAATTAAAATTTTTGTATATTGTTACAGTACTTTTAGCTGACGTATATAAAACAGCTGGCCATGGAGAGGATAATCTCTTGTATCAATTCGCGAAAACATGGATATTACGATTGCTAGCTGTAGGCTATTTTTTCTTGAACCGTGTTAATATCTTTGTGTATCTATAGTCATTATCTCTAGTTGGCAAGTCGTGGGATAAATCGTTCGACGAATCCGCTAAACCAACGCAACCTCGTATTAACGTTGTGATAACGATTGTGATGCGATTATTATCGCGCGCGATTATAACATTCAATTATATCTAATATTCACCACGGATATTATCGCTGTTTTTTTATTTATAGGGGAGATTTGGTGACATTTGTCGATCAAGAGAGAAAAAGCAGGTACTTTCCCCCCTGAGTTATATATAAAACCGACCAACGCTATGTGGATATTCCGATTCGACGATTGCATCCCCATGTGTGCAACAACTCTGATTTTTAAAATCGTCTTTGAAATCGTGAACCTGCTAGGACCATGTTTAGTGAGATGAAGATCCTGGTAGTGAGTATCTTAATCGTAATAATAATTTATCGTTAATTTTAAATAATATATATTTTCGCGCAAAAGGTCATACAAAAGTTCAAGTTAAATTATCTCAAACGATCTGCGCATGATACAATATTTACATTTGCAACATCAGCATTGAATCGTCCACAAAAATATATCTTAATTTAATCTCATATTTATTTATTTATACGAGCGTATCTACGCAGTGTTTATTATTACAACAACGCAATAAGCGTTCCACTTACTTCAATGAAGTAATGCCAAATATAACTTTAGGTCGCTCAAGAATAACAGAATAAATCACGAAACAGGTACTTGTAACAGTTAATTAATTTTAATTATCTTCTATGTCAAGTCACTCAAATATCGAGATAAAGACCTGTACTTAGTTTTACAACAGTCCGATGTACGATTTAATCTTTCTAACAATAAGTAGGTCGCGTGCGATCCGATCACGTGCCTCGATTTTTGACGTAGCGTACGCAAAGTCAGTCACACTCGGTCACTCACCTACTTCTGCCGACCAAAGTCGTCAGAAATCTACTGTCTTGAAACTTCAGTTGCTCCTCCTCTGCCGATACGGGCGCCGCGGCGCCCAGGGTGCCCGATTTACGCTGCCCCATGCTGTGTACGGCCCTGCAAACGGACATACATATTCGTCAGACGGGTTGCATATCGAACGGAGAAATTCATTATTTAGTGTCAAGAAGGGCTGTGTGTTCTATATAATAATAATATAGCAAATAAAATAAATATATTGTTTATAGATTTATATATTGTTTATAGAAAATTCGCGCGTTGTAGGATCTCTATTGAAAAATTGTGAATCGATAATTAAAAATTTAACATATATATATTATATATATTTTGATATGGATATATTCTTTAATATTATTTTATTGAATTATTTTATTTTTTTAATTATAATTTAAATTAATAATGTAATTTAATTACTATAATGTAATTTAAATTAAATTAACTAATATAATTTAACAAAATTTTATAGTGATATCGTTACTTTTTTTATATGTATCGATATTTCGAGTCATATACATTTTTTAAATTATCTTTGTTTAGTTAATAATCAGGTAAATTTAAATTATAATAATTAAGAATAAAATAAGATGATGAATAAATAACATAATATAAACAAATATATCCATATTCTCGAGATACATGTATTATGCAAAATTCTTAATTATCAATTCAATCTTTTAATTAAGGAATCAATAAACGGATAAAGAAGGCTGTAAAAGATCTTATAACAAATTGTCTATAATTAATAAATTTATTTTATTTGCTATATATTATTATAATTTAACAAAATTTTCATTATAGTGATATCGTTGCATTTTTTATATATGTATCGATATTTCGAGATATGTATATTTATTTTTCAAATCATCTTTATTAGTAGAGTATCGAAATGGTCTTAAGTAGACTTTATTTTTAGTCCATGCGAGGTGAGATATTCGTTTCGAAACAAAGGCTCTGGCTTCGAGCGTATGGAATATTTCTAAATTGGCGGTCGGTCGATTGTTACCTAAATATCTAGATAGGATAATTGGGTCTGGATTGGCCTTACCGGTTATTTTTAGCCACCGTGAAAGGGGTAGACCCTATCTCGCTGGCTAAAAATAATCCGATGGCGAACGAACTAATGTAAGTTCCCATTACAGTGATCCTGTTCCTTTTTGTCGATTCTTATCCTTATTCTCTTTGTTGTTGAGATCTTTATTTTCTTTGTTGTTGATAGAAAAAAACTATAACTCCCGAGAACAAATTTAAATTAAAAATGCAGGAATTTTAGTTCTTTTGTGCGCGTGGTTCTTTAATTTATTTGATTTTGAATCAGATGCGAATTCACGAAAATATTAAGTTAAATATGTAACATGCAATTTTAAAGCACAATTTTAAAAATATGTATAGTTTTATACATGTGTATGTGTTGGGAAAAAAATATTTTTAATTTTTGAGTCTACGTAATTTTCAATATGATTCAATTTCAACGTAACGCGTGACATCACCCTCTAATTCTATTCCAACAAGAATCTTTCCTCTCAGACACCTGATTACGATTAACAAGTCTATAACGGTCTTACTCCAAAGTAATGGTCTAATAATCTTCTCAAACACACGAGTTTAGCTCGCTCGAAAATGTGACGTTTTATTCAGGTACATGACAAGTCTTTAAGTCTTTTTAATTTAGCATATGGCCATTACACTTTTTTTAAAGGCATTTATGCTTAATCTATTTTATTTAAAGAACTCAACCAAAATAATTATATGGTTTGAGAAATTTATACTCAGTCTAATCTTTAGTCTCAAACAACATTTAACTGTTTTTCCCTAATTTTTTTTTCTTTTATTATTGAGTTTATTTTAAGTGCTTGTTTTATTACATGTTATTATATGTAGCATATGTAAATTAAAAATAATTTCTCCTTTTTCTTGCTGTGGAACATATAGAGATTTTAAATTTGTTTTAAACAGTTTTGAAAGGAGAATAGATAGTTGCCCGCTATTTCATATATCACTTATTATCATTCGAATAACGAAGACTCTTTAATATTTGGGTTAAAAGTTCAATTCGCTGCCGGGCTAGAACAATTTTAATTTAATTCTGACCGATGGGCGTGTGCCGCCGCGTCATCTGCTGCCTACGTTCAGTTTACGCGTGACTACGATATTTCAAATTTTCATTGTTCCGTCATTTCCTCCGCCTCATATCGTTCCGCTATGCGACAGAACAAACATTTTATCCATTTATTTATTTCATTAATTTTTACACTTAGTTCTCGATTTACATTATACTCTCTTCGACGCAGCAGTTTAGCGGTCATTAGCTTTTTATCTTTAAAAAACGGTGAATGTGTGATTACGCTAATTTTCTCTTTGACAAATTTGTATTTCTTATTTTATTGAGAGAAGAATTTTTTTCAAAATTTCTTTATATCTTTTGCAGACAATTTTTCAAGCATTGTATCTAATGAAAAATCCTGGCTTTTCTTGAATTAAGAAAATCATGTTAAGCAAACATAATCGAAAAATTGATTAAATATTTGCTCGGACAATAACAATTTTTGAATTATTTCTAATATATTCTACGACATTCCATATAGACATAAATTTATTGAATTGACTTTGCATCGATCTTAGTCACCTCGTACACAATTGAACAAACAAATGTGCCTCCCTATATTACGACTATTGTAGTATCGTTGCGTTTCAATTTATTTACTACAATGTGGATCATCATAGCCTTGATGATAATTTCTTCAATATATATCTTCGATATAGCATGTGGAAAAACTTAAAACATCTTAATATTCAAATTATTAGATTTTGTTTAGGTGGTATTTAAGTAATTTTTTAAATTTTTAATTGAAAAACGTTCACGCATTTATTTCGTGGTATTTTACAAGAAAAAATCTCAATATATGATCTTTCGATACTATGTCAAATAATCGTAATCTTGCTCGACGTGTTGTGGGCCTTAATTATAGCAGTAATTAAAACAGGTCAGTCACATGTTCGAACTTTTATAAATTGATTAAATAATAAATGATCGTACATTTCTTCAAAAGAAATTTATACTTTTCAAATACGAGTCTTTAATTTAAATATGTATATCTTTGACTTCACTGAACGACAGTGTGGTGATTCTGTTATGTATGCAAGTGCGTGATACGGGATTTATTTCTGTTTAAGTGCACGCTTCTGTGCAAACGTGACATTAATTTAACTTTGCCTCTGCAATTAATATATGTTAAATTAATGTAATAATGAGAGAGAGGAAAACTGATCTGAAGATTTTATTATTTTATAAAAAATATTTTTTATGCGACCCATATATATTAATTAGTATATTTGTAATATACTTTTAATGATTTCGCTCGAATAGATTATTTATAAAAAAAAATAATGATCTTTCTGATAAGACCGGTGATGTGTACTTGCTTTATTTTTAGTAAAGAAAACGTAAGTAGACGCAATCAGTGAGACAATCTTATCTAATGATTATATATATAATTGCTAAGATTTTCGAAGAGTCGAGATTTCGAGAGTTCCGTTCTCGTTTGAGTCCACTTAATAACGTTTCTCATCAATGAAACCTTTACTCAGTTGGCAAACCGAGGGTCAATTGCTTATTAACTCAGAGACTCGTGGTGGTTATTAAACGATTTCATTGTCATTGAAATTGTTTGCAAAAAATGAAGACCACCGCGCTTATCCGGATAATAGATGCATCCCCGATGCTCAATCTTCCATTGGTCTTGGAGCCGTTTCGAACGAATTTCTTTTACAACTTAAGCAAAAATAATCGCGCAATAGTAGCCGCAGAGTGAAAAAAATAATAAAACGTTTTATTTTTTAAGTATATTTTTTAAAATTGAAATGTTATTTTCATTAATTAATTATACTATATCTTTTTGCAAATATCTTAAATATCCAAGAATTAAACAATTTAGTAGTTCTGTTTAAGTTTATAAAATTTGAGAACACTTGGAGAACAGTCTTGGAGAACAATCTAAACACAAAAGACGTGCTTTTGCAAATTTTATTACATTTTATTTATGTTATTTTGATTGATATTTACAAGGATTACAAGTGTTTATATGTCTTATATGTTTTAAAAAGATTAAAAGAATGTCTATTTTTGATTTTTATATCACGTTGACATTGAATGTGGTCGTTATATTAGGCAAATAAAGCTCGGAATCGGACGGGGCTGCGTTTAACGTGGCTATTTGATTCTCATGTCACGTTGACATTGAATGCCATCTTGATAGGCAAATAAAACTCGGCGATTTGCCGCGTTTACTCTGTGAAAATGAATCTTTATTTGTTATTCATCAATTTTTCTCAAACCGGTTAAAATATAGTTCTCGTAAATTCTTTTCTTCGATCAATATTTCCTAATATGTATGTCGTTGTGTGATTTATTTAATTATTTCTATTTTTATATTTATATTTTTACAGATTTTTTAAATCTCGATAACGTTTCTCAAGATTGAACTCACCTGGCGGATGTTGACTTCACAGAGCCATTCGCATAGAGATCGGCTGCCATAGCATCAGCCCGATGACATCTCAATCGTTGATATTCTGCAAGATGCACGATCCTCTTTTGTGTTCTTCTTCCGAAAATTAACGTATTCAACAAAATCTTCAGAATTGTCTGGTCTCACAGTTAATCATCAACTGTGACTGAGCGCATTCTCACCGTAGATAAAACACTGATAGTGTAAACACGTTGATGGGTCTGACATTATCTTTATGTCACAATACACGACCTATCGCGACATTAATTTCCATATATAACTACCTTTAAATTATAAAAGTGAAAATTCCATTAGTGACACACGCAATGACGTCAACGCGATTTCGAAAAAAAGGAGCTAAGAAATACCGAATGTAATTTCGAGGAAACTAATCTCGCGTTGTCGACTACGTATTCATATCAGAGGAGACGTAAGATCCTCCTGTGTCCGCCGTCGTGACCGAACTATGTATGTCAGACGGGGGCACTGTCAATTGGATAACTACTTACCCCACATTGGCACAGTTGATGCGTGTATGTAATGCAACGTACATCACTGATGCTGAAAGCATATAGTGTCCATGTACTCCCCCACCTTCTGGATCATTTTATCTTTTTTTTCTTCTTTTATAAATATCTGTGTCCCTTTCAAGATACACAGTGTCGATCACATTGTTTTCTTTTTCTTTTTAATTTTTTCTTATTAAAATGATTTATTTTACTTTCGAGAATTTTTTAAAGACCATTACATGTAAACATTCTGAAGTCTTTGATCATTTTTATTGATATCGGAAACTTGACTCGGCTCTTTTTGAATTGTTTCGGTTGAATTTCATATATAGAAATGAGAAAGGCTCTTAATTTAAACTCAATTTATAAAGGTCCTGCAGTTCCTTGCTTCTCGTTTTCAAGGAAGTCAATTATTGATCTATCATCACTTATGATGGAACTTATTGGCTCTGTTACTTGGAATCGAAAAAAACCGCCACGCAGCTGGAAGAACGCATTATCTCGTGCGTATGCTCTGTCGTCACTTCAGTGGTATCGTGAATTAACTTGATGACGCGGGGAAGAATAATTTGTATCATACGACACACACAGCTCAATCATACCGACCTTGCGAACTAACTAATACCGATCTTCGCGAGAAAGCCGTTTCTATTGATAAATCCGAATGTTCTTATTAATGGCACTTATTACGTGTAATCAAATACCCCGTTTCTTCATTCTTATGTCACGTGTCATCTTAAATAAAGCGTCCAGTTTAAATCTAATTATCTATAAATTTTATAAAAATTGTATTTAATATAAAATTCGCATTGCATCGCAAAATTTTAAATTGCCTCTTTTTTTTAGAAAAAAATTTAATGTAAATAAAATTCTAATTTATACTGTCCAAATTTCTGAAGAAAAATTTGTTAAAAGAAAAAATGATTCTTCAAAGGAAATTAAAACAGGAAAATAAAAGAATCGACAAGAGAACTTAAAGATTGCCGCATATCGTGTTTTATCCACGACAGACAACGTGAAACAGTTTCGTCAGTTTGCAGTACTCTATAAACGAATGATTCATCCCAGCTTCATTCCCATTTGCAGAGTGGACCCTCCGCGCGCGCGATTTACGCATCATCAAGTTTGATGGGTCGCTAAAGGCTACTGACTGAGACCTCCATCGAAGGTTTAGGTTTTATTAATGACGCAATACGCGATAGCGCATCGACGTATCATTGATAAAAGAATAATCGAACGTAACATTTTTTTGCATAATATGTTATTTATTATATAATGTTTATCTAAAAGGAAAAAATATGTAAAAATTCGATTTTGGAATTTTCTCCATTTTTTGTTTATTCATTAAAAAATGAATTATATATCTTTTACAGATTGCCGAATTCTTTATTCTCAACCACGTGTCCTACGTGCTGAGTAGACGGTTGAATCTCACTCAGCTGATTAAGGAAAACTTGGATCCTGAACTCTACCAGAACGCTCTACGTGAGATATCGTCGAAGAGAGACGTTCCTTATCTGCCAGAAGAGTATTACAATGCGGAAAATGGGGTGAACAAACTGCAGCGGTTAGGCAGAGATAACAGATATTTAATTACCGTTAGTGAATTATTTCTTAATTCTGTAAATCATTAAGCATTCCTTTCATTAAGAGAAACATGACAGAATTTAGATGTTAAAAAAAAAAGCAAAAGAACTTAAATATCAAAGAGAAAATTGTATGTAAATTCCTATTTTAATTTTATTTTCTATGTGTTCGTTTCTAATTTAAATCTCTTCATTTATAGTATATTGCATCACATACTGAGATAAATGTCTATATTAATCTTCTCGTTTTTTATACAGGAATATCGCAGTCTTTGCGAGATAATAACGAGAATGGTGGAAATTGCCGATTCCGATTACGAGTATCAACCTCCGATTTATCACGAGGTCTACTGTAAGAGTTATTCATTGCAAGATAATAATGAACAAACGATGACGAGGCCTTCGCAACAGGTAAACTTAAACATATAAACAAAATATAAACTCAAAGCAGCGCAAGTTTAACGAGCGAAATATATGATTCAAAATAAAACCAAAATAAATTAATATCATAAAATAATTTCAAAACATAATTAAAATATTTTAAATGTAACAAGTAATTTTTTTATGAAACTAAGTTTTATAAGTTTTAATAAGATATGTTTTTTATTTAATTAAATCTAGGATCTAATGTTTTTATTTTATTGTTCAGGAATGTGTTTATCCGATATTTCACTGCGTACAGAGAACTCGAATTCTGTCCTTTGTCAGACGTCGTTGGGGAGACGAATGTTGGGAACCTTATACTAAGGAAATCGCCAGTGGTTGTGATTGTATGTGGCCGGTCGCTAGCCTCGGCGAGATAAACCATCATTACTGATTCAATAGTAAATTCGTATATTAGTAAATTTTCGCTATATAATGCAAAAGTATAGCGAAGATTCGTCGTTCGCATATATTTGCAGCAAAGTCTTGTTCAAAAATATTTATTTATTGTATTACAAAAGCAAATATGTGAATGAAATATAACAAATATTCACATTTTATCGTAAAAAATTCCTTTTTCTTTCATAATGTTGTGAAAATTTGTACAATATCATTCGACTCGACAATGTTTCTTTATAATTTCTTTCTGTAATGTATTTTATTTCCACGAATTTGCCTTATGCTTTGGTAAAAAATGGAATCCATCAGGCACTTTTCCGAGTAACATTTCGCTAGAAATTAAAAAAAAATATTAATATCGCGATTATAGAGTTGACAATTGTTTTTCTTCATGAAAGCTAATAGTTTCGAAAAATGGCCTTACGATAATTTCACCCAATCTGCGCAATTGGAACTGGCCATCAATGTCTCCATATCATCGCGGCCTCTGTAGAAGGGCGGCCTCTCGTTAATTCTTTGTGGCGGTCTCTCTAGAATTCCAACCGGGATATATCTGTAACACATGTTTTTCAAAATGTAAATGCATGTAATTGAAAAACATTGTAACAGCTGACAGCAACTCTCAAAGTAAAGACCTGTGAAGGAAAGAGATCCATTCCAACATAAATCTTCTGGTGGTTTCGACGCCACGTGTATCGGATCCCCAATGTTCAAGGCCGTAATTTGCATACTTTTTGAGAATATCAAATCTCTCGCCGCTTGATATATCGATCAATTTTCTTTCCTTTATTTCGGTGAAGATCCACGGCTTAATCAATGCTCCACGTCCGATAGTGACTCCCTGCACTGAACCGCAGATCTTTCTCATTCGTTGGTAGTCGTCGAAGGAGAGGATATCGCCATTTCCGAACACGGGTATCGGCTGCGCCGCCACAGCACATTTCTCTATGTACTCCCAATTGGCTAGTTTCGTGTATCTTTGTTCACGGGACCTGCCATGAATCTAGAAGAATACCGAACATTAATATAAGTTTAAAAAACTCCAAGCTTTTCGAAAAGACACATGTATGATATACCTATTTTTATTCCTTTCATTCAAAACGAATAATTTCTATTAACATTTCTGTGATTAATATGAATATTTTGTATGCAGTGATATAAAATGTACATATATATGCAATTGAATTATTAATGTTGTAGGGATTTTTCGAAGACAATGTTTCTGCTTTCGAAAAGTTCTATTTGGAGATACTGTGACTTCTCGAAGAACATGATTTACAAGAATAGAAGAATATAAAGAATGTAAAGCTAAAAGACTTACAGTAATCATAGATGCACCCCAGTCTCGAAACCTCGGCATTAACTGATGTGCGATCGGTTTATCTATGTAAATTCCAGTTCTGGTCTTAATAGTTAACGGTATGTCCAACACTTGACTAATAGACTTTACCACGCTCTCGAGTACATGCAGTCGATTAAGCATACCACTACCACCGCCCTTTCTGTAAATTAGGTCAATCGGACAACCGAGATTCAAATCGATGAAGTCCACGTCGATCTCCTGGTTCAACAATTGGGCGCATCGAGTCAGTACTCCAGGATTATTACCGCAGAGCTGCACCCCGAAGATATTCTCGCTCTCGTGTCGCTTTACCAAGGCCCACTCCTCCTGTGCCGCCTTTAGTATCTTCGGTGCCAATGCCATTTCGCCACAAGTGATGTCAGCCCCGTACTCTTTGCAGATCCTTCGAAACGGTAAATTGCCCACTGTGGTTAAAGGACTCAACAATATTTTGCCATTCCAGTCGATTCTCTTCTTCTCCGCCTGTCGTAATTTAATTAAATCACTATCATCCACGGGTCCGAGCTTCAATTCTTTTGTATCATCACACGAGTTATTACAGTTATTAAAATTATTTATTTTTGTTTTGTTGTCTGTTTCATTATCTGAATTATTTAGTTGTGTCTTGTTCTTAGATGGATCGTTAACTTTGACAATTGTCTCTGCCTTGGAAAAGTTAAAGTTACGTTTGCGTAATTTGTTTTGTAGATCTTTGGATAAGTGATTTTTTATGGGTGGCGGGCGGTTTGTATATTCCTCAAATTTCTTCTCGTCAATAATGTTAAAACCATCCTCGGTTATGTGTCGCGAGCCCATTCTACACGTGATTCCTCTCGGACACTTGCCGGCCAAATTAAAAAGATGACATTCTTCAGCAATGTCGCTTGGTCTGATTTTCAGATATTCTTTTCGATCATGGAGATATGTGCAGCGCTGATTCAGGCATTTTTTTTCAGACTCATCTACTGTTTGATCCGCAATCCAAGGACATAGATGCAATTCTCTGGCAATTTTAAATGGAACTGGTCTAGCCTTATTTTGACCCCTGAGTTTCTCATTCTTATCCTCCAGTTTAGGTTTCTTAACAGGTATTTCATCATATGATAGTGGATCTGCATCTTCTGTGCTTGCATTCACAGATATTTTCTTATCTGTCTCCGTCAAGCGTTGCTCATTTAATTGTCTCACATGATCCTCGATAATAAATCTACAATATATATGTAAAAATATATATAATTAATAATATATAATTTTATACACACACATACACACAATATAAATATGTCAAGTATGAGATGATAATAATAAATAAAAGATAACAGTCATAATAGTCTATTTATCAGCTGTTTATCAGCCAGAGATATGATGAATTACGTGCAAAAATTAATTTGCAAATGCAATAATGATATACAAAATTTTTACATGGAAAATTATAGAAATATTAATTATATATATATTTAATCTGAAAAAATACTATATTTTAATTAATATATTATTTATAATGATAAGCTGAGAGAAAAAAATAATTATAGATTTTCTTCCAAGTTTTAATATAAATAACAAAGATTTCAATTAAGTTAAATGAAAAGATCGTGTAATAGAAGCAATAATTACCGATAAAAAATGAATACTTGCAATTATATACGTATAAAACATGAAAATCAGTGATAAGTAAACAATTGACATAAGCTATATATTTACGTACTCTTTTTTTAGAAGACAAACGCCCTTCTGTTTATCCTTATCCTCGCCAGAATCAAATAAGCAGTCTCCGCACTTTTCGTCGTGACACGCCATTTCTTCGCACGTGTTTCTACTTTTTGATTGTAGATCGAACAAATGCAAAGATTCAGGACATTTCAGGAGCATACGAACATCTAGCATAGGAGAGAGAGGTATAATATTATTTATACTCTTCATTTTTTCCCTTATATAATTATTACTCATGTGACATTTCTTCTGTAATACATACTTAATTCTTTGAAATTTGTTCACGTTATTTTTTTAAGATAATTTTGACGAGAGTATATCGAAAGTTGCGCACATTTTTCCAGCTCTTATTCTCTTATATGACAGGGTTAGATTAGGTTAGGTCAGTGTTAGGTTAGAATTGGTTAAATTTCTACACTTCTACAGATTTTTCATCGTGAAAATCTTGCATGTGTTCTTTGCGGATGTGGAAGTGAAATTGATGGAAGGAAGGAATTGTGTGTAGGTGTGCGATAAATTGAGACATTTGTTAATTTAATTATTTCGAAATCAGAAAGAATAATGACAAATGCAATTGACATTTTTCCATTTTTGAGATTTGTCATCTATTTACGTAGTTAATTATCATGTTTATGTATCTGTTTATATATTTGAATATTTTATCAAAAGTTATACCGAATGAATAACAACGTTTTTAACAAATTTCCGAAGAAATATTTTATTATTCTGCATCTGAATTGTTAGTTCTAGACAGTTCTATATGAAATTGTACGAATATTCATAATGAATACAATGGCAGAGGATGGTTTTTCAGATGAAGATGATTTATATACAAATTTTGCTGATCGTTTAAAAGGTAATTTTCTCATTATTTACACTTTGACACGTTACTTGATTATATAAACATTATATTAAAATTAAGACATCTACATATGTTTTGATTATATTTGGATACACAATTTTTATGAAATATCTCTGTTTTCAGCATTAAAAAAACAACGCTTTAAAGTATTGAAATCTTCTGCAGGGAATTCAACTCCTATTGAGTATGTATTTACAAAAATTGTGAAAATTTATTGTTTGAAATAGTGTTTTGCTAATATGATATAGCTGAACATTTCTATTGCAAAGTTAATATTATATGAAAAATATTTATAATTATTTGCTTTATTTTTTCAGTATTGAACAACAAAACAATAATGAAGAAGAAACTATTATAGAAATAAATGATAAAATAACTTACGATGATGATATACAAACACAAAGGAGGACGGTAAGACGTAGAAGAAATAAAGGTATTACTACTCGTGCTACTGTTAGGCAAAAAAGGGGAAGGGTAATATTTTTATATTTATATATGTGTGTTGTGTGCGCATGTTTGTGTGTGTATATATATACACATTATTTAATTATCTTTCCAACTTATAACTTATAAATTTTTGATAATTACTGAATAATAATTATTGAAATAAGACTTTATTAGATTAGATAACGTTTATTGACTCCCTACTGGGGGGGAATAAGACTTTATTATTTAAAAAATTTTTAAATAAATACGTTCATAATTATATATTGCTATGTCTAATACATAAGGAGTATATGTATATGATTTTCATATTTGATATATCAATATGCTTTAGCATCCATCAGTTGATGATCTAGAACATGTTGTGAAAATCGTTTTACTGGAAGAGAAATCTGAATCAGTTCCCGAAACCTGTAATAATGATTTAATTGCACTGTCAGATAATGAAGAAGTTTCCATTATAGATGACAATTATGAGATAACTATTAAAGTGTTTTGGAGGTCAAACAGAATTGATCGTTTAAATATGTATAAAGTACGTATGTTGGCTATCAGTTTGTAAAAAAAATTCTGTCATTTTATGCATTTTATTTATATTGTCATAAGTATACCTGTCAAATTTTTTATTATAGCATGACAATTTCGAAAAAATTTTTCAATATTATGCCGATTTGGAGAAAGTTTCTGTGAATGAAATCCTAATAATGAAGAAGGATAAAATCATTAATCGTAGTGATACTCCAGCATCATTAAAACTTTCAGTTATAGATATACTTGGTATAAACTAGTCGGTTTTTAACAATAGTTATAATAATGGTAACAATATAATAATTTTGCATTTATATGTAGATGGTGGGATAGTGCATCCAGGTATGAACGCATTATCAGAAGATGTGAACAACGATGACGACGAAAATACATGTACTATTAAAGTACAAACTGCCAATAAGAAGCAATCGTTGACTATTATGCTTAAAAGGAATCAACAATTTAAGATACTATTTGTTAATTGTGCTGAGCAACTTGGTGTAAAAGAGAATAAGTTAAAGTTTTATTTCGACGGAGAACAGATAGGTCCAACCGAGACTCCGGAATTATTAGATCTCGAGGGAGAAGCATGTATTGATCTTCATATATCTACATAATATGTAATAAAACAGTCGTAAAGCAAATTTTTTATACTTAAATTTAAAGAATCTTATATAATTTTGCTTACAATCGTTTTTTTATTGCATATCATTATCATACTCTTATTGTAAGGAAAGCATTATTTATTATACTTTCGAGAAATAATTAATATTATAACTGTATAATATTAATGTTAATATTACACAATTCGCATATAAATCATGTTAATTAATGAAATTGTACAAGTCTCAATCCATTAGAATAAAAGATTTTCTATAAGGCAATGTTAAACTCCATTTAAACAGCAACTTTTCCAAGCAAATTTCAAGATATCTTTATTTATTTATTTGTGCACATGCTGCAAGATATCGTCTATATAAGATAATACGAAACATGGCATCTCCTAGTTTTGCAAGAGTATATGCATCTAAGTTTAAGAATATATAACTTCAAAGAATACAGGATTGCAGCGAATAAAAATATTGAATAATTATATACACACAAATTTATGTACAATTATTTGCTGTGTGCCACAAGCTTAAAATACATATCGATTCAATGTTGCATTACATTATATTTTTGTAGAACTACTCTTCAAAGGTATTCTGATACAGCAACAACGAATAATCTATTCATATATTAATACATTATTATTTTATAATACATAATATACATGATAACATATTGATATGCTCTTCCATAGATATATAAATATGATACATATTTATATATTTATAAAACACATTTCATATTTTAGTTTGTATGATTCTGCACAATAAACTGTATTATATTTGTTTTGTGATTGCTATTCATTTCAGCATAAACAATTAAGAACATCGATTATTATTAATATACATTTCGCTCGCGTTAACATTCCTAACTGACAAAGTACACTTTGTTTTATTTATGAACACCAATTTTTAACAGGTAAATGATATATCTTAATTCTTAACAATGAAATACTGATATATCGTTATACACATTTTAGGCTCATGATTACCTGTTAGAATAAAGAATATTCAAGATGAAAGAATAAAAGGGCATCTTTGAAGAGTAATGTACAGTGTACGACTATTCCAATGATAAATATTGCACAGTAATCCATCAAATACTTTCATCGAAAATATCAAACAAAGAATTTCGTTAGATATTGTACTAATTTTATTCTACATAATATTTGATAATGTGATAACAATTTGCTGTTAAAAGGGAATGTTTTGGAAAGTCTCAAATATAACTGTCCGAAAAAAATAATTTAATCGTTAAATTTACGATTCGGATTAGATCCAAAAAGAGCGCCACGGATCTCCGGTATTAACTGTTGTGCTATCAGCTCCAGTCTGGTTTCCAAAGTATTGCTGATCTTTATGCGCCCTACAAATTAAAGATTATTTTGCATATTATGTATATTAACAAAAATGCAATAATGTCAAATATATAATTATTCCATTAAAATCGAAGGTTGTAAACAAAATTATATAATTTAAGCTTACTGTAAATTTTTGTAACAATTATTACAAATATTTTTCTTATTTTTGTAGTGATTAATAACTTTGTGATTAATGCAACAAAAATTTTGTGACATAACTACCTCTGGATGCTAATAATTCTACACCTCCACAGCTTTCGCTAGGTAAGAAATTATCAGAATCAATTTTCAAGATAACATCCTTCTTGGTTTTCTGCTTATACAGTTGCTGAACAGGGTCAAGAAGAGAGTCCACGAGAGAGAGATCGATTTGACGGACACGAAGAGTAATGTTTGATTCTGTTAGCTGCACAAATATACAATTGTCATGAGATAATTTAAAAATAATCAAACTTGCTCTTTCAACACTTATAGTAGCAATAAAATTATTGTATAACAGTAATAAATTAAATAGTAGTAATAGTTGTAACAGTATAGAACAGTAGTAATTTAAAATTATAGAAATATTACTTGATAAAGGCCTTGGATGATCAACAGCTGAAGCACTTCGCTATATTGCGCAGTGTTATGAGTAACTTCACCTAATCTCTTTCTAGCTTCATCAAGAACATTGCGCACATGATCTTCACGTACTTTTAGAGCCTTTAATCGAGCTTGGTTAAGCATGTTTGAAGATTGTCTATAAAAATATAAATATAGAGTAATACATGTATATATCAAATACTACTTAATTTCTTAGATATATTTAGATAGCATTTCTTAGAAAATTGGTTAAAAATATCAAACATTTTTTAAAATTTCTTAAAATTATATATAGATTAATATAAATTAATTCTTATTATTATAACAAAGTATAATATAATAAGTTCTTATACATACATCTTCTTTTGCAGCTCAACTTGTTTTTCTTTTTTTTCATAATACTCCATGATTTTAAGACGCTGTTGCTGCACCAGACGTCCCTTTTCAATATTAAATTCCTCTTCTGCTTTGGCATCTATTTCTTCTGCCTTTTCATTGGCCTCTTGTTCTATGAAAGCCATCATATGCTTGATCTGTAATACACCATGTTTTCTTTAAAGGTATTTATAATAATATATACAAAATTTAATGTATCCAAACCTTCTCAAGGTTTTTTAATATCTAATTTTTTTTTCAGATGATATGTATGCAATCTATATAGTTCCATAAAAGTATATATTCTTCAAATCATATGTAGTAGCAAGAAGTTTTAATTCTCATATAAAACTAGATGTTTAAAATGTTCAGAAATAAACCCACAAATTAATGTGAAAAAAAGATAGAGAAATTTTTTCGCTGAAACGTCAGTTGCTGTCAAAATAAATAATCGTAAAGATATTAATAGAGCACGCAAATATATACGATGATACTCGCTATAAGAGCAACGTTAGAGAGACAGAATTGCGGAAAATTTTTTTATTAACCTGCTTCTGGACATCCGCGTCGCTGAGTGCCATGGTGATGGGTTGTGTTTTCTTCTCGGGGAGTCGTGCGAAGAGGTTCCTCGAGGGCTGTGACGACGAAGAAGAGAACGAAGAGAACGAGTCGAGTCAACGCCTACAACAGCACGTCAATTCTCGCGTAACGTCGGTCATATGACCCGAAAATGTGACCGTCCGTTCCGAAACGCACGTACGCGAAACGTGTGACAGTGACAGGCGCAACGGGACGTCATGCGAACGCGCCTTTACGCGGGAAGCGCCGTCTTGCGAGCGCGGCCGAAGTGCCGCAGGACACACATCAGTTCGCGATCATGGCGGATCCGTTGAGTTTGCTGCGGCAGTACAATGTCAACAAGAAGGAGATAATCGAGCGTGAGAATCAGATTATATTCGGCGAGTTCTCCTGGCCGAAGAACGTTAAGACCAATTATCTGACTTACGGGTGAGTGTTTTCTCGTCCGAACTTCGTGTCAGAATTGTTTCTCGCGTGATCGCAATCTGGCTCAGGTTCCATCTTTAAAGGGAGAACGAAAGAGAGAACGAGGGTGGAAGGAGAAAGAAAGAGCGAGAGTTTCTCTGAAATAATAAATAAATTAATATATTCGATATTATTAAATAAATTCGTTGCAGAGGAAAATCAGAAATTAATGTCAGAGAGTAATGCGAATGTCTATTTTCATCTATCTGCGATTCTCCAAAGTATTTCTCCAAAATTTGAATCTTATGAGATATAGATTTCCAATATAGAATTTGTATTTTTTCACTGTTATTTTCTATACTTTTTAGTTCCAATTTTTAGTTTACTTTTTAAGTTTTAGATAATTTAGTTTTTTACATAAGTTAATCGATTTTTAATTTGAATTTTTTTTATCATATGTTATTGCAGGTTTTAATTATGAAGCCATTCATTCTAAAGTTAAAGTACTTCTATTTCTTCATCTTTGCTCTCTCTCTATAATTTTTTAATCAAAATAAAATTATTATTAAGTTATTAAAAGGCCTTGTCAATTTAGTTTCTGATATTCTACAATTAAAAATTACATTGTAATACGCATATAAAAAATAATTATGTCAAAAGCTAAATATTATATTTTATTTAAAGGAATTAAGAGATATATTATAAACATTACTAATAAAAATGTATAGTTTGGGCAATATTTTCTATTCGAGAGACACTAACATTTCTCTGCTTTTTTAGATCCGGAAAAGAAGGCACGCCTAAGGAATACTATACCCTCGAGTGTCTTCTATTCCTTCTCAAACATGTTCAGCTCACACATCCAGTATATGTACGACAAGCGGCCGCGGAAAACATCCCGGTGGTGCGTCGACCTGACAGAAAAGACTTGCTGGCTTACCTCAATGGCGAGACCGCCACGTCAGCCGCCATAGATAAATCGGCACCGTTGGAGATCCCGACGCAGGTGAAACGCGCCGCCGAGGATGGCTTGGAGAGCGGTTCGTCGAAGAAACCGCGCTTTGAAGAGACCCACGTGCAGAAGGTCAAGGAACAACTGGCGGCACGTTTGGACGCTCCTAAGGAGGCCTCGGTTACTGTTGATAACATCAAATCGCTGTCGGAAGCGATGTCGGTGGAGAAGATTGCCGCGATTAAGGCGAAACGTTTGGCGAAGAAGCGCACCACCATCAAAGAGAACGACGACATCGGCATGGGTTCGGATCTACGCGTAATCCTCGACATGGACGTGGACGACACCAAGGACATCGTGTCGCGCGAACGTCAGTGGCGGACACGCGCGACGATCCTGCAGAGCAGCGGCAAGATCTTCGCGAAGAACATTTTCGCGATCCTGCAGAGCATCAAGGCGCGCGAGGAGGGTCGACAGAAGGGCCCGACTGTGCCCACGCCGATGGTGACGCCACGTTCGACCCCCATGCGACCCTTGCCTCAGCCGGCCGTATACAATCGTTACGATCAGGAACGTTTTATCCGGCAGAAGGAGGAAACAGAAGGCTTCAAGATCGACACCATGGGCACGTATCACGGCATGACGCTGAAATCGGTGACTGAGGGTACGAATCCCGCCGTGAGAAAACCATCGACCAATCCGTCCAGCACGCCGACTTCCGGTTTGCTGCCGACCTCCGCTGCTAAATTAACGCCTCAGCAAGCAGCGCAGAACAAACGACCCAGCCGAACGCCCATCATCATCATTCCCAGCGCCAATACATCCCTCATCACTATGTACAACTCCAAGGACATTCTTCAGGATTTGAAGTATATTAGTAATGAGGACAAACGGGCGCAGGGTTGCAAGCGCGAGAATGAGGTGCTTCTTCAACGTCGGAAAGAAGGCGGCCTAACCGTGCCATATCGGGTAGTTGATAATCCGCAGAAGCTCACCAATGCCGACTGGGAAAGAGTCGTCGCCGTATTCGTTATGGGACCGGCGTGGCAATTCAAGGGTTGGCCGTTTGATGGCAATCCGGTGGAAATTTTTTCAAAAAGTACGCCTAATTTTTCTTTTTTTATAAAATTATATATATATATATATATATATATATATATATATAATTTTATATTAATTTACAAATAACAAACTAGTTGGATTAAGCATTTTATTACATTGAGAGGACTACATTAAATACATTTTTAAGCTCTTAAAGTGTGAGAACGAGAAAAATATATTAAAGCATTTCGCTCTGTATCAATATTTTGTTAGACTCAAAAGTTTAGACCATCCTATGATGAAAAGAAATATTTAATCAATTTTATTTGCCAATATATATATATATATATATATATATATATATATATATAATTTTTTGTTTTAATGTTTTCATTTAAATGTTATTAATAAATTAATATTTTCAATAAAATAATTATATCTGCGTATAAAAAAATATAATTTTATCTGCACCTCGCAAACTTTTGAGTCATAGTAGTATCGTATTTCGAGTAAAATCTCGCTTATCTCTTTTCTTTCTTACAGTATGTGCATTTCACTTGAAATATGACGAGATGAGGCTGGACGCGAATGTAGCACGTTGGGCAGTCACGGTGATCGAATTGAGCCGGACAAAGAGGCACTTGGACAGAGCGGCATTAATGATATTCTGGGAACATCTCGATAAGTGAGTACCTTATAAATTTAATTTTTTATCATATTGTACGCAATTTTTATCATATTGTACGCACACACATACGCGCGCGCGTATCTGTAATCTTATCTTTGAAATTTTCAATTAAGCTGATATTAATTTTCCGCTTATTATTTTTAATTTAATGTAATTTATAATTTTAATTGTCTTACGATTTTTGTATAAATAACAGTTTTTATTTGTGTAAGAATAGCTACACATTTAAATTCTAGATTCAAAATAAACTCTATCTTTACAGGCATATGATCAAGAACAAGCCGCATCTTCGTTTCTGAATCCTAATACGATTCAGACTCGTATGTGTGTTCTCAATATTTTTTAGATATTTTCATAAAGAGTTGTACATATGGTTCGAAAAAAGTGTAACATATATATGTATATCTACAGTATATATGAATGCGTATCATAATGTAAAGTCGAATCGAGTTTAATCGACGCATCAAGGTAACGTAATTACGAATAACTACGTTGTGTGACATTTGAACTTGATCACAGCCATTTGACGAAAAAAAAAATCATTCATTTTTTAAGCGTAAATATTTTTAAGATTGTAATCTAGTAGTGAATCTCGGATTTTCGTTTATAATCGGCTTACTTGCCGAGATTTATCATCCTGATTCCAGCACACATTCTGCCGCAGCGTATAGATTTTTCAGAGCATATACCGATTGTAATTAGCGCGAACTGATGTGCCTGTTATTAATAAAACATCGAGCTAAGCATATAGGAATTTCTATTATTCGTTGATATAAAGGTTGTTGTATTATGTGATATGTGATCCCGAAGAATCTACCTATCTATCCATTTATGTCAACAAGAACTAAGTATCGACATTGAGAGAAAACACATGAATAATTTTTACAACTGTCCGCCCATATATGTATAAAAGCGAGATAGAAATCAAATCAATTAATGTGATATATCGGGTAGAAACGTAAATTAACTCTCCAAAATGATTGATTGTTGTATGATTGATATTGATTGTATTAACAAATTTATCTCCAAAATAATTTACTGAAAAACGTATCATTTACGTTATTTTTAAAACCAAAAATCTGAAACGAGAAAATAGGTCCATTTTCTACATTATCATTTATACGAATAAAAATTAACAAAATTGCATCCAATTATTTTTAAGACTATAAAAATTAATACATTTTGGTGTCACATTTATTATATTATACTTAAACGCGATAACGTAAGTTGTGTAAAAAATATATAAAAATTGTATGTGAGAAATCTACGTAAAAATTATTCATCTGTGTAGTGTCAATGGGAAAATTAAAATTTGTTGCACGAGCGCATCTTCACATTCATATTTTGATTCAGCTGAAGAACTTTAATTTTAACGACTGCAACGATGTTGGCTGTAAATGAACTGTAATTTACTCGCATTCACACAAAGTGTTGAATCCATTTATACTGCGTGTTCGACGCTAAATGACAACCATTCACAATTTTTAGTTTTATTGGTAAAAAGATGAAGTATAACTATGGTCATTTTTTGTGAGAGAAAATAAAGAACAAAAATATAAAAATTTTATTTGGAATTAGTTTGCGACCAAAGTGGAGATCGGCGAGCAAAAGAAAAAACATAATGATGTTTGACATTAGACGACTTTAAATAAATTAAATATATAAAGGGGACAAAAGTGTAATATAAAGGATGAAATTGTTAAAATAAAGGACAAAATTGAGTTTCAAAAAATGAATAACAGTTACTTGAAATAAAGGATTGTCCTCTAAAATAGAGGATAGATGGTCAAGTATAACAAGAAAAAAAAGGTAACGTGACGAAAAGTTGTCTCTACTCTCCTGCGAGCAAGAGGATTACATCTCGACAGTGGTCGATAGCGATATTAAGTTTCTTCGCGCGTGCTTTGTAATTCGAAACGCGACGCCGCGAAGATCTTCCCGAGGGAGAGAAGACGGGACAGAGACGAGAGGATTCACGGAATAAGAGGGTAGGATACGGAGTATTTTCTCTTTGCTTCTAAAACCAAAGCCAAAGTAAATCGCTCGCGGCGCGACCGAGGTATACGATTGACCGGGGTTGTTTATACGCGATGGTAGATCGAACATTTCTAACTAGATTATCGCCGCCCTATTACTTCGACAAATACGACGAATGTACCCCTAACAATATCTTCGCTGCGATTCTACCCCTATTGTTTGAGGGTCGGCGATCGCTGCGCGTGTTTTTTCAATTACCGCGTTGTTTCCTCTTTTCTCTTCTGCGCCGAAATTATAATGTTTTGCTTCTTCTTTTACAATGGACCAAAAAGCAGTTAAAAAAATATATATGTATATAGATATAACTAATTATAGATATATATATAACAAATAAATGAAATTATATGTATATTTTATATGTATAATTATATGTATCTTTGCTCTTTTTATGACTATTTAATGCGACTATTATTTTTTAATTAAAAAAAAAACACGAATTTTCTAAGTACGATCAAAAAAGTATGATACGTTTTAATTCATATAATTTTTTTCCATCTTTAACGTAACATTAACATTAAGAGACTTCCTTCTCCAACGATTGTATCTTTCCGGATCCTGTCCTCCCATTCAGAAAAAAAGCATTCATGCAAATTTGTAATTGCACTGCGCGCAATTCGGTTGCACACAAGGGATACCCGGCAATACAGCTGGTGGCAGATGATGCAGGATGCCAGCTGATCTAGCAGCTGACAGTCGATCCGCTGCTACTTGAGCGCACAAATGCGCGTCTCGCAGTTGCTGCTGCACACCAGGAGTAAAATAATTGTTGTAACGAAAATTTAGCGCGACGGCCTCCTGAGACTCGGCCGCGGTTTTCGCGATCGGCAGATCGGTACCCTTGGCGAACTGCTCCGCGGTCGGGACGATGTTCAGGAGGCAGTAACCCGCGTCCCCGTAGACGTTTCTGGACAGACTGGTATAGATCGGTGCCAGCATCGTGCCGGAAATCGGTTGCTGTTGTTGTTCCCCGGCACCGCTGTCGACGATCGTCGTCTGCGGAGGTCGGAAGGCCGAGGACGCGTGACCGATACCGGTCGAAATCGCTGGCTCGACGATGCCCAGGTTGTCGCTCGCAAAGTACTCGATTGCCTTCAGCAGATCCTGGCCACACCGTTGCAGCACCAGTTGTAAGACCGACAGCTTGGTGTTCGGAAAGAGGCGGGCGAGAGTCTCCACGGAGGTCTGAGACACTGGAACGGACTGTTTGGAGCCCTCCAGCTTGCTGGTGTCGAAGAGAAGACTTTTGGATTTCGAACAGTTCTCCAAGTCATCCTGAGAGTGAATACGAGATATAAGTATGAAGGACCACGTTTATATGTATATAACGATATCTTTTAATTATAATTATATTACTTGATATAATTATAATTTATATTATATAATATAATTATATATTATATTAAATTTATAATATAATATAAATATTATAACGAATTACGAACTGAATTACGCGCGACTTGATTATTTTTATCCTATTATTTTTTCTTTTTTTAAATTTTGGTTTATATGTACAGAAGAATTTTGAAGACGAGAAGTGTTGTTGGTTGACACGCATGGAAGCTCCTTCGAGTCCTCGGAAATTTTGTCAAGCTTCTTCGAAGCAAGAATTGTATCTTCATTTTCATCCATCACCGATTTTGGCTCCGTCACAGACATTCCGAAGATCTTCCCCGGCGGAAGTCGATCGAGTTTTTGTCCGGTTGCTACCTTTGCCATTTTAAGGGCGATCGCGTCCTCGGCAGCCTGCTGTCTCTTGAGAGCAACCTTGTTGAAAACAGCTGTCTTAATTCATCTCGAATGGAAAAATTAAAATCAAACAGGTGATAATGATTTTGACAATACATAATGTTAAAAAATAAAGACAAAGAGCAAATTAGCACGAATGTGTATCGTAAAAATAGTCTATTAAAACTTGAATTTTTTAAACATAATTATAAATGGTTTCGAACATTTTGATCCACTTTAAGATTATCTTCATCAATAGGATAAAAATATTTAGTGCATCAAAAAATGTTACCATAAAGAGCTCTTATCTGCTCTTTGTTTTTTTCTTTTTTTATATCGAAGAGAGAAATTCTTCCATCGTATTTATTAAAAGCCAATGAATTTTTGACATAAAAAATTACGATGTTTGAAAATTGCGGATTTTGCAAATTTTTATTTAAAGTAGAAAGTACAAAACCCTAGAAGGAAAAATGATAATACTAAAAAATATTTTATTAATACAAATAATATATATATATATATATATATATATATATATATATATATGATACTTTTCAATTATAATATAGATTATAATTGAGATGTATTATAAATAAACGAAGAAATTTTTAAATATTCCAATTTTTAAATATCTGTGTAACAAGATATTCTAATACGATATTCTTGGATATGTTCTTTTCAAGCTAATTAGAAATTAATTACAAGGAGTGTAAATTCACGAAGATTGGAACGAATAAAAATATGATCTCCTTGATATTGATCTGCGCGCGGTATCCTACGTTATAATTAATATGGAGAAACACATCTACGTCATACATATAAATCCTTATACATAGCAAATATATAGCGATCGAATCGTGATGGATCATGACTGCGCTCGACTTATAAATGGACCCGTCGCTTATATACGGGGCGCATTTACCGCGCTGTTATTCCAAGCTGGACCACCCGCAATAATCTTTCACGTCGCTGATGCCAAGAGAATCTACTAACTGTTCCTTCGATCCATTTTCTCCAATCTCGCTCGATCATCGAAAGGTATAACTATCCGATTTCATTTAGCCAGTCAGTACACACATTGCCATATGTTCTTTCGGACTCGCTACAATATATAGCGTTTGCTACAAAGTCATTTACAGAATATACTCATAATCAATTATGAAATAATATATAATTTAATTATTAATATATTATATATATTTATAAAATTTATTAATATATATAATATATTGATATAAATATATATATATATATATATATATATATATATATTAAATATATTAATATATCACTCAATGTGTGTATATTGATAGCAACACAAAGCTCATTTCTTATATCATATGTAAGAGTAAATTTCACAATTTAGAGAATGGAAGATTTCGACAGGAATTTTTGGCAATACTCTTTAGATTGAAAAAAATGTAAATTAAAAAAAATATGTTCGTGTACATAGAATTCAGAAAGCCGCGTATAATTCCAATGATATTATTTCTCCCCTCATAATATTACGGTCGCGTTAATCATCGCGGATTACGGAGTTGGCGTGAAAGTTTCGCGCGGCAAAACCGCGCGCGGTTTCCTCGGCTGTACACCGGCAATTATCGTTAGACGGATGATCACGGGCGTGTATTTTGTTTTTGACCACAACCACCGCGAGAGAGTTTCTCCCGCGCGCTCTGCGTCGACTATTTTCGTTTCAAGATACCGGGGGTAGCGCGAACGTTTACCGCATCGAGAGTCTCGCCGCAAACAAAGTATCGAGTGTCATAATGCCTATGCAAACAGAAATGAAACGCTATACTGAGCGTTAATGGATTTAATTTATCTCGCCGTCTCACCCTCTCGCCCTCCTTTGCCGCTATTTTCCCTGTCCTCTCGAGAACGAGGATGTCGCGAGATGCATTATGCATACGGTGATACCATATTGGCCAAATTCAAGAGATTGATGACTCTGGCCATTATTCATTTGGTGATTATTCTAAGAGAGAGAGAGATCTGAAAAATGTGATTTGACGAGAGGCTCTTAAACGCTTTGAATTATTGCAAATATTAATTTATTCGGTGATATCAAATGGAAATCAATTTTCGATAACTCGAGAAAAGAGAACGAGTGATGGAAATGAAAATTGGTAGAAGTATATAAAAATGAATCTTTATTCTCTCATGTTTTAATGCATAATTTAAATATCGTTGTGCATCCTGTTGTTAGAAATTGCAATTTATAGATTTAAAAACAGACGACTCGCAACTTTTTTTCCCACCTCCTGCGCAATTGGTTTGGTTCCGTGATATTCTCACATTACCTCTTTTTTTAAATAAATGAATCAATCACAGCGTCAATTTAAACTTTTTCTTTTCTCTCTTATTTTTTTTTTTTGCAAAAAGGAACTATATACGCAAGATTCTCTTTCCATCAACGGCTCGACAATAACGAGCTCCGATCGGACGTCTCTTTAAATATCGGAGGGTGAATATCGTGCGAAATAAAATATCGGAGGCGCGTTAATTACGCTCAACTGCGCGTGCAGCGAATTGACATTTTTCTTTCACATTTTCCTTACGCTGCTCAAAGCGCGAAGGAAACTCGCGCGTACTAAATTAGTGATTGCAAGAATGAAAAGCACTACCCTTACGCTCGCAAAATGATATCCGTCATCTGTCAGATTTGACATTTCGCGTTCGTAATTTTCGAATATATTCGAGTAAATTAAAATGTGAAAAAATCATAGAACATTTTTCTATTTTTAGATTAAAATAAGTAAAGAGAGGGAGAGAGAATTGTTTGACAGATTAAAGAAAGATTCTTACCTGGGCAGCCATCACTCGTTGTCGTTCGGCGATCAGCGAACATTTGGGGCACAGACACTCCCGATAACGACATTCCCTCTTGTGGCCCCGCAACCAAGAGATGAGACCATGATTCCTGCAACGGGCGCACTTTGGTCTCCTCTGTTTACTGTCCGTTCCCTCGTTGTTCTCGTTGTTCTCCGACCTGTTCTTGCTCCTGCCGCGAAGCATGCTGATGTCCCACACGAATCTTTATTTGCGACTGTTCATATATTTCGTACTTCACACACGAATGTCGTAGAATCGTACAAATATATAGAAAATATCCCCCCGATTAGTTTTTATTTATGCTATAATTCTCGTGCCCCTTTTTACTGAATCCGAAAAGCACTTGATGGACATGTAGAAGAGATTTTTTGTGAATTAATAATTAAAAATTGAACAGACAGATATATACAGATTGATCGTGAATATATAGTGGAACTTTCAGCAATTACATAAGTGTGAATAATTAATTTTAGATAATCTACCCCCTTATGTAATTAACTGTCAATAGTTTGAAAATAGAAGAACTCTTACGGGTAGTCAACTTTCTATCTTGAGAAAGGCTGAAAGAGCACACGGATAAATCAAGCGAGAACTACAGGAAGAGGAAGGTCAGGACTGTGACACATGGCGTTTTTTCGCCCGCGAGTTCTTGTTGCGATTGTTAATTCGGAACTGCGCGAAAAGAGGAGCGGAGCGATCTAATAGCCGACTTCAGGATTTTTGTTTCTTCCGGCTTGGCGGCGATTCGGTTCGATTGGCCGCGAATGTGCGGGACGTTTAGGCTCTTCCACGCGATTCCGTAGCATCCCCAGGAGCGGAGAAGAGAGTCGAGAAGACAAACATCGGCCGGACCACCCTTCTTCGGCGATTGGTTCCGTTGTGTTTACCCTTGTCGCCACTCCTACCGCGAGAGACAAGAGATCTCGCATCGCAGGGTATCGTAATCGCAAGTAAACTCGCCGGTGTGCGCAAGTATGGATGTACATGTACATACATGTGTGATTTTATTTTATTTGGCAGTGTGTTACATCTCGCCGAGGATGTGGAGAACACGCGAATTAAACAGGAGATTAATCGAATGTGTGAGGAAAAAATACCCCAAGCGAATATGCAGACAGAACAAATGCAACTTTGGAAAAGTTAAGTGTTACATGATGCAAATTTTTTGTTCTTAAGAATACAGAATTTAAAATTCTTTGAAGATGATAGCAATTTTATTCCATCACATAATTCATTGCACACGAATCTAACTCTATCTTTTTTTTTGCAGAAATTAAGCGAGGATTGAAGGACGGAAAAATGGACGCTAAATAGGATAATCCGACAGAAACAAGCGCATTGCCAAGAATCAAGATCGTTTAATTCTCACGAGTACAGGTTCGTAGTTGGTAAACGATTCGTCGGTTGATAATGAATGAGCAAATTCGTCGTAATAACAAGCCTATTTATTCCAGCGTGTATTGGTCGCTTATTTAAATAGATAATTAGACATCCTTTTGCGCCATTCTCTACGTGCACTCTCGCAATATAATTGTGTGGAAACGTGTGTGTGGAACGTGTGTACAGAGAGTGGCAACGCGCGCGATTTTCCGCTTCGCCTCGTCTTCCTCGCGTGTCCTTAATGCGTGTGAGAGAATTTTTCACGTCGTTGAGCACTCGGTTGTTCTTCCAGCTCAGCAGCTAAAAAAAAACCTTTCAAACTTTGTAATTCTGATCTCAATGACGTCGCAAAAGAAAAACAAAACTTTCGAATCAATAATTTCGAAAGAAATCAAGAGTTGTCACTTTAGACGGTCCTAAAGTGGAATAACTTGTAATTCGAAATAAATCCTCGTTTCTATCTTTAAATAAAACTCTGGATTATATGAACGTTTGACATTTTATTCTCGGAAAAAGAGAGATTAAAGGAACAACAGATCTTTTTCGCAATTATATAATATTAATAAAATTATTATTATTATAATATATATATATATATATATGAAATTAATGATACTTCGATCTTTCGTTTATCTCATTCAACCCAGCATTTTTCAGTTTAAAAGGCTTTTCGTTAAGTAACTCCTGCTTAATCATTTAAATCCGTTCCACACGCGCGATTTTCCTCTCTATTCGTGTCTCCTTTATATATCTCGTGTCTATTATTACTTTTATTAATTCACACTTTTCGATTTTACATCGGGCTCGCGGGAAGTGATTCAATAAAGCGTTGTATGTCGTTTCGTAGCGCGATCAACGAAGATTATTAAGGAAGTTGCTTTAACAAATTATCACTTATGGCAAGCTTAAGCCTAAGCAAACGTGCGTCGAGGCAAATATTTCGTACTTATAACTTTTTAATTCTTTATTTATATCTTCTCGCTATAAGTCGATACTTTGCAATTTTATAGACGATAAGACATTAAAAAAAATATATATAAATCTCTTAATTCAAAAGTTTTTTTACATTATAAACAAGTGTGAGATTATTCGAATGAACGAGAGCTTCGTTTAAAAAGATTGCTATGTACAAAATAAAAGCGGCATGTACGAATTTCCCTCGACGAATGTAACATAAATTTTAGCAGCAGGAACGATCGCTCGCAATCGTGGCGATACTTTTGTACAGGGGAGCTCGTTGCATTTAAAAGCACATGTCGAAAACTCACATCTCGCCTCTCTTTCTCTCTGATGCCTCGGGTACGCACAATCGAGGATATCCTCCTTTCTTTTCTTTCTTTTTTACTGATATGATTCATTGATATGGTCCGTCATAAGTTACACTAACGTTGTCGTCGTTACTTGGTTTATTTGTGCGAAGAAATTTAGGAAGGATGCGTGCGTATCCGTAATGCACACTTGTCGAACGACGCTCCGGGCCGGAAATACGTATTTAATTATCACGTTGAACGATAATGAAGACTTTTTGCAATAATGTATTTGGAATACGCTAAACGCTCGATGTCGGAAATTTATTCACGATATTTTAATGAAGCAAATGATTCGTATATTTAAAGAGAAAATTGAGGAATTCTTGCTTTTATTTTTTTATTTTGTTTTTTTTGGCGAGACAATTCCACTTTTATTAATACGAATTCAATGAGTTATTAATAATTAAAATAAGAATAAAGATTATATATAATAATCAATGCATATAATTGACACAATAATTGTTATTTACAATAATAATTTTTATCATAATATGCTTATAATGATAATACGTAATAATATAGGTACAATAATTAATATAAAAGTCAAGTTGCGACAATTTTTTTCGACGTTTACCATATTCGAGATACCGAATATTGCAAAAAACTCCCTAATAAAGCAGCATCAGATATTCGATATCGTTGAGACACGCGCATTGCGTTATGTCAACGAAGCGTATAATATCACTCGAGATCCTTATATTTTTATTCTTCGGCTACTGTTGCAATCACACGATGCGTTGTGTATTTCGTTTTCGTCGTCTGATGCATGTATGTGTGTATGCATGTGTGTTCTGTATATTTTTTTGATCACACCCTCTCGTCTCATCGCCCTCGCACAATGAGAGAATTCGTAATCTCGATGTACGTTTCATATGGAACGGTGCTTCGATCGTCGATCTCGCTTTTCTTTTTGCCCAAAAAAACAATTAGCTACCATAGCTCAATTTTAGCTGTCCCTATATTACAACCTGAAATTTAGTTATCCCGCATACTAACTAATATTTTTTAATTATAGTTTGATGAAGAATTCTATAGCTAAAAAATATTAGCTATATCATAGCTAAAACTTATAATTAGGCATGATAACTAAATTTCACGTGTAATATAAAGACAGCTAAAATTTTAGCTATAATAGCTAATTTTTTTTCCGTGAAGCCTGACTTTTTTTCCCATCCTAATTACAGTTTTATCTGCGGGAAAGTGCGAGGCACCCCTTTTGCAGAGACAACAGAAGAAAGCTTCTACAATAAAGCTTCTTGAATAAATTATTAGGAGAGAACCGCCATCAATTTCATTCTGATTCAATTTTAATTATATATAAGTATTTACAAATTAGTATAGTTGACAGAGTTTCGCTCGTCGATCCGGCGATTCGAATAAGAGAGAAATCCTCCATAGGGAAAATTATACGATACAATAACAATCAACAAATGTACACGTGTCTGTCCCCTTTCACACCAATTGGCCCCAAAATTAAGAGGATAGCGTGTTCGTTTTTTTTTTAATTTTATATATTCATCCGCTCCTCGTAAGTTTGCCCCTTTCTCTCTTTTTTTCTTTCTTGCCTTCTTTTTCTTTTTTTTTGTCGTCTTTGAAGCTCGATTTTGTAATATCTCTGTCTCGCCCTCGACGAGATTCTATATTGGATATTTGAATCTATTATATCTATATACAGAGAGTATCTCAGGCGATTTCCGCTGCGAATGCTTCGGCGAGAGTTTGTCGGTCGATTTGTCTCTAAAGCTAAAGTTCGATCGGAAGCTGTATTTTCCCCGGCAACATTCTATTATCGAAAGTTAACTGCTCGAACATTTATTCAATGAAATATTCTACTTCTCTGGGCCCTATCTTTCCCTTTAACGGAGTATAAACGCTCGGATTTTTTTTACGCTCGATTATTCTCTTGCCTTCGTTAATTTTTTTATGATATTTCGACATTTTTCGTTAAAGAGAAATCGACCTCGTGTTAGTGAAAAGTCGAGAAATCGAAAGAAGATACTCTTGCATATACATATATAATCTACCTACTTAGTCGCAAAAATCTACACACATCGGCCCATTTTTTTTCTCTCTCTTTCTCTCTACTTTTATCGTGAGAAAATTGCAAGAAAGTGTTGGAATCGATGAGAAGCCGTCGCGTTTTCTTAATTATCTATATATGTATATCTCAAAACAACGATTAGCCTACTTTTTTCCCCACCTCAACTAACAGATAGACATTTTCAACAGCTAAGCGTAGCCATTAGAAAACGACACTTTTTCGCACTTTTCCTATATAAAGGTACGCACGTAGACCTTTGTGACGAAGTCTGCGCGCACACACATACACACACAAACACATAATATATGTTTACGTAATTTATGTGTGTCAATGTGTGTGTGCTAGATGCGTATGTTGGATGTATGTGTGTTCATATTCGATATATATTTTATTTCTACTAATTGTGATACTCTCCTATTCATTACAGGATAAATGCTACGTGTGGCGCGTAATCGATCGACCAATCTGATAACAAGTGGTTTAAAAAGTAGCGGCGAATGTGTGCCTTCTTTGACTTGCATCATCTTGCTGCTGGAATCGAGAGATATTATGCCCGCAAAACTCACTCTTCTATTATTCTTCTACTAGTATAATAATAGGTACGTACATGTGTGTGTGTGTGTGTGTGTGTGTGTGTGGGTGTATGTATAGCTTTTGTATATATTTATATATTGGGATATATCCGAATATAGAAAATTTTATATACAATTTACATTTAGGAGTTCTCTCTCAGGCGGACTATTAACGATCATTATTAAACACGTTACACGCTACGTTTTTTTTCCTTTATACGGCATACATTATCGTTTAATAAATAGTGTCCTCGTAAAAAAAGGATTGGCGCCGAGATTGGGAGGAAAAATCGCCGTTCCTTTCTGTCGTCGGGAAAATTCGGAAAGAGATAATCTCTTTCCATAAAATTATACAACTTTGGGAATAATACGTCTCTCATGCGAATACGATAAACGTTATTTATTAATAACGCGTCGAATCGCGATAATAAATAACAAACAATGAATTCGAGATGAGAAATCGTGAATGCGTCAGATCGTGCGGAAGAACCGGAAATCGGGCGTTTACCGTATTCGATTTATTTATATACGCGCGGAAATATGCTGGAATATCGTAGTACGATGATAATGGCGATAATTATCTAGATGAATAAGCGAAGTGAAGCACGCCTAATAATCGTAGTATAGCGATATAATACACAACTATATACGTATATAAGTGGTATACATAACGTATACGATCTCGTTTTTCAGCGCGTTTTTTTTTCGTCGTAATATCAATGAGATATGAGACACTTTGTCGTTTCGTTTATATAATTACACGATCGACAGAAGGGAAGGGATTTGTTTCCTATAAAGCTTGCGAGTTGTCGTTCCGCCGGAAATCAACAAGCCGGAGTCTCCGAAATGAGAAGTTATATAGAGGGGATGGAGGAGTTCGGGGGATGAAAATTAGGTGAATCAGAACGAATCGCGACAGGAATCCACTTCCGCGAGATCGAATACCTTCGAGTTACCCGAAAGCCAATCCGTGATTCTCTCCGCGGAGAGGAATTCGTAATATCGCGGAATAAATTCCCCATCCCTCGATTCGTCTTCTTCTTTCGCGCGAGATGAATCGGATGATTTTATATAATTCGTTGGATAATCCGAATCCTTTTTTTTAGATATGTATTAAAAAGAAAACGAATGTTCGCCGCGACTAGGAATGGCCAACGATTAATTGGGACAATTAACAAAGTTAGTCGAGATATAAACTTTTAGTAAAGTGGGCAGTATTTATTACCTCTTGATATTAAATCTTTTGAAAATTATTGCGGCGAAGTCTTTTTTCTTTTTGAAAGAAATTGCTCTCAATTTGAATTTTCTTCACTCGTCGCTATTGTATTTCGCGAGAGTCATATTTTGACGTAAATCAGAAATATGTAAGTTGTTATAAACTGCATATATTATTTTGACTTTTATTTCTAACGATACTCATCAATACTTAGGGCGATATTCATCGTAATACCTTCAATAGCCATTTCTAGCCTCGGTTCGCTTCGATGCATCGATGATCTGTAATTGATGGCATTGATGTTGCCAACAGCTGACGCTCCGACCTGGTTGGGAATGTATTGTCGACTTATTCAAAGGAGGATTTCCAATTTCGAGTCAGATCGCCGTCCAAGCTACATTTCGCGGACGTCATTACCTATCCGTCGATTTCGCGACAATCTCTCACGGCCGTATTTTATAACATATAACGTAGTTAGACAATAATAAATGGAGCAACGATATTAAGGAATTGAATAAGATTTTACTTCAGAGTGTTAGAGAAACTAAGAAGCTCGCATTATACAATTATGAATAAACTATATAAGTCGTATAATATAAAACGAAAAGAAGAAAGTAAAAAAAGAGCTATATATTTAGAGAGATTTAAATTAAATTTTTAAAATATAATTTTATGTCTCTCTAAATAGATCTCTTTTTACTTTTTTCGATTTATATCACGGAAAAAAAATAATCAAAAAAACAGCTAAATTTTAGCTGTTTCTATTACAACTTGAGTTGTCGTGCCTAAATTTTAGCTATGACAACTAACTTTTAGTTAGGCACGATAATTAAATTTTATGTGTAATATACCGCCAGCAAAAATCAGCTATAGTAGCTAATTTTTTTCTAGTTTCATTCATAATTTTATAATGCGCTGATAATGAACGGATGTATGATTTAAAAATCTACGCTTTCAAGTTTGGAAAAATGAAATTCCGATTCCCGATCGCGACGATTTTTCCGGAGGACGCGAATATACATATATATATATGATTGTACCTGTTCAATTTTAAATTCATTGTATGCACATCACTCGATATACCCTCGAGACACCACTCGAGTACCGTCGACTATAAATACGGCCCTTCAAACACGGAGCTGGTAGTCGAGACGCGTTCAAGTGCAGGCGGCGGATCATCATCGTCATTATCAACATCATCGTTAGCTCCGACGCGACGGGGTATTATAACATCGATCGACATCGATGTCGCGACGTCGGGGTTGAGGAATATCGAGGAGGAAGAAGCGCTCTCCGGTCTATCTTGATATATCCGTAAAACGGGGTGTTGATAAGGGTAGCCGCGACACACGCAGGAAATTATGGACACGTTCGACGATTCTGCGCTGCGAAAAGGGGGAAAATGGGGGAGGAGGATTCGTGGAAACGTGTATAATTAGTCGCTAATTATCTACGCTCGTTAGAAATTTTCCGTAGGAATGTCTAAAAATGTTTTTCGAATCTATATCCATATGGAAAAAAAAGGAAAACATTAAAAACGTTGCGTCGATATGGAAAACTCGTGTAACTCGTATAATCGCATGTACAATTACAATCTCGTAAACTCTCTTGCGATGCGTCCGTCAACAAATCTGTGCCTACGCATATTTATATGTATATTTATGTATATGTGTGTATGTATGTGAACCTGCACGCATAATGATATATGTTAACACAACTTGCGTCTGCGTGTGGATAGTATTGTGTGTGTCTGTTGTTTCATAATTCTAATTAGCATAGTTATTACAAAATTCTCTTACAACTATTCAACAAAAACCAATCTCGTAACAACTCTTATCTACGTGTTGTTCGTCATCGTTTGCATGTACACTATTTCTCTCTCTCCCTCTCCCTCTCTCTCTCTCATTCAATCTCTCGCACTCTCTCTCTCTCATCTTTGCGAAAAAAAATTTTGACGCGCGCGCATTACAACAATTCCCTTAATCGTCATGCGGTAGTCTCGGATTGCGGAGCATTGCGGAATTTTCATGGAAGAGCACCGTCGCAACTACTATTATCGATTTAGCGCATTCGCTAAATTGAGACAGTCTACGGACAAGAGCCATAAAGTAGAATGGCCCCTCGAGTGAATTCCCTTTAAAAAATTGTCATTGCCCTGTCCATGTAAATTTTGATTTTTCAACATATTTCATCACTACAAATCCATATTCGATAATGATTCATTCCTACAACAATCTCTCTTCGGTGCGTATTTTGACTGATTTTTTTCAAGATCAACATTTTTCTGAATTTACGTTTTTTTACGCGCGTTCGCTTCTAGTTCAATACGTTTCATCGAATCCATATATTTTTCGCATTCGAGTATAGTTTACCGAATTGATATACATATATACATATTGTCTCTAATGGATCCAATAAATCAATTCTCGAAAAGGGGAAGCGATTTTAATATTATACGCGGATGGGTCGCCCTTTGCTGTAGACCGTCTCGAAACAGATTGCGAGCGATTTATCGGAGAAAATTCGAGTGCTAGAACCCGCAAACAAATTGCGCCTATATATAGTATCCGTCGATCTTCCATAACAATTCGTTGCCGTATATGCAAAAGGAACGGTATTCGTAAAAATTGCGAAGAGAGCGACAATTATCCCGATAATCGTTCGACTATCGTTAAAGCAAGCTCGAGATTAGCCTCGCGTTTCGTTTCACACGATGCTAATCATCGGGGTCTTTTCGGCGCTGCGTATAAACAAGAGACTTATTGACGAATTACTAATTATCTGCCGCTATTGTTAGACGAAGAGCTTGAAAGAGTTAATTATAACAAGAAGCGATTGTAAGAATCGCGATAAAACTCGGGCTTTGGTTGCTACGATATATATCCCGATGGAATTAATTTGTCAATTATATATAAACTTTTTTTTTAAATACATATTACATATCATCATTATCACAATCAATCCCACATACACATGCTTATTTTATTTATCTATAAAAATATTAATTAAATATTTAAATTGAAAAAAATATATATGTAATATCTATGCAAAAAATTTTTTGAAAAAATACGTGACCGGTAAATTACATCCCTCGCAATAATATTATACGTATATGTATAAATCTCTTCTATAAAAATTAAAATTAAAAAATTCTTCCTATAAAATATCAGAGAATTTCATTATATTATTTACTATTTATTTAGGATGATATGTCGTGTGTGGTATAATAATAATGATCGGTATATTCGTGTCGCACAAGAGTGTAATATATTATAATTAACACCAGGCTCTTCCCGTGCCAGAACAGCTGAAACAGCGAGAAACGCGCGACTTATTTTCGGAGATAATAAAAAGTGATATCGTCGCATTTGTCGATGACGCTCTCGTGGCAGATCGAGATTACCGCGGGACGATCCCCGTGGCGGATTTGAGAGAACAAGAACTCGAATAACTTGTCATTATCAAGCACAGAGAGGAATCATAACGCGGAACAAAAGGGTCTACTCTGCGTAAAGCATTAAACTTAAAGTAAAAAAAAGAAAAGAAAAAGCTCTCACACACCCCCCATCGACGAGCAACGCGCACACACGTATTCGAGTAACTTCCCTTCGTTCGTCGAATAAAAATACCCTCGCCCTCCTCTCGTCGGACGAATTAAATCGTCAAATTAACCCAGATTCTTAGAATTCGAAATTCTAAATCTCTCTCTCTCTCTCTTTCTTTCTCTCGAGGATTCTTAGAAAATTATTTCTAGAATTCGAAGTTTCGCGGAGATATTTTCGTTTCTATGTTCGCCTTTGTTCGCGAACGTATACGATACGTCATATACGATTAAAACTTTAATAACGGGTTCTCGACAGACGGAAGCCGCAGGGATTTAAATCGCTAACAAGTCGTCCCCCTTCGTTAATTTAGTTTTGGCGAATCTAGTTGGGATCATCAGACCGGATCGGCGAGGCCCCGTCTCTCGAAAAAAGTAACGATTCTCCAGAACGTATTATATATATATATATATATATATATATATATATATAAGGATATAAGAGTATATATATATATATATATATATATATATATATATATATATACCGGAAGCACCTCGCCGAGAATCGTCGCCGGTGTTTTATGTGTTTGATCGCGATATACATATATATATATATATATATATTTATATATAATTAAATATATATATATATATATATATATATATATATATATATACGATACAACGCGCGATCAGAGTGACGGATTTTTACATAACGGCACACTTCTCCTTGAGTCTTATAGCGTTGTTGCTCTGCACCGGCTGTAACGACACCGAGCGATTCTTCTCGAGGGTGAGCAAGTCTCGGAACAGGGCGTCCACGTTGTGATTCGTCTTGGCCGAGGTCTCCAGGAAGCCGCAGCCCCAATTAGCCGCCTCGGCCGCGCCCTCGCTCATCGACACCTCGCGCACCGAAGGGCTCTCGTCGCACTTGTTCCCGACCTGAGTGTATGGATGGTACCGCTGAGTCGTTCGACGTTCAAAGGAAGACGCAAAATTTTGCGAGAGGTAAAAAAAAACATCGTTTTTCGTGTAGAAATAAAAGTTCCCTCTCCTCTCGCGCATAAAACGTATTTGAAAGTCAAGCTTATATAATTTCGTAAACGGTACTTAAATTTTGAGATAATTTTTTTCAGTGAAAAAATAAATTCGATAAACGTGCGAAAAATTTTAAGAGATGATTCCTTATTGTCGAAAATTAAGCTGGGTTTCTTATATACTCTTATATCCCTTCCTGAGGAGTTACACTTTTCTAAAGAGGGAGGTACAAATTGAAGTTTTTATTTTTTTTAAATATTAATAAATATCCTTTTTATTAGTGGAAAATATTCATCAAGTTTCTTTTTTAATTTATCTGAAATTTGAGAAAAACTTACCTAGAGAGGGATATAAGAGTATATATGTTTATATAAGAAATCCTCCTTAATTTTCGACAAAGAATCATCTCCTCAAATTGTTCGCACTTATTTAGTAAAAAATAAAAATGTAGACACATCGCAATGATTATAAGTTTTTCGCAAATTTTGCAAGTACTCGTTATCGAATCGACGACGAAGAATAATATCACGTTCGAGAACTATACCATTATTCCCTCGAGTATAAAACAAGTGGAACATATGAAAAAAAAATCAATAGAGGTAGTCGGGAATTAATTTGTATATCTGAAAGTTCATAAAACCGAAAGAAATTAAGGGGGCTGGGTGGCGAGTTCTTACCAACATAATGGGTATCTGCGAGATATCCTGGCCCTTGAGCTCCCTTATCACGGCCCAGATTGGTCGTAACTCCTCGAGGCTTTGCCGTGAGCATACCGAGTACACCAAGATGAAGGCGTGACCCTTGCTTATGGAGAGCCGCTGCATAGCAGGAAACTGATGGGACCCCGTTGTATCCGTAATTTGAAGTGTGCATATGTTTTTGTCACAACTTATCACCTGAAATACCGTACACACGGTCATACCGTTGATCGCGACGGACTCAATCCGAACGACTCGGCTCTATCGATTTTTTCTTCACCGATCTTATTGATCGTGATCGATCGAAGTCGAGTCGAGTCGAGTCCCCCACGATTTTATTTGACACTTCTCGTCGCGAACACAGCGAAAGTCCCACCAGCATCGTTACTGCATTGTTGTTGCACATATGTGTCTTTTTTAAATTTATTTTATGTATACATATATAATATTATAATAGAATATATATTATTTTATACATGGAGAGAATTTTCTCTTAGAATTTACCTTGAAAATCATAGTAAAAATCATAGTATGATATTGGAAGAATTTTATAAAAGATTTTGATTAATATTTACCACAATAAAAAATATTAACATGTACATAATAAAATTAATCGAACATATTTTTTATATCTTATTGTGGCAGATATTAATTGGAGAAACTCTTATAAAATTCTTCCAATATCATATTGTCCCACGGTTATCATAATTTTCAGGGTAAATTCCAAGAGAAAATTCTCTGTGTATTAATATAATATATATATTATTTTATATATTAATATATATAATATATATTATATTATATAATATATATGTAATATATAATATTATATTATGTAATATATATGGAGAGATGATTAATAATCGGGAAGCTATGATCGACTTACTTATGAATAATTAGAACTTGACGTGTATGCAAATTTGCATCTATGAGTAATCAATGAAAATAGCGTTGCACAAAGATTTCAATTTTCTATAAACAGTGTCGGAGTATGCAAAATTTATGCGACAAATCTCCTTATTATTACCTCGTACGATGCATTGCAGTGTTTAATTAATTTACTCTGTATGATTCGATCCCCTCTCTCTCTCTCTCTCTCTCTCTCTCTCTCTATCTATCTCTTTTACGAAACATATAATTATCATAACGTGTGCGATGTGTGCTTTTAACTTATATTTTCCGATTAGCATACGTTATTATAAGCGCTAATTCTACTTTACTACGACTATACATTACTACTACTAGTGCATGCTTTAGATATTCTCGGTGTTGCGATCGCGACTCGTTTGCAAATTTAATGTCTTTGTTCGTGTATATTATTGGCCGGATACGAATGGAAATATTAAATTCGTAAATGACAAAGTTATCGCAATCCCACGGTGTGCGCGTGCGAGACACGAGGACATTCGATTAATCGTTAAATTTTTGTCGCGGAAATTACTACTATCTACGTAGCGTCCGACATCGCGTAAAGCCTGTTTTACACCATCTATAATTTACGGAATAACAACGGAATCCGATCTATAATTTACGATGATATATAGAATGCCGCGTGGCAAAGACATTTGATTAATTTTTCCAGAGATCGCAACTATAATTAAATATTAAAATCAAAATCAGCTATTTTATTTCTGCGAATATTCAAATATCAGCTGTAGAATCAATTATTCACACACGATCTCGTTAATTCTCCACGCGAAAAAAATTAGCCATCAAACTTTAGCTGTCTCTATATAACATGAAATTTAATTATCATGCTTAAATTTTATACAATAGCAAATAATGTTTAGCTATAGAATTATTCGGTCAACTATAGCTAAAAGTATTAGTCATCATAGCTATGACTAAATTTCCGGTTGTAATATCGAACCGCTAAAATTTAGCTACGATGACTAATTTTTTTCCCGCGTGAATCTATATTTCTCATCTCTATATCTATAAGAATAAAAGGAAAAGAGACAGAGAAGTAGAAGAGAGAATAAAATCGTTTGTTCATTTATCCCTCGCATTTAACGCACGCGATCTCTAATCAAGTCGAATGAATTTTCAGAGAAAGGATCGTCTCGACGACTGTGAAAAAAAAACACATGTAAATTTGGTGGCTCGCCGGAGATTCGCGCTTACCTGTCTGTAAGTATCCTCGATGGTCGGTATGTAGGACTCGCGGAAGGACCCTTTCACAAAACGCAGCACGAGGGAACTCTTGCCGACGCCGCCCGCCCCGAACACGACCACGCGATAGTCGTTGCTCTGCTCCGGCATCCTGACATCTGCCGTCCCGGCAACGTAAACCCCCGACGCTCGGGGTCCCTTGCGCACGGAGAGAGCGAGAGAGAGAGACGACGGGGGGTTGGATGGGGGTGAGTGGGTGGGCGCGGGAGGGGAAGGGAGGGGGAGTGTGTGTACGGGACGACCACTCTTCGCGAACCTCTTCTCCTCGCAACCCCCGATCACCGACTCGACCTGTCGCACACGACACGCAAAAACTGTACTAGGTATATCCCAAGGAAACCACCCTCTCGCGATGTTTCTTCCTTAATAGCACACTATATCCGAAAGACATTCAGAGGGTATCCAGAGGACGTTTGAACATCAGGATGTTCTCTGAACGTCTTCGGGATATGCGTGCTGTTTAATCGGTTACTTTCAAGACGATCCTTCCTCCACGATGATATCCTCGTCGTTTCTTCGGCTTTACACATCTGGAAATTAAATCCTCTGCAATCTTGAAAAAAGACTTGTCAGCTGGATATCTCCTCGTCGAGGAAGAATCGTCTTCAGCAACTCTGGTCGAAGGAACATCTGGTGGTTCCGGAACATCCCGCATTAATGAGGCGCATGCCATGAATCTCCGTTTCCGCGCTTCGCCCACGCGGTTAATAATCTGAACCCGCGAAAGGTTACATCCGTCCGTCCTTCCGCGCGTATCCCGTGACGTATAACTCTCCGATGACGACACCCACGAAGCCGCATTCTACCGCATGTGGTCCCTCCCTCCTACACAGCCTCATGCTTAGAGGTTCTGCTCTTCCGCTTCTATTTTGCGCGCTTTCGTCTCGATGTCTCTATCTTCTCGCGATATTTTTAAATTTATATTTATTTTTATTTCGGAAATTTATAAAAATATTTATTTTATTTTATCTGTAAATGTATTAAAAAAATACGTGATACGTAATGCAATTTTAAGAGGGACAAATTCGTTCTCTTCCTTTCGCAAGCGACGCGACCATGTGCACCGTCCGCGTAAACTCTGTTTGTTTCACTTGCGTCTTCTATACCGTACTGTTTTCTCCTTCATTTCTCTACTTTATATACACATATATATATATATTTTTTTTTTAATTTAATCAAGAATTTAATTAAGAATATATATTTTTACGAATATGTAATATTGTATATTTATAATATATTGAGAATATATAATATATAAAAGAACATTAGAATTTTTAAGAAAATATATATTATATATATTTTTTTTAAGTAAATGTGTAATACTTTTTTTAGAGGACAGTTAAGAAGCTAAAGTAGAGAGAAATCGAATTAATTTATCATAATTGTGTGTTCTCTCTTGCAAATAAAAATTAAATAAATATTTAAAATAAGGTAGTAGTCAATAAGTTGTAGAGTGAGAAAGAGAAAATATATTAAGTACAGAAAATGCAATTAACATGGAAAATGAATAAATTTGACAAGTCTTATTCAAAGTTAATATTCGAAAAATAATTAGTTTCTTTGTGATTTAAATAAAAAATATTACGAAAATGTTGAAAAAATAGCAATATATGTAGAGCAATTAAGAATTTCGATTAATACATGAGATATTTAAGATTACAAAATATAAGAGTTAATTAATAAAGAAACGTGAATTTTGTCAGCTTGAATGAAAGATGCAAAAAACGATTTATGAATTAAATAAAAGTGAAATTTTCCGAGCAAACACCGGCGAGCAATTTCGGTAAATTTCATTTTCGATGTATACAGATGCTAAGTACACCTTGCCTATCATCTGTGTTTGCATTAACAGAAATAAGGACGGTTTTCTGATCACACACGGTGTGTGACATCGAAACGTAAATTCACCAAAATTACAGGAGCAATCAGGGTAATTGCGCGACGAAGCCTTGAAATATTCTCCAATAGTAAAACTAACGATCCTTATAGATACTACTATTATGTGTGCGTGTGTGTTCGATATAAATAGCATTCAGAAATATTTATAACATATAGTAGAAGATTATCGTAGGTGTGTATGTATGTATATACATATATATGTGTGTGTGTGCCATATTTACCCCCCTGGTTTTGTAACGATTACCCCAATCGATCTCGTCGAATTCCATTCCCTATAATTTTCGTTATCATTGAAATCGCGCGAGTTTGCAACATCGTACAATATCACGGATTACACGACGATTATGTATTTCATTTCCGAGCAATTGATTCGTTCCGATTACATCACATTTATATTCCAGACAATTCGCGTTGCCAAGTGATGTTTCAATGACAGAGAATTTTCACATAGATATTGCAAAGATTCGAGAAAAAGTTCTTTATAAAAATTGAAAATCGTGTTGACAATTCTCAATCTTGACAGTCAATTATTCATCCCTTTTCAAGATGACGATTCCAATTAAGATTGAAACTTGAGGACAGATAATTGGAAGATTCGCGCGTATTCGTACATATTTCATAAAAATGACATACTCACGACACAATGTCATTTTCGTATTCAATTTTTCTCTACAGTTTGCACTGTCACAAATCGGAGTAGATAAGTACTTGACGGTAAAATAAAGCTGCAAAAGAACGCGAGAAGAACAGACCCAGGCGGACCGACAACACTATAACCCTGATCATTATCATCGTATCGACATAACGCGACGTCCGTTACAATTCGATGATCGCGGCATTCGTCACGAACTGCATCGCCCTGGATACGGGAAACGATAAGGGCGAAGGGCGGATGAGAGAAATATAGACGTGTATATGTATAGATATATATATATATATATGTATATATATATATATATATATATATATATATATCTATATATATATATATGTAATCCCCGAACCGAAACCTGCTGACGGCCGAAGACCCTGGAAGCTTCCCTCCTCGGTTCCGGGAATCCCGTTCGATCTCGCGACGTCGGCCGCGAACTCACACAGACGACGACGACGGAGAAGCCTCGACGATCGTTTCCTCGCGGCTGTCACTCGCGCGTTCCGTATAGATATGCGTGCATGCGTCCGCCACTTTCGATGGAGAGAAGACGACGCTTGATACTTTCTCGCGTGTGCCTCTCTCTTTCTCTTTTTCTCTCTTTCTCCCTCGTCGAGAGATCAACACGCCTGTCACGAATCGCGACGAACCGACCGACGCGGCAAACTAGCGCGCCTCGCGCCTCCCGAACGTCAACCCCCTGTGACCCGCTCGTTGCGGCGCGACTGTCAAATTCACCGACGACGACCCGCTCGGACTTGGGGGTGTCACTTTTTATATTTTTTTTCAGGAAGAATTGACGAGATCGCACCCCGCGACGATCCTGCAGCGATTTGACAAGAACGTATTTTTTCCTCCGCTCCTTCTCTCCCGCTTTCTCCGTGTCTTTCTTTCAGATCGATGCGAATTTCGGATTTCTTGTTTTAGGAAACGAAAACGAAGCGCGCGCTCTCCGCGCGCGAAAGTGTGTGCGTGTGCGCGCAAAACGTGCGCACCGACGCCGAAAGCGTCGCCGCGGAAAATCAATAGCGCTTCCGTGTATACGTGTGAGCACACATATACGCGGCAGTGACGTATCGCGCGTGTCGAAAAATGGATAACGTCATAAATTTCGATAAAATCGATCTCCCGATATGCAGAAATAAATCCTTCGCGTCAATTCTATATAGAGTTGGAACTGTCATTTGTACGCGCGTAGCTTTAGTCGTCGAAATGAATGCATTGATATTACATATTATTACAATAAATTCGATACCGCCGTCCTTACACAGGACAGTTTCATGACGTTGTCACTCAAATTAAATATAAATATAAAATTAATTATATATTAAAATAAAATATATATTATACATATAATTATATTATTATATTATATAATTATATTATTTATATATTATATAAATATATAATATACATATACAATATATATTATATATACATATATGAATATATTTATAATATATATAAAATATAAAATAATTCATGATGCGCTAATTTAAAAAATATTTGACCACACTATTAAAGGATCATCAGCTCTATTTTTGTGGCACATAGTATATTTCCAACTTATGATAAATTCACTTTTATTTATCATATAATTACACCTTAGAGATAATTAGAGTTCAGCCTTTGTCGAAGAGATATTTCATTGCAGACATTTATAAATTGCAACTCTTAGAGATCGATTATTATATACATCATTCTTTCATTTTGCCGCAGACTCTTTTAATAATGAATTCTTTATCACAATCTCAGTTCCTTCACACTGAATAGTGTCGTAGGCCCATTTGCGATTATTCCTGACGATCAACTCGGAAATAAATTACATGACAAAAGGCCAAGGTCTTTTATTCGATATGGAAACTCTTTATGAAAATACCTGCATTCATGACCGCACTTTGGCGAAGAGCACTTGGAACACGGAAAGTGACATCCTGGACACTCTGATTTCAAGCAATCACAAACATCGTCCGATGTTCGTACGAAGACACCCTTCTCGTCGTAGAGTTGCTTCCTGTGACTGTGATACAATCGACGATGCAACTTACGTTTCTCTCGTTCGCTGTGTTCTGGATCGAAGTTTCGCAGAAACTTTTTGCTTAAATTATCCACAGCCTTTTGCCTCGAGCCTCGAGTTCTCTGCAAACATAGAAACGATTAATTTTTTTTATTAAAATTGATTCACTTCAATCAAAACAACTCTCCCCCGATTTCTTACTCTCTCACCACGAGGAGCCGAATTAGAATTGCTCGATGCATTTTCGCTCGTTGAGTCCTCCATTTATCGTTCGCAAGACTTGTAAACTCGAAATCGCAAATACTTATGTTATATTTTTAAATACTTGCTTAGTAAATAAAAGGCATAATCACGTTCGCCATCCAGAGCTGATTCGCCGCTTCCATCTGAAGTTTGCCACTCTTGCAGAACGCAAGAGCATAGATAAAATAAGTGATGTAGATGGGCAACTCTTTTGCCACTATGTGTTTCAGATCCTTCGCTCTGATTGGTTCGTCGATTTCGAAGTGAAATTAGCGCCGAGAGAAGGGTGTCAACTTTTGGCTCAGAGGTGTCGCATCTAGATATTCGTGCATTATGACTAATGTGACTCGAACTTCATTCAGCAGTGTTTGACAGTTTGACGAGCATGTGAAAGGTGAAAGTTTTGAAGTTAGAAAAAAATACATATTGGGTTGTACGATCTTATAAACTGGTCGAGGAAAAGGATTCTTTTGAATTTTTCAATCGACAATCGCGCAACACAAATATTTAAGTACGATCCAAAAGTCAGATTGGTGTATAAAGTAGACAAACAATGTCTTACGTTCTTCTAGACTGATTACTGAGAAACAATAATTATCGGATTATTGAGAAACAATAATTATCGGACATAATTCGTTCGATTAACTTGCTGAAATGGCTAAGCAGTCGTACAGTATTGTCGAATATTTTGCGGAACACGAGGGCTACAAATGCGGCTATTGTAAAAGCCCCGACACAAACTTCAGTCACGGTGAGCGCGAAGACATTCAAATGTGGAGCACACTTTGCTTTGTTTCATGTCAGATATCTTCATGCCATTCTAAAATACTTTCAAATATACATGTATTTTTTATTGCAAATTTTATACTTTAAAATAGATGTTTCTTTTATTTCAAATTGTACAAAAAAGTTTATCATACACATTGTATTTTATTGTTTGTTACCAGGCATGTGGGCGCATTCATTGACGGTGCAAGATTATCAAAGTTTGATAGAGCGAGGATGGAGACGGAGCGGCTGTTATTGTTACAAACCTACTATGACTCAAACCTGCTGTCCGCAATATACCATAAAGTGAGTGATAATCTTTTCAATTTGAGATTTTTTCATATTATTTAATTTATTGCAGCTCTGAGATTAAGATCTAACTTAGAGCAATACGTATAAATAATTATTACTTTTAGATGTGAAGCATTAGACTTTAGAATATCAAAGTCTCAAAAGAAAATCTTAAAGCGTATGACAAAATTTTTGAGAAATGAACTAATAAATGATAATGTTGGAGCAAGTGGAGATCAACAAGATAATATAGGTAAAGTCTTTAGAATTTTAAGAAGAATTTAATAATAATACTTGTAAGATTTGTGTAACATTTTTATAATATTCATTGTTAGATATAAATAATAAGGAAGTGTCCAATTATGAAAAGTATTTAGAGAAAGCAGAAAAAAATGCATCTGATATAAATGTTACATCTATTGATGATGAAGTTAGTGGAAGACTGTCTGTCGATTTAGTAAATTCGAAATCTCAAACAAATTCTACTTCTGTATCGAGGAGCAATCAAGAACAAATAAATTCTGACAAAAAAAGCAATATGCATGTTAGAAACGAAATTACTAATGTAGTGCCTTGCAAGAAAGCAAAGATCTTGCGTTTGGAACGTAAGCAAAATAAGTTGTTGGCACAAGGTAAATCGCAAAGCGAAATTGAAAGCATCATGAAAGAAAAGAAACAACAGAATTATACTAAGACTTTGGAGGAATTATTTGAGGAGGTGTACACTGGTTTGAAAAAGTTGGAGGTAATACAATATCAAAAAATAAACTTTGAAATCATTATTTATTTTACCAATGTTTCCTGATTTATAAAATAATATTTTCATTTCTATATATCATTTTTAATATGGTCCTCTTTTCTCCAATATTTTTTTCACATTAAAAGTACATAATAAGTACAAACAATTTTATAATAACAATAAATATTTGCTGAATATGCTGGCTTTATGTTAGAAGCTCAATGCATTGATAGTATATATATTTATATATGACTATAAAATTATAAAATTTATATTATTTTTAACCACTTTAATCTTTATGATCTTTAATTCGATTATAAACTGCATCGCGAGAGAGAAAAAAAGTTATATATTTTTTATTATAACAATATTGACTTTTGTAACAATTGTCTTGTTAGATGGATTTGTGTTAAGTTAATAATTTTTGTAAGCTGAGATTAGTTCGAACTGCGCCAATGAGTCCTGAATACCTAAAGACTTCAAAAAAGTCGTACGATGTTTATAAAAAATATCAAACCACTATACATGGAGATCAGGCTGAAAAGGTCACAGAACAACAATACACAAGATTTCTCGTAAAATCACCTTTACAGGTAATCTTATACGGTTGCGTATAAGGTATTTCAATCTTTTAGACAGAAACTGCTTTAAGACGAGATTTTAATTCAGACTAATTTCAGAGATATAAGATGCAGCAGGTCGTTTCAGATGTCTTAATGCAGAACTGTCTAAGACGTACACATATAAAATAGAAATTATAGATTTAACGCGAAATTAATTACATAATCTGTAGATGAGTAATATTGGAAATCATAATGGCTATGCGTTTTAAAATTAAAAAAAATTTTTTACTATGTTATGATTGGAGCAAAGTGGACCTTCCTTTTTAATCAATCAGGAAACTTTTGATTACATCATAGTTCACTTCACGAGTAATAATAATAATTTCCGTATCAGACGTAACTTTATTTATTAGCTAAATGTTACACAAATTTTACATCTATAAATGTCTTTATCAGATGAAATTGGTGAGAGTGATGTCAGACGAATTCCTTAGTACCTTTGATGAGAGCGCAAATCTTTATAAAAAGTATCAAATGATGATTCACAATGATCCACCAACGGAATGCGATAAAAACTCATTCTTTAACTTTCTTGTAAAAAGTCCCTTGCAGGTACACTTTGTCTCTAATCTCCTTGTGTTTAATCTTAAATAATATTAGAAACATTGTCTTGAGAATTTTTTATACAGTAGAATATTAGCTTATTTATATTACTTACTCTCAATACATTCATATGTATTGTTTTCTATTTTACGAAAGCGCAGAGTCTATTATTTCTTTAAATAGATCATTTAACACTCTTAATTTTAGTCGACATAAAAATGAAATAGCATTTAAAATAATAAAATAATGTTTTAAAGCAATGGACACCCAATAATGGCCCACCTCAAGGATACGGCTCTTTTCACGAGCAATATTGGTTGGATAATGAATTAATAGCTGTCGCAGTAATAGACATTTTACCATCATGCATATCAAGTGTATACTTTTTCTATGATCCTGCATATAGTCAACTCTCTTTAGGAACTTTTAGGTTTGTATTTAGATTCTAAAAATTAAAATTTATTTTTTTTAACGAATATTTCAAATTTTTACAGTACATTTGAGCTTGCGAATATAATTCTGAACAAATATATTTATTATTTCCAGTTCTCTGCAAGAAGTTTATTTAACAAGACAGCTTAATAAAGTCACGAGCGATCTGAAATATTATTACATGGGCTTTTATATTCACACATGTCCGAAAATGCGATATAAAGCCAAAATGCGACCATCGAAACTTCTATGCCCGGAAACATATGTGTGGTGCGACATAGAGCTCTGTTTAACTAAATTGGACAACGCGAAATATAATCGTTTGAATGACGATTTGGATGCAATTGATGAGGACGGTGTAATCGACATTCAAGAGGTATATTTTTCTGAGAAATAATATAATAAAGAACTGTTGTTTTTTTCACAAATGCAATGTAGTTTTTGTGATGCATTTGGCATATTAAAATTAAAGTAAAATTGTAAAATTTTAAAAAATTTAGTATTACGTCAAGATTGTTATTATTTCACCATATTGAACATCTTTTTAGGTTTTGATTTTACATGAGCGTAGTGTGATGCCATATAAGAAATACAAGGGGCAAGAAAAAATAACACGGGAAGAAAAAACAAGATAGAGGAATATGCCAGCTTTGTCGGGATGCCATGTGCGCGTAGGATGCTGCTCTATCGCTAGCTCAATTAAAACAGCAATAAAATTTGCTTAGAACAATTAAAAATTCGGGTAACAATAATTACATAATACTTACATAAAAATTAAATAATTGAATATTATATTATTTTTTGCGTTCTTTTTATTTTGATATCACAATTCGATTCTTACATATATGAAGTGGAGCACTCGATATGTGTGTCGGTTGACTGCAAGAATAATGAAGTTAAAAATAAATAATAATATTTCTTTAATGAACATTATATCGAGATATGAAGACATGAAAGAAGTTCAATAAAATGATATTTTATTGAGCATGAAATTCGATAAATAACGCAACAAAGCTATGCAATTTTAAGAAATAATATAATGTTTTAAACAGTCTAATTTTTAAATGCTTCTTCAATTTCACATTTTAATTTTCCTAATATCATTCAGTTATTTTTCTAAAACCTCTTTTTATAAAATATTCTAATTTTGCAGTCTTTTTCTTGGATAGTTTTCAGACTTTATCCTGTTTAAGATATTATTAAACTAATAACTAAAATATTTGTTGTGTGTCATGTTCACGATGTATCCATTATTAAAATAAGAATTTTGAATTTATTAAAATTAAGTTTGCGCTATAGTTTCAGTAGGCTCTGAATTAGTTTGCCTTGCTTCTACATCATCCTTTGGTCTGTTGATCGATCGAAGTTCATTCCAGCTTTGTATATTACCACTACCTCCAAACAGGAACACAAACATACTCCCGATGCATACCGCAGCACCGATCCAGAAGAGTATTTGCCATCTGTCAATGGGATTCTAGTGGAAAAGGGGAAAATAAATTCACATTAAAATTGATATTATCCGATATATAAAAGACAAAAGCAATATAAAAGCAGCTATTTTTTTAATGTAACTCGTAACTTTTAATTTGATATACAATCTGAATCGATATCTAGCACAATAATAGATTGGTTGTAATCCAAAATATAACTATATAAACTAATACATTAATTCAATATAATCTAATACAATAATTGATTCATTAAATGATGCTTGAATCGATAACTGAATAAATACGTATATAACAGATGCGATGTAGTGTAATTATATTAAAATAAAACATTATATTTTTATCTAAAAGAATTGCAATTAGTCATATATTTTTGTATAGCAATATATAATTATTTAATTTTTAAAACGACAAGACATTCCATTTTACTGCTTACATTAATTGTATTTTTGTTCTCAGTTTTTTTTCAATCAAATAATTCAATCTTAGTCATATGCATGTACGTAATTAGCAATGTAAGCGAGATTGAAGACTCGAGAATGTTGATAAATAATATAATGTGATGAAATATGTGATCGCAGGATAAAGGAAGAAACGTGTGTAATTTCCGAATGAAAAATCAAAGAGGAAAGAAATCGCGTTGCGGCAAAATGAATTTACTATTCATCGCATGAGGCTTCTTGCGTAATATCACGTGCATATGACTATTTTTCTTCGTCTTTTGGCGACGCCAAAAGTCTCCAGGAAGACTCGTGTAATTTGCGTTAAAATGGCATTGCGACATAAAGATTTCCGTTGTAAAAGAAAAAAGATATTACACGATTATTTTGCAGATACAGCAAACGCAAAAGTCGCTCGTCCAGTAATCATATAGATATATATTATATATTATTATGCAATACTGCACAAGAGCGATAACACAGGAAAAATTGAACACAACTGATTATTAAGCAGATCACATAGATATATAATGAGCTACATGCAGTTAGACAATGAATGATTATAAAACGAGCGGATTACATATATACATATAAAATTGCAGTTATATAATGGATGATTGTAAAGAATATATCGGATATAAAGATGAAATAATAATATGATTTCCTTGCGAGAGTTTATAAGTTTATATAATTAATAAAAAGAATTAATAAATTAGCTTTATATATATATATAATATATTGTGATATATATTATATATAGTTATATTATATAATCATATATCAATTGTATAATAGTGTGTAACATTATCATCAAATTTTACTTACGATAATATTTTACATTTTACATAATTTTGATAATTTATTTTTTATTTCAGAAGAGTCAACGAGAAAATTTCTTCAATTTATTTTTGATTCTGATATTTTTAGATTTAAATTATAATTCAAATAATAATAACACCTTTAGAGAATTTTTACAAGTTCATTTTTAAAATTAAAATAATCAATTTAAAATAAAAACACTTACTCCGTATTTGCCGGCTATTTCTTCGACTGTCGGCGGGATAATCATGCCGGAAGTAGTGCCGACTGCATTCATGATACCGTAAAGGAAACCGGCAAAATTTGGTGCAAGATCCTGGTTGTTGGATAGATTCGAGATAAGAGCAGCGCCGTTGAAACCCAACGCAAAGAACAGAAAGACATTTGCAAGCACGAAATCACAGCCAACGTAGCCAACCAGTACCAGGAAGATACCAGGAATAAAATGCGCTGGAAATTATACGTACGTCACATTTCCGATAATAATAAATTTGAGTTCTTGAAGACACACTCCACGCATGTGTTCGGAATTGATTTCAACATATATAAATCATTTTTATAATGCGAATATTCGTAATTTCTGTAATTTGAATAATTTAAAACAAGATCCATGTTTATATAAGATGCACTTTGACATTTATAAAAATTTTCGAGTCATACTTTTTTTTAATACATTTACATAAAAGCCATAAATTTTTTAAATATATATGATATATATAAGACTACTAGTAATTTTGGATTATTAATAGAATAAAAATTAATATTTATATGAAAAAATGGCACATAATATTGTTGGTACGAATATTTCTTCTCGAATATCTCTTCAGCATTGAATAAGCATATCTAACTTTTAATCCATTTGAGTTGTGTTTTTAAAGAATATTTACAGAACAGGATTTTGTGATATACTTACAGAATATAGTCGCAAGCTTTCGTAAGAGAGTGATGCTGATGATCTGCTTTCTTTTGATAGTGTCACCCGCCCAGCTGAAGAAGAATCCAAAAAGCATCCTAGCACCCCATGGAGCACCAGCCACGGCACCGCCCTTCGTTAATTTGAAACCCAAGGCTTTCGTCAAGTACAACATTAGCGAGTTTTGGTAGAAGAATAACAAGAAGAGATTCCCAAAGTGACATATGACCAGACTGATAAACGGCACCGATGTTAATATCTGCCGCAGCGGTGTTTGCTTCCACGTGGGTTTTTCTGCGCGCACTATTCCCGCTTGCGCTCTACAAAAACGTATGACACGAGTTATATATAATCAAAAAAAGATTTTTCTGCAAAATTGTTTTAATTAAGTATTTTTCTATGAATATGTTAATCTATTATTATTTAAATCTTACAACTCGCGCTATATCGAATGCATTTTTTAACAGTACACATGTCTGAAAGACATTCAGAGGATATTCAGAGGATGTAAAATATCCTTTAGATATTTTCTGAATGTTTTTTTTGGATATGCTGTTCTGTTAGGATTACTAACACGAGATTTTTTGCATAGACTGTAGAATGTAAAAAAAAACTGGAGTAAACAGTAAAATTGATTTCACGACTTACGTTAAAATATAGTTCTTCTCCTCGGCAGTAATACCCGGATGCTCGGCGGGTGAATCGTAGGCGAACATTGCCCACACGCAAACCCACACCAACATCAGTAGGGACGGTATGTACCAGCCACACTCCCAGTTTATGTTCTCCGCGATGCCGGCTATCATGGGATATGTGAGGATAGTGCCGAAAGTGCCACCGAGGAGGGACCAAATGAAGCGTGCCCGCTCGTGCGGCGGTGCCCATTTAGCTACCATGGTGTGGCACGCGGGGAAAATGACACCACCAGTGATCCCGATGATGATCCGCGAGATCATTAATAATCCCCAATGCCACTGTGCAATGAGCGGGCTCACCAGCGATATCAGCGCGGCCAGAAGCGACGTCCAAAGGACCGCGTGTCGCGGTCCATATCTCAAGGCTAACCAGCCGCCGATGAAGTTGCCAGGTACGTTGCCGTAAGCATAACTAGCTAATAGTTGACCCCGTACTGTCGGGGACCAGTCGAACGGTAGACCGCTGAATAACTCAAGCCGAGCGTCCGGCGACCGTGACTCGCTCGTTGCCTCACGACGTTGCAATCTGTGATCTCGCTCCTCTTGGACGCGATCCAAGATGTATTCCTCCACATAGCTGCCTGGGTCAAGGAAGCTGACGATGTCGCGCCGTCGTCGCGAGGACTCATCGAACATGCACACGCCGCCGATCGTATGGTTGACCGGTGGTTCCACGATCATTGGCACCACCAGGATTGGCATTTGCAGGCGGCATGAGTAACTGGTCCAGCAAGCGGTGAACATCATCACGCAGATCCATATACGTATAGGAATCCATCCTATCGATAAAAAAATTCATTTTTTGTGAAAGCTCTTGGAGAAATAATTGAAATCTATGTATATATATAAATTCTCCCATGTATACATTTTTTAGATTTGAGATCATTGAGATTTTTTAATTTGAAACGAAATATCTGCAAAAAAAGCTATAATTAAAATATTGTTAATTGTAATTATATCTGACATTCGAATAATTTGAACAATTCCAAGAATTTTTAATCACTAACAAATTCGAAATTAATGTTTAATTTTGATAACATCAATTTTGACATTTAATTAATTAGAATATTTGTGTGATACGGGTCAGATATTAATTTCGAATTTGAATTAAAAACTTGGAATTTTTTACGAAACAATGCAGAATAAAATTTTTATATATGAAATTAAATATAAAATCTCGTTTAAATAGTCGAAATAGATATTTTTTAAAATGAAATTACTAACATTTCAACTTCAAATATAAAAGCTTAATATGTAACTTATCGCAAAAGAATGACTTATGATTATCTCAATGGAAACATCGGAAAATTATTTATAGATTATATTATATATTTACACAAAACTGTATTATATAATATATTAATAATATTATCGAACCCAGAATATAATATCGCGTGCAGAGTTTCGGTTTGCTAATACGTTTTACGTTCTCATAGAAATGTTATCTTGGAAAAATTACTCTATTTGAAGCAAAAGATATAGAGGGAATAACCTGCCTCAGTCTAATATATAACGTTCGTTATGTATCCTTTAATGAGATTTTAACGTGATCGCTTTCTGCGCACTTACGTAAAAATTTCCAGAAAAACGGCCGAGCACGAGCCGAGAGCACGTTTTCGTGCAAGACCTGCATTTAGAAATGTTTTGAGGAAAAAATTTACAGCCAATTGTGCAATACATTACCGTATCAACTAGATTCAATTTTTGCAGTCGATTAGTTTTTCTCAGGTGTCTCAGCAAGCCTTGAATCATTTGTGTTTTCGATTCTGCCGATATATTCGGTTTACTAAAATTATTATCATTCATACGCAGAAAAAAGACTAACTGATAGAGCATGTTAGAAGATATGATTATGTCACCGACATATCTTTCTACCTTGTCCAAATAAAATAGTTGATTTTATTTTTCATGAATAACTTAAATTAGCGTTAGGCACATGAATAAAATTCTAAAGGACAATAATAATATTAACATTTTTTTATTTTATAAAATAAAAAACAATTGATATTTTCTTATAATCTTGGTTAATAATTGATTTAAATTTTATAATTTCCTTTATAATTTTTTTGTGCTGAGCATGAAAAACCAATTACCGATTCGCAACGCGAATGTCATTATATATATATATATATATATATATATATATATATATATATATATATAATTCTCATGATAGATATACCGGACCAACGATCACAAATGGATTCTTTGGGAACGATTTTTCCTCAGCGAAAATGTCGAAAAAGGTCATCATTTTTTACAACTTTCCAATATTTGTCATTATGTATCTTTATAACTAAGCCTCAAATTCAAATTTTATTATAGTAAACTCTACCTGAAATTAACCGAAGAATGTAATTATGTTAGACTTTTAACTTCAAAACGTTTAGTTTTCAAAAAACCCATTTGTTTCAATCGCTTATAACTCGAAAATTATTGACTTCTCAACATTTTTGCTAAGGAAATATCGTCTCCAAATTGGCCAGAGAATCCGCCCTTAATCATTGGTCCGTTAGTTACCGGACACCCTGTATATCTGATGGAAATACGATTTATCAACACGTTCGAAGATATAAGACCTTGTTTGGATAACGATGTATATATTAAATATTTATTTAATAGAAATAAGATATATATTCCTGATAAAATTTAAAGTCATCGCGCGATCGCAAGAAAACTATAAATTTCTTGTTAATTCCACGAGTTTTTATATATGAATATTTCAATTAGTTAATGGTCTTCAGATTTTATTAATGAGAAAATGAAGATGTTTGAGGTCTAAACAATTTAACTTTCAAAACTCCCGAGTTTCAACTTTTAGTTGACAACGGAAATTAGCACTATGTTCATAAAATTTTTCGAAAGAAGCCTATCATGCAAATCTATTGATCACCTTTATGCACAATATTGAGTAACGGGGGCACCATTTCGAAACTATGTAAAAAATGTCGAAAGTAAAAGCAAACATGCATATAAAAGACGTTGAACTTCTTCCATTCACTTAGAATCATAGAAATAATGGAAGGAAATGTATATCATTAAGTTGTAAAATTAATCTTAATTTTCTCTTATTTTATTTTTTTTTTATAACAGATAATATATTAAATTCTCTTCGATTTTGATTAGAATTGAATAAGTCTTGCGACGTTTCATCATGTTGCATTATCATCTTTTATATTAATCTAATATATATTATATTATGTTGAGTATTAAAACGTAAAGGAACAAAAATGTTTTATTCTCGAGATAATAATTATTGAGAGAATTAAACATATATATTTTGCATTTTCAAATTTCACGAACCAGAAAAAATTTTACGACACAAATGTTGCTAAAAATAATATTAAGAAGACGAAATGTCTTCCATTTATGCAATAATAATTTCGATAGAAAATTTAATATATTTTGCACTCGAGTTTGCGATATAGGACAAATTTTGCAAAAATTTGAAGAGAAAAATTTGACTTACGTGATAAAAATTGATATAATCGTTGATGACAATTTTGAAACTTAAACATATTGTAACATTAATTCGAAAACCAATGAAACTCAAAAGAACATATTCTCACAAACTCGCGACATGTGATGATTTTTGAAATTCTCGCACGTGGGCCATGACCATTTGACTGTTGTTCGTCGTCTCTAGCTTTGTAAGAGTGATTTTCCGTTGAAGCACACTATTTATACCCCCACACTGTCCGTTGTTGCTTCAGGTATAGGAAAGTCAGAACAGAAGTGGGGAAATTCTCAAAAGAATAGAGAAAATCAAAGGGTTCTTCTTTTCTAAATACCTTTTCAACAAAGGTATTTCCAGATTAACAATTTCATCATAAAGTTTTTTTACTCTTTTTTTAAATAAAAAAAAATGTTGCTCAAATTATGGAGTATATAACGATTTCAAAATTGACGTAACATGTATTATGAAGAAAAAAAAATATATATATGTTATAATAATTTATAATTATTTTTAGCACCAAATCTATATCTTTAACGTCTACTTAAAGTTTATTTAAATTATTGTGGGAACTATATTTGAACAAAATTGATTCCAAAATTCCGAAACAAGAAAAAGAAACAAGAAAAATATATATTATAAATTAATAAAAAATAGAAATTGTCTCGTTTCACACATGCAGGACACAAAATTAAATATGAAAATAAATCTATAGTACATATATAAAATTTATTATCATAGATTTTATATCATATATATATATATATATATATATATATATATATATGTCAACTTTATGAAATTGTTTATTGTTCTAAAATATTATAACTAGGAAAAAATAATTTAAATACAAAGAATGCTCTATACATCGACATATAGCGCATGTTTAGTGTTGTCGACCTATTATGCAAACGTAAATCGTGCGTGCAAACATTAAGCTTTTATCTATTAGAGAATTGTATGTTTTATGAACGTTTCTATTATACGACACATACAGTGATGTATTTAAATTTAGGACAAGCTGACCTTAAACTAAAGTGATAAATTTTTCTTATTCCAGTAAAAATAACATGCCAATAATTTATTTTGTGTACTTAGTTCAAATATTTTATTTATTTATTTACAAGAAATATCTTATAAAATATTTTTTATAAAATAATTTATCTTTTAATTAAAATGCTAATTAAAATATTACATACTTTTATGCTATATAATATAACACACTATATTAAATTTATGCAATATATATACATATAAAATTAACATTATTAAATAACGTATTAAATATATGTAGTTGATATTTGAATAGCCGTTTTTTGCAAACTTTATATAATTCTTATGACTAAAATTTAAATAATTACTAGAAACCGATAAATATAAAATTGGTTTTGATTGTTTTCAGAGTGATACAAATTCTCATATCAATTATGGTAATTAAGTTTAGATATTGCGTGCATATATGTATAAATGTATATAAATACATTCAGTAATAGACATGTAATATTTAAACTTAATTACAATAATTAATATGACATTTTTCCTCCAAAAACAATCAAATAAATTTAATATTTATTAGTTCCCAGCAGCTATTTAACAATAAGTTTGAAAATTATATATAAAACTTGCAAAAAGCGGTTAAAGATTAAAAGTCATAACTATATATATTTAATGCATCATAATACTTATTTTTTATATGTATGCATATATATATTGCATGAACATAAAATAATGTATTATATTTTATATATGACATATAAAAGTATATAATATATTTTAATTAGCATTTTAATTAAAATGTGAATTACTTTATAAAATAAATACTTTATAAAGTTTGCAAGCTATGGTTTGCAAGGATATATAATTTTTTATTCTAAAATATAACATAAAAGTAGAATATTTTTTTCATAATTGTATATTTCGTTTCTATTCATAATTCTTATTATTTTTCCTTTTTGTGATTTAATAAGTATTATGAACAATAAGATTATTTGATCCAAAATATGCTTTTCGTATATTTGGATGTAATTTATATATCTGATCTCTCTATATATTCCGCACTATTTCCCACTGCTTTTACACGATAAGAGCATTTTAAGCGTGAAATTCCCAGAGCAACATAAGTTTTAACAATCTCATTACAACCTATTATCGTTTCGCCATTTCACTATTCTCATGATAATGACATTCGCGTTGCGAATCATTTCGTATTTCACTTTCTACAGGCTTTCTACTCGTTCATTATATGTTGATCGACGAGCATAACTTCGTTGATTTACGATTTATTACCGCATTATCCTAGTTGCCGAATAATTTCATTTAATTATACATAAGCATATAATTAATATTAAATACTTATACACATAAATGTCTATTTATTGTTAGTTGTAAAGCTGTGAATAAATAATGTTATATATAACATTATTTATTCACAGCTTTATACAATATATTGTATATGTTCACTTTAAATAAAAGAAGATAAATTAAAAAATATAATATATACAATAATAAGTACAAAACTTTATACTGTGTTTATATAATAAAATTTGAAAGTTTATTATAATTTTAAATTACAATATAATAATATAATCTTTTATATATTTTTTACATTTATTTAATATATTTTAAATTAATTTAAAAAATTCGACTCAGAAGAGTTCCGCATAAATATATATAAATTGATAATTTAAATAACACATTTCGTATTTTGGCGCGACAAAATTGATAAGTCGATAATTACGTAACGTTTCTTATTTATCAGCTGATGAATTGACAGTCATGGAGAACACGAGTACAACGGTCACGATCAGTCGTGATTTGTAAGCGGCGACGATTGAGTTGATATATATTTGACGTTCTTGATACACAAAATATTCGCGTTAAATATCCAGCGTTATATCCTCAAAAAATTTAAACAAACGTCAAAATGAAAACCGGAAATCAAATTATGGCGGAAGCCCTAAAGGAGCAGGTATTATCGATTGTTTTAATTTTTCATGTCATAAGAATTATTTTATTAGTATGTTAAAGTTATAATTGATATAAATTTGCTTCTCTAGATTGCAAACTTCCGGAATCTAGAATTTCTTGAGAAATATCCTACATATAAGTTTTTTTATGCGACTATTAATTTCGCTAATTTTGCTCAATTATTTAAAAAGATGTTTTGCGGGAAAGATCGCGCATCGATTTGAAGGTTATGATCACACACATATCAGGGTGCTCACACGCACATATCGAGAGGCGTACACACTCATTACACGTGAATTTACATTCTCGACGTGTTTATCATGAATTCGCTTTATAATTAATTCTAAGTTAAGAATTCGCAAAGTATTAACCCACACAACACATGGACGTAATTACAACATAATTTGGATGTCCGAAGCGAGCACCAAGGACATCCGATGGACGTCCCGTGTACATCCTGTGGATGTATTAAGGATGTCCTATGTTCCGCCTAACAACATCCATAGGCTATAAATGGGACGTCCAGCGGATATCCTTAGTGCTTACTACGGACATCCAAAGTATGTAATTATGTGGATATAATGACTGCATTCAACAGAAAAAGAGCACAATGGCCAGTATTCATAGTCAGATCTTATATTTAAGATCGTCTTAAGATCTCGTTCAACCAATCAAATGACGTTATACGGCTATTTGATTGGTTAAACGAGATCTTAAGACGATCTTAAATATAAGATCTGACTATGAATACCGGCCAATGAGTGCTTATTAATTCTTTAATGTGATTAGTTTCTATGTTTAGATCCAACGAAGAACTAAAGGAAATAATCACATTAAAGAATCAACAGTCGCCGCATGAGCTGCTTTTTCTGCTGAACGCAACAAATGTTTCAATAATGCTCATTGAAAACTATTAAGACCATATTATATATTTAGATAGTTAGAATTTATTTAAATCAATAAAATACATGTATATAATTTTTGCAATATTATCTTAAGTATACTACTTTCAGCATTATAACCAGTAGCTCATCAAAATTATCAATATGTTTATTTATAAAATTTATGTTAGTGTAACAAAAACAAAATAATATATTACTGACGTGCTATTTTTTATATGTTCACGCAGTTTACTTAGTATAAACAAAATTAAAATAAAAACTCCAATTAAAGTGTTCAAAGTTAACGTATACAATTATGTGTAAATTTTTATAAACTTTCAGTGTTTTTTGTCAATTTAAATTCCTTTATCATTTCTAGAGTAGTAAAATATGAAAATAACCCATGCATTACTGTTTTCAGAATTCTAGAGTACGTTATATAGTTCAATTTTTACATCTATGAAAATTTTATCATAGAAAGTTTTTAATCAACACAAACTGTAAAATCTGAGGTTATGATTGTTGTCATTCAGTAGTATTTTGGCGGTGCGTCACTGACTTACACAGAATCCGGTATTATTGATATTTTCACTAAGACTTTTCTATATATTCTCTGCAATAAATATCTCTTTGTTCAATAACACGAGGTATGAGAGATACGAGCGGCACACGAGAGCACGAGCACGAAACATGTTGTGACACGTGAAAACCCGGCCGACCAGGACATGCGCAGCGCATTGCGCACTGCGCACTAGCGCCTAAAATTATCAGGATTAAAAGTCACTCTACAAAAATTGTAAAAAATAAAAATTATTGTAAGAAAATTATAATTAATAATAATAATAGAATTAGAATCTTCAGCTCAAACGTCCTCACAGAACTAAACGGAGGATGTCTACAGGACATAAAATAAACGTCTTATTTTGGATATAAAAAGACACAACCAAAATTTATATGTATTAAACGAATGTTATCGATAAAAATTAAGTTTTTAACTACAGGGTATACATATACTCGATATATTGTAAGATGTCCGGAATATGTCTTTTTAAAGTCCTACAACTGTCCATCGCAGTTGAAATTTTAACAGGACGTCCGACTAACGTACTTTGGACGTCCCACAAATGGGGACATGTGAGGACATATATCGGACGTCCGAATAACGTACTTTGGACGTCCCACGAATGGGGGACATGTGAGGACATATATTGGACGTCCAAAGGACGTACATGTGTTGTGTGGGAAGACTGTTTTCTTCACTGATTTTTTTAATCTCATGTACTTTGTATCTTTTAATTAATATAAATTAATTTATCTTAATTAATTTCTTTTATTTATTGTAACTTTATATATATTTTTATTTTTCTACAAAAGTTGGTTCTTTAGTTTTTGTTATATTTTTTGTGTCTAGCAAATTAATAAACTATGACTATAATATTTTTAATGATAAGGATGTGAAAATTATAATATATAATAGAAAAAAATTATAAAAATATTTCTTACAATACTCTGACACATTTTGAAGGTATAAAATATTATAATACGTAATAATGTAAATAAATAAAAATTTGTATTTGTATGCACAAGAAAAGATATCTTTGGGATGATATTTTTTATGTTTGCGCGGAAAATAATAATCGTCACACAATTACTGGAATAAGATTTATAATTTTAATAGCATCTTATATGCAAGTCAAATTCTTGTAGTGTGATAAAAGCATTTTTACATGCGTTTATCGCGATTGTATGCACATTCATAGTTCTTATCACTATCATTTAATAACTTACGTTTTTGTCGCGATGTAATTAACGATGTACGCTCATTAAATTCTTGATACATGTTGGATATATCAAAACTTTAACTATAAATCACTTTATACACATCATCGAAGCTACTGAAGTAATAAACATAGAATCTCTGTCTCTTATTTTCATTCTGTACACTATCGGATGCAATAATAAAATGTGTTATCAGAGCCCTGATAAATATATCGCAACCTATGGGGTTGATCAACTTAGGCTTCACATTTCTATTAAAATTAAATGCACATGAATGAAAGTAATTATCAATCAAATGAAAAGAAAAAAACTCAATTAAAATTTTTATTTGCAAGAGTACATTTAATCGTGTCGTTGTGTGACTTTATATTTGTAAATATATCTTTAATTTTTCTTGTATTTAATATAAAGTATTTTTATCATGTCTCACATTAATATGCATTTTTAGAAAATACATATCATATTGTTTATAACAAGTATAGGCAAAAATTTAATTATGTATATATTCGAGTTATTATTTCTCAGAATTTTTTATATATTTTTATATATCATATTTTATATATATGTATATTACAAATGCGCAGGGTTTAACTTATGTCTTCGGCATCATGGGACATCCTGTAATTGATCTGGCTCTGAGCATGCAAGCTGTTGGTTTACAATATCTGGGTTTTCGGAATGAGCAAGCCGCTTGTTATGCCGCCCAGGCTTATGGATATTTAACGAGTAAGGTTTCTTGATAAATTATTTTTACTTCAATATTATCATACTAGACAATGATTCTAATTATATACGATAATATAATCGTTGTATTAAGAAACAATGGAACAATTATTTGCGCATTAGCTATGTACATTTCATATAAACACATCTATTATACACGTATTATATATATTTATTTTTATTATTTATAATAAATGTATTATTAAAAAAAAAGAATATTCTTGTTTTTATTTTTTAGTAAGTTTTTTTCTACGTTTCGTATTTTTTAAAATGTGTTTTTTTACACATTATCTGTCATTTAGTTAATCAAACGTTATGTAACGAAATAATAACATAAAGCAATTTAACACGTGCAAATAAAACAATATAATAGAGGGAACTAGATAATGATATCATAAAATATTTATTTTTTGTTTAGGAAAACCCGCAATAGTGTTATGCGTCTCCGGTCCGGGATTGCTACATGTTATTGGTGGTATGGCAAATGCACAAATAAATTATTGGTAAGTGATCCGTAATTTGTATTTTTTTATTAATCTTCTTTAACTGCAGTTTCAACGCGATTTTCAACGACTTGCGTTATCGGCAAAAAACTTCATTAGAATGAAACATTATAAAGTCAGAATACACATATATGCATGAAAATATTGCGAATATACATATATATAAAGATTGGAATATGCAAAATTTTGATGGAATGAGATTATGAAAAGTAATTAATTTCTTTTTTTCGTATTTTATGAAAGGACCAACACATGCGGCAATTTCATCGTAAATTTGTTTGTCTCGTGTCTAGCTGATGATTGTCATGGAAATTATCCATCCAACTGTCATCCGATTTGTAATGTGATTGCGATCTCGTAACATTGATCACAGCAATGCGTCAAGGCGATTATATAACTCTTATATGTTCTGTTATTTTTTTCTAATAAAGAGATCGGATTTTCGTTTGCGCGTACATGATACATTTTTATATTCTGCGTAAAGACGACAGGAAATTTGTTTTTGGACTATTTCTATTTATTCAAAATTTACGAGGCTTCTTAGCACAAAAGTTTTATTATAGTAAAAACCTTATTCGGATGTTTTTACAGGCCTGTGCTCGTATTAGGCGGATCTTGTCCGGAGGATCACGAGGGGATCGGCGGATTTCAAGAATGGCCTCAGGTCGAGGCGAGCAGACCTTACTGTAAATATGCCGCAAGACCACCATCGGCCGCACTAATACCAATGCATGTTGAAAAAGCTGTGCGGTTCGCTACTTACGGCAGACCAGGTAAAAATTAGAGGGATTTTTAAACTTATTGTTAGCTCTAGTACTAGGTAAAGAAATTAAATTTTTTTAGTAAATTGCCTAGTAAATTTGATAAAAATATTAGAAAATTGTAAATTTATATCTTTCATAGTTTTATATATAAAATATATTCGATTTTATATTTTATATACAGTTATGTTACTTTCAGGTGCTGTTTATCTCGATTTACCCGCTACATTATTAACGCAAAGTGCAGATGAAAACAAAATATTTAAGGCTTTACCTTGCTTGCCACCGCCGTTAATCTACCCTGATGCGAAATTAATCGAGCGAGCGGCGAATTTATTGATAAGAGCGAAGAAGCCTTTGGTGATAGTCGGTAAAGGTAAGCGCAAGGATTTCGCAGAGAATTTTTTTACTTTACCATTCTTTTTCCTTTCTTTTCCTTTATTTATTTTCTTTTATACGTAGGTGCAGCTTACGGTCGAGCTGAAGATCCAGTGAGAGAATTTATCTATTCGACGAATGTACCCTTTTTGCCAACACCGATGGGAAAAGGTGTTGTACCAGATACGGATGAGCGTTGTGTTTCCAGCGCGCGGACATCTGCCTTGCTACAATCCGATGTGATTTTATTGTTAGGCGCAAGATTAAATTGGATGTTGCACTTTGGACGACCACCTAGATTTCAAAGCGACGTTAAAATCATACAGGTAAATCGGTGACAGTCTTTGATAGTGCATCCTTCGGGAAAATACACAATAGGATGCACTAATTTTCTCTTTTTGTTTATTGAAATTAAATTAAATTAAAACATTAAACGTATCTTTCGTAAAGATTCTTCGGCGATAATTGAAAATATTTTAATTATTTTTTTAAGAAAAATTTTTAAAAAATTTAAGGGCTATTAAACAAAACAATATTAAGAAAGATTCTTAATACGATATTAATTAATTATTATAATATTAATATAAAATGTAGATCGATTTGTGCGCCGAAGAGCTGCACAATTCGGTGCCTTCCGCCGTCGCGATACAATCGGACATTGCGCCCGCAACGGAATATTTGTTGAACGTGTTGAAAAGTCGAAAATGGCACGTCGACCGAAACGATTCGTGGTGGAAGGACCTTGCGGCGAAAACTGAGAAGAATAAGCAATTAGTTCACGTGAGCATATATTTTAATTATACGTAAATAAGTTTTAATTATACGTTAAATAAAGATTCTCTTTTCTCTGTGCGATCAATTCGCGGTAATTTCTTCGTTCATTTATAGCACATGTCATTGGATACAAGTGTGCCTCTGAATTATTATACCGTTTTTAAACATATTCAAGATGTCATACCGAACGGTAAGTATACGTATATTTTATATCATTTACATGTATAATTCTGTATAACAATTGCGTAGAAAGTGCGGAAGCACGCTTTGATGAACGTTTTTTTACTGCGAAAAATTGCATGTATTTTAATTTGCATTTTATATTTAAAAAAAGAAAGAAAAAAATTAATAATAGAGATTGTATGTTTTTCTCTTTTTCTATATTCTTAAGTACGCATAAATTAATTTATAAAATTAATAAAAATTTGCATGTGTTTTGAATATTTTTATAGTATATCTTATCTATATTTTTACAGATTGTATCATTTGTTCCGAAGGAGCTAATACAATGGACATCGGACGAACTATTCTCTTAAACGATTTACCTCGCCATAGATTGGACGCCGGAACATTCGGTACTATGGGTGTAGGACTTGGATTTGCAATCGCGGCTGCCCTTTATTGTAAAGACAATGCACCAAAAAAGAGAGTGATCTGTGTGGAAGGGGACAGCGCTTTCGGATTCTCCGGAATGGAAATTGAGACTATGTTTCGGTAACCTCAGAGAGAGAATTGTGAAGAGAGAAGATGGTATTTTATGCGCAAAAAAATATTAAATTATAACCACAACGACCTTCTCTTCTTTGCAGATATAAATTACCGGTGATTATTATAATCGTAAATAATAACGGTATATACGGTGGTTTCGATAGCGAAACTTTCAGACAGTTGCAGGCATCTGGAGATCCTACGCAAGTGTATGTATCTCTTTATAATCTTAATATTAAATATCAAAAATTAGATTGTTTCATATTATTGTAGATATTTTTAGGATCTAAATATATTTTTTCTGAATATCAACACTCTTGCATGTGAGTATATATTCAGATACTTGTATACATTATTAAAATTAAAATTATATTTTTAGGACGCCTCCATATTCTTTAACATCTGAAACTCATTATGAGAAAATGATGGAAATGTTTGGTAAGAAAGGATATTTTTGCACTACTGTGGAACAAATTCAGCAAGCACTAAAGCTAACCCTCAAGGTAAAATTGTTATTGAATTAGTTATTAGACAGTAGTTCTTTAAATGTTAAAGTGAGTGCAACTTATAAAAATATTGTTTCAGGTAAAAGACAGTCCTAGTCTAATAAACATTATGATCAACCCGCAAGCAGATCGCAAGCAACAAGAATTCAGTTGGTTAACAGAATCAAAATTATAAGATTGCAAAATATGTTATTAGATAATTACCATATTTACTATACTACTCACTCTCTTTTTGAAGAATTACATTTATAGGTTACTTATTGATATGGTTAAAAATAACGAGTGCAGGATTTTTTGGGGCTATAAATTCTGTGCATTGGAACCATATTTTTTAGATATTGTACTTTTTACAATTCAAAAATGCGAAGCTTCTCAAACAATTAGTCTGTAATAAAAGACTAATCACACACACAAGATATCTGACATCTTAGTTTGATATAATGATAAAAAGATATAATGTTTAGAAGATATGTAATTATAGTGCAAAGAATTTAATAGAGTTCCATATGGTTCGTCAGTTATATATAAATACAAGAACAATTAATTAATATTATTAAGTAAAATAATAAGGGTTATGTAAATAGGTTATTTTTATATTTTTATATCTATTAATCCTGAAAATTTTTTTTATTATATGGAAAATGTTTATTGAAATATATATATATATATATATATATATATATGACATAACAAACACAATGCTTATATGTCAATCTCAATTATTCAATTGCTCCAATTTTTCCATAACTATTGTGGATGTGATCGAGTTAAGCAAATTCGTTTCTGACCTGTTTTGGCGTTTGCTCTCATTAATAACATCTGCCACATTCAATCCCATATCCTGAGCCTTCTTAGATAGAATTTCATTCGCTGTGTCAACTACTGTTTGCAAGTGTCCGTTGTCTTTCACAAGTCCCTCGATACATTCCAGCTCCTTTTTTCTGAAAAAACATTCACAATTGCGTTAATTTAATTATCCGTTATTGATGAAAGAAAAACACACGCTTAAAATAATTATGCATATTTTACATCTTCAAAGTAATGTCATTGATGGAAATTAATGTTTCCTGGATCCCGACGTCGATTTCCATCATTAAAGAACGATGTACTAATTATATCTGTCAATGAATCGAAATTGAAAGTCACAATTGTATCACCATATTTAATATATATTTTTAATATTAATTTCAACCAACATCATGGAATTTTAACCGCCGAAGCCGAAAGTCGGAGAAAAAACAATGCATATGGTTAGTCTGACTTGATTCGCGCGTAAATAAAGCCGCCATTTGTAAAGTGTTGCTAGAAGCGATTTCTATCGCAAAAAATATCGATCGTAATTTTCGATTTATCGATTCTTAATATCGATTTAATATCGATATCTAAAACGGAGACAACTTCACTGCAACACAGATTAAGGGTCGGCAGTACACCCAGGCAAACTCCGAATTGATATTGGAGACCTCGTGCGGTGACAACGCGAAACTCCGGTTTCAGTGTTGCCAACGCCGAGAAACCAATTCTCGGGTTTTATGTAGTGGTGTATGTCTGTACACGTACATACACCAACTGCATCGCTCACGCGGACACACGTAAGAGAGACAAGGACCGATAATCACGTGTTCTCCTTGTTCATCTACCGTGCCGGTATACGCGAGATGCCGCCTGAAAATGCTTTCTGGCCTTCCGTAGCAGAAAGCAGTAACGTAGCAAGACTAATAAGCACCCACTTTTTGGAAATTGTATATATGGTTATGCACATATGTGCATAACGTATATATATAACATATATATATATATATATATATATATATATATATATATATATATTATATAAGGGATATGTTGATTATATTTTTGATTTCTTTTTGATTATTGATGCTATTGTATAATTTGCTCCAAATACTTATAACGTGAAAGAACGTTGAGTAATGTATAATCAATGCAAGGATGTTCAGTATATCATCCAGTATATAAATTAGAGTTCAAATATATCAATATCAATTTTTTTATAATATATATATATATATATTAGAATATAGAAAAATGATAAAAAAATATATTTCGGCGATTTAAAAATTTTTTAATATATTGAAAATATTTTTACTACATACACTATATATAAGTGTAAAATAATTCAGAAAATAAATTTAATAAAAATCTACATACCAGCTGTGTGCATGTGTGCAATTGATTTATTACTTGAAATTTATTTACGGAATTATTTTGCATTTATATATTTATAGTATGTGTAGTTGTAAAATGATTAAAATATTTTCAATATCAAATTTTTAAGTTTATCGCCTATATAAAAAATATATTTCTATGATTTTCTATATTCCAATATATTATAAAAAAATTGATATTGATATATTTGAACTCAAGTTTTTTACGTGATTAAATATTCTTGCATTGAGCCATCATACGTTACTCGTAAGTTCTTTCACGTCATAAGTACTTATGTAGCAGAGAGAAAGAAATGAGAGTTATACAATGTAACATCAATAATCTTATATATTATAATCTTATATATTATATATATATAATATTTCATTTATTTATAAAAAACATTTTATAAATAAGTAAAATATTATACAGACAATGTACAAGATGTTCAGTTTGTGCCATAACAAGCTTCAATCAATAATTATTACTCCAATGAGTATAATTCACAATAATTTTTATATAATATAATAAATATTTGAATATATAAAAATATTTTTAAAAATTTGTTTTAAAAATTAATTGAAAAAAAATATTTAAAATATTTTTTTATATTTAAAATATTCTTTTCCTCAATTAATCTTAAAAAAAATATTTTTAAATATTTAAAAATATTTAAAAATACTATATATTATATAAAAATAATTGTTGATTATTATATTGGATTATTAATTGAATGAAGCTAGAGCTTTTAATATGGCTTTTAATACTGCTTGACAAGGAGAGAGCATCATTTCATCTTTGTCTCTCTTACATCGCATATGTAGTAGCGTCCATGTAGGTACAAACACTAAAAAATATTAAATTTAATTTTTTTATTGTTTTGAATAATTTTATCATTAATATACTTATTTTCAGAACTATTTCAATTTTTATTTCATACTTATGTTTATATAAATTATAAATTAAAAACATATCAAAAATGTAATACATATTAATAAAATGCAAATACATATAGAAAATTAATTATAAAATGTCATCTTAAAATAGTTTTTATTTTTGTTCTTTATTTACATATGCATACATATACAAAAAAATAAAAATAATATGATAGCCTTTTTGCTGACATTATCTCTCAATATTTGCATCCGTGTGCTCACGTATTAGTGTTTGTACCTACATGGACGCTACTACATATGCGATGTAAGAGAGACAAAGATGGAATGATGCTCTCTCCTTGTCAAGCAGTCAGCATGTTACCACAGAAATTTCCCCTGCTCCTTATGAATCTAGTGAGAATCTTATCGTCCAGATATTTCATAAAATAAGTGACATAACTTCGTGAATTTTTTTTTAATATATTCTTTATATAATAAAGCAGTCCTCTAAAAGGCCGGATTTTACAGTTTCGCTCTTAAAAATTTATAATAAATAAAATACGGACTCGCGGCTAACCCAACCTTACCCGTTCCTAGCTGTGCATTCCCCCAAGTTTATTAAAAATTTTTATTTTTATCTTTTTTTCATAAAATAGCTCTTTAGAGGACTACAAATGAGTTTACTGATTAAGAATATCCTAAATTTAATAAGATTCATTCAATATTTTCGCTAATATCTGGAAAATAAGAATCCGTAATTCCCGGCCGGCCGATAGGCGTCTCCACCATGTCGCCTGCCGACCCTTAATAGACAGATCGCCAAAGGCCTGCCTAAAGAAGAGACCGCCATCTTCATGCGATAGACTTTGCCCCTTACCGACACACTTTGCCCCTGGTTCGAGTCCGTGCTAAATTTCGTAGACTTGACCAAAAGACTTTGCCCCTGGTTCGAGTCCGTGCTAAATTTCGTAGACTCGACCAAAAGACTTTGCCCCTGGTGCAAGTCCAGGCTAAATTCGTTTGACATTACCAACAGACTTTGCCCCTGGTGCGAATCCAGGCTAATTGATCATGAGACCAATTTGAGAGATTTGGCCCCTGTGTGTGTGTGTGTGTGTGTGAGAGAGAGAGAGAGAGAGAGAGAGAGAGAGAGAAGAGAGAGAGAGAATATTTTACATATATGCATATATATATATAAAATTTATTAAATATAAAAAATATATTTTTTACACATAAAATGTTTTTTTATTGAAATAATCACGATTTTAAATGTGATATAACACAGTGTTCAAAAATTTTTTAATTAAATTTTTTAATTAAATTTTATTAAAGAAAATTACTTGAAATTTTTTACATTAAGAATTTAAAGGCTCCTTATTCTCTTGTAGAAATTTATCACTACGCCAATTAATCACTTATTTTGAGTATTTAAAATACTATAATATACAGTAATTTAAGTATTCGAAATAAAAGTGATTAATTACTCGAAATAAGTGATAAATTGGCGTTACTAATAATAAATTTCTATAAGGGTTGAAATAAAGTATAAGAGATAAATAGGCTATATGTGAGCCGTATGCGAAATGTGAGATGTAAGACGCATATTGAAATTTAATTTTTCGATATAACTTTCAAAAATGTACACGAGGTACAAAAAATTAGCTTGGACATTTGTAAGACTTAAAATTGGGATTAATTCTCAATTCTATTAATTAAATTTCGATATAACACACCTTATACATCCGCGCACGGCTCACATATATATAGCCCATTTATTAGTGCAATTTTTAAGTTCCTTATTTTTCAAAGTTCACCTTTTTACGTTATCAAATATTTTTACGTTTTCAAGAATTTTATATTTTTACTTACCGCAGTTTTTTATCTAAATGTAAAATCTTTTATCGCAGTCTATAAAAAATTGAAACAATTTACAATTTTATGATATAATATTATTATTATTACAATTTCTATATATATGCACATCTGTCAAATATTGTGATTTATTTTACATTATTATTATCTATTTTAATAAAAAAAAAAAAACAAAAACACTTGCAACAATCAAAAATAAACCGCCTGCCGCGAACGGAAAATGCCAAGAAAGCACGCAATTTCCGCGAATCTCGTAATTTTTTTGAAAAATCAACAATTTCAACGAAATTGTAAATTCTTCAAATCACTGCACAAGTATAATTCACAATAATAATTTTCAGTAACTACGATAAAAAATCGTATACTGAAAACCGCAAACGAAAGTGCAATGGGAGTAAGAGTAAAGTCTGTGATAAAATTAATTGGCAATAGAAAATTAATAATTTTCAAATAGAAAAATTTTGAAATTACCGAGGATTTACAAATAATAAAGTAAAAATATTAAATAATTTATGTTTTCGAATTTTGCTCGCGGAGAGGATCTTTAAAACAAGATTTTTAGAAGAGAGGACCTTTAAAATATAAACAGGCAAAAACGTTGGAAAAATTAAAGCGCGCGTTTAAACAAATAAACGCAATGAAATAAATACGCA